CTTGGCAATTTCTCGCATGGAATAGCCTTCATTTCTCAGAACAAGAATAGACTGACGAGTTTCAGAAGAAAGTTATTTGTTTCTGGCCATTTTGAGCCTGTAATCGAACCCACAATTGCTGATGCTCCAGATACTCAACTATTCTCAAGAAGGCCAGTTTTATTGCTTCTTTAATCAGCACAACATTTTCCAGCTGTGCTAACATAATTGCAAAAGGGTTTTCTAATGATCAATTACCCTTTTAAAATGATAAACTTGGATTAGCAAACACAACGTGCCATTGGAAAACAGGACTGATGGTTGCTGATAATGGGTCTCTGTACGCCTATGTAGATATTCCATAAAAAATCAGCCGCTACAATAGCCATTTACAACATTAACAAAGTCTACACTGTATTTCTGATCAATTTAATGTTATTTTAATGGACAAAAAAATTGCTTTTCTTTTGAAAACAAGGACATTTCTAAGTGACCCCAAACTTTTGAACGGTAGTAATATATATATATATATATATATATATATATATATATATATATATATATATGGTACAGTATACAAAATATAGAAGGAGGTACAGTACATCAAATATAGGAGGTACAGAATATTTAAAAAATGAGGTACAGTATTTAAAATATAGGAGGGACAGTATAAAAATACCTTATTTCATATGTATTCAGAACCATTTGTATTATAATTTTTTTTTTAAATACCTTATTTACATATGTATTCAGACCATTTGCTATGAGACTCGACATTTAGCATAGGTGCATCCTGTTCCCATTGATCATCGTTGAGATGTTTCTACAACTTGGAGTCCACCTGTGGTAAATTCAGTTGATTGGACATGATTTAGAAAGGCACACACATGTCTATATAAAAAGGTCCAACATTTGACAGTGCATGTCAGAGCAAAAACCAAGCCATGAGGTCGAAGGAATTGTCCGTAGAGCTCCGAGACAGGATTGTGTCGAGGCACAGATCTGGGGAGGGGTACCAAAATAATTATGCAGCATTGAAGATCCTCAAGAACACAGTGGCCTCCATCATTCTTAAATGGAAGAAGTTAGGAACCACCCAGACTCTTCCTAGAGCTGGCCGCCCGGCCAAACTGAGCAATCGGGGGAGAAGGGCCTTGGTCAGGGAGGTGACCAAGTACCCGATGGTCACTCTGACAGAGCTCTAGAGTTCCTCTGTGGAGATGGGAGAACCTTCCAGAAGGACAACCATCTCTGCAGCACTCCACCAATCAGGCCTTTATGGTTGAGTGGCCAGACGGATGCCATTCTTCAGTAAAAGGCACATGACAGCCCGCTTAGAGTTTGCTAAAAGGCACCTACAGACTCTCAGACCATGAGAAACAAGATTCTCTGGTCTGAATGAAACCAAGATTGAACTCTTTGGCCTGAATGCCAAGAGTCACATATGGAGGAAACCTGGCACCAATCCCCACAGTGAAGCATGGTGTTGGCAGCATCATGCTGTGGGGATGTTTTTCAGCGGCAGGAACTGGGAGACTAGTCAGGATCGAGGGAAAGATAAACGGAGCAAAGTATGAAGAGAGATCCTTGATGAAAACCTTCTCCAGAGCTCTCAGGACCTCAGACTGGTGGCGACGGTTCACCTTCCAACAGGACAATGACCCTAAGCACACAGCCAAGACAACGCAGGAGTCGCTTCGGGACAAGTCTCTGAATGTCCTTGAGTGGCCCAGCCAGAGCCCAGACTTGAAACCGATCGAACATCTCTGGAGAGACCTGAAAATAGCTGTGCAGCAACGCTGCCCGTCTAACCTGACAGAGCTTGAGAGGATCTGCAGAGAAGAATGGGAGAAACTCCCCAAATACAGCTGTGCCAAGCTTGTAGCGTCATACCCAAGAAGACTTGATGCTGTAATTGGTACAATATATAAAATATAAGAGGTACAGTATATAAAATATAGGAGGAGGTACAGTATATAAAATATAGGAGGTGGTACAGTATATAAAACAAACCAGAGAAAAAGACAAACAGAGCATGATTCTTTGGAAACATCACAAAACACAGATGATGTATTCCGAGGACACAAAACAAAGAGACTAAGAAGATTAAAATGGGAGAGAAAAGTATGTGTGAAGTTCCCACCAGGGAGATGAAATGAGCAGCAAGCAAGTGAGAGTGACAAAGAGCTAAAGAATGAGAGTGAGAGAGACAAATCCATGAGCTCTGTTCGTCAGCTTGAGCACAGGAAGTAGTGCTGCTGGAGCTGATATGTGTTCAGGAAGTGGCTGGAGGTCGGGGCAGGAATCACCCAGCGGGCAGCCCAGTCAGGCAGAGGCAGCCTGGGGCAAAGGCAGAGACATGAAAGCCTATGTGTCTCCTGTCTGCCTTCTGGGTGTTTGCTCAGCCCTCTGCCCGGGGAGGGATGGGCTATAGTTCCCATCAGCCAGTGGGGGAACACAGCTGGAGCAGGGACTATGTAGTTCCCATCAGCCAGTGGGGGAACACAGCTGGAGCAGGGACTATGTAGTTCCCATCAGCCAGTGGGGGAACACAGCTGGAGCAGGGACTATGTAGTTCCTATCAGCCAGTGGGGGAACACAGCTGGAGCAGGGACTATGTAGTTCCCATCAGCCAGTGGGGGAAAACAGCTGGAGCTGTGGACAGGCACCACCGACCATGGATGCAGTGCTTCCAACCAAGCCAGGGATCTAAGGACAGTGTGTTGTATTAATAGTCCTTGCTCTGGTATCTAATCTAATGTGCAGTTTTCTGCAGAATCTTGTTTGATGTCCTGATGTGCCTTGTGTTTGACAAGCTATCTAGATGTGTATCAGGATGTATAACGTAGCCCAGGTTCGATTCCCAGCGGTTCAAGGGCACACCCCTAAAGTATACCCTTCACCTTGTATATTTACAGTACATGGGCACCTGCTGTGGGGTTTAATACAGGGATGCAGATACAGATCTCTTTTCCTATTGTGTAACCATGCAGAAGGGTGACTAAATCTCTTTTATATCCGAGAGCCACCCAGTCCTATGTCGCGTATGTCCAGTCAATCCTATGTGTGGGTACTGTTGTGTCCCCCAATACTTCCCAGTGGGTTTCTACTCTGCATCAGACTATTGTTATAGCCTGCTAGTTCACACACTGGGTGAAGAAGCCAAGCCAAACACTGAAGTTATAGAAATCACTGATTAACACATCACTTGGACAAATCACTTTCCTCACAGAGCCCATAGTTTCTGGCGGTTTCCACCTCAAATAGGAAGTGAATGTTCTTGCAATTGAATCCAAATGTCAAAGTTCTAAATTAGTCTTCAAAACTCCAGACTAGCTTTTGGATAATGAATTTGAGCTATTAAAATGTAATAAAACAAACAGTTATGACCTTACGCACCTGAAATTACAAAAATAAAGACATTGTGTCTTTACCTATTGTGTAATATGTGGGAGCCAATGTGATATCCAGACAGCGCAACCTGGACCTAGCATAGTAAATGTAAATCTGTCTCCCTCCATTTCGTATGATATGTTACAAATTCCAATTTGTTGTGGCTAACGTTAGATAGGTGGCTAACGCTTGTGTTAGCTAGGCGGCTAACGTTAGCTAGGCTAGGGATTAAGGTTAAGGTTAGGGGACGGGTTAGCTAACATGCTAAGTAGGTGCAAAGTAGCACATTTTTTTTTTAGAAAAGTTGCTAATTAGCTAAAATGCTAAAGTTGTCCGTGATTATTCAAACACGCAACCATTTCGTTGCTGGACGTTCACGTTATACATCCACCAATCCACCGGGACATACCATCCTCCTTTTGTTTTTGCCTTGTAACCATACCAAACGTAACATATCATACTAATTTCAGTGTCCCGGATTTACTTTTACTATGTTACGTCTAGTCTATGAGACCAGGCTGGGTAATGACAAACAGAAGTCTCTTAATGACATTCTAAGTGCCAAAAAAACACAAACAGCCCAGACTGTCTGCTGGATTGTTTGTGTCCTAGCCCCTCCCTGTCCCCCTCTCCATTGTAATGTACTGTACACACGTGTTGTTATTTCCCCTGCTTTACAGAGGCAGTGAGGCCATCACAGCTGCCTTACAGAAGGAGCTTGACCACTGACCTCAACTACCATACCACTGGGATATACAGCAGGAGCCCCTGGAGATATGGGTGGGAAACCCCACAACTCCTTCACTGCTGAGTGGCCAGTTTGCAGGGTCATGTTCTTTAGGGCACACTAGCAAAACGTTTTGCAATAGAAGACAAAAGGAAGCATTTCTTATTAGACCAATGCAGGTAGTCCCTCCGTTTGGAGCCTAATTAATATGACCCTGTTGTCCTGCAGTCTACCTGCCCTAACATGAGCCGAGGCCTCTTAGGAACGTGCTAGAAGCACCAGAGGGTTGGAGGCGTGGAGTGCATGCTGCAGGTTCGGCGCAGGGAGTAGGGCAGGATGTGGCCCTATTGTTTTCTGAATCACCCCTCTTTTCCTTCCAGGGTTGCAGACTGCTGCTCTCTCTCCCTCAAGGCCCAAACATCTTAACTAAACAAAAAAATTGCTTCACATGTATCTTGTCTGTTTCCCCTCTCTCAGATCCAGACGTTTTGAGAGATAGTGGTTCTATAAGAACAAAGCAAGGTGTGTCTGTGGGGTATCCTGAGTGTGCTTTTTTAAATGTGCAGTACCGTCCGTGCTATATCATACCCTGACTGTGGATAGATTATGTTCGTATAAAAGTAGGCTTATGTAATGTGTAAAGACGTGTAAATAACATGGGTTCTGTGGAATACTGACTACTATTGTATATAAACATTCTGACATAAGGAAGGACAAAGCATGTAATTGTATAGCAACCACCTTGTTCTTATTGAATTTACTATTGACTCTGACCAGGTCTAGTGTAGTACCATTGGATAAAGGCAAGGGAAAGTATGAAGGAGAGGTGAGCGCACCTACTGTATGCAATTACAAAGTTACTCATTAACTTAAGTCCTTCATAACACGATTGAGGTGAACCTTTCAACCTTTGCTCAACATGCCTCCATTTTATAGCAAAGGCAAAAAACAAACTTACAGTGACAATGCTGAATTAATGTGAGTTATAAGGAAGAGGACATATTGTTACCCGGGTTTCAGGGACATACAGACCAGGCTGGCCAGGTAGGACACTTCTAATGAGTGGACTTTCTCCAAATGTTAACCTTTTGGGCTGTTTCCATTTGTCAACATTGAGATCATATGACGTCCCTGATTCTCCTATTGATCCTTAAGTACTGTGGTTACAGTAAAACAATATGTTGGTATATTTCTATAACATACTAGTATAATAACCAAATGCAAACAACCTTTTGATCAATCTCCATTACAGTATATCAGTAATTATGTTGACGGCTGTTACGAGATATAATAACATGAAAGTGGATGAATGAGAGAGAAATTGATACTTAAATTAGATGCATGCTGCGCCGCCATGCCCACATGTTGATACCCACCGCTTGCTGTTTTGATCAAAATAAGGCTAAACCTTTGACATCAGCTGACTTTTTAGCCAGCGTCTTGATAATAATGTAAACCATTGTTCATTCAGGGAGGATGATGTGGTGAAGTCCAGTAACATTACCAAGGAGACGCAGGAAGCTAAAGGTCTGTCAAATGCATTATTCTTCTATCCCACTAACCTCTAAAGCTAAAGATAATAGTTTCCGGTGTATTTGTTTGTAGAATTTGCTTGGTTTTATTGCTGACACTGTGTAGACCTTTTAGCAAAATGTTAGAAAGGATTGTGCCTATTGCCAGTTGCTTTGTTGATGATTTAGTGGGATTAACAGAGCTACAGATGTGAAACTCATTAACCCATAACAGTCTAAGCCCTGTCTAAACCAGGGGAGGGTTCTACTAAGCTATATGGAATTGTTTTAAGAAGGATCATTTAGCTATTGGATTTGGAATTTTAAGACCCCTTGAAGTATAATTATTATTTTTTATATGAAAACATTATGTGAAGAAAATGTTTATTTGGCCTTACTGCTATTAGCCCATACAAACGCATTGAATAACAGATTCACTACATGGAACAACAGTCTCCCCAAAAATCAAAAGGAAGCTTGTTCTGAAGTTTCTGTCCTATATCTGAGAGATATAAGAAAGATCAGGAAACATTTTGTAAAATGTTTACATGTATTTTAAATCTTATTTTTGTCATGAAACAGTCTCCATATATAAACACTACATGACCAAACGTATGTGGACACCTGCTCGTCGAACGTCTCATTCCAAGAACATGGGCATTAATATGGAGTTGGTCTCCCCTTTGCTGCTATAACAGCCTCCACTCTTCTGGGAAGGCTTTCCACTAGATGTTGGGACATTGCTGCGGGGACTTGCTTCCATTCAGCCACAAGAGCATTAGTGAGGTCGGGCACTGATGTTGGGCGATTAGGCCTGGGTCGCAGTCGGCGTTCCAATTCATCGCCAAAGGTGTTCGATGGGGTTGAGGTCAAGGCTCTGTGCAGGCCAGTCAAGTTCTTCCACACCGATCTCGACAAACCATTTCTGTATGGACCTCACTTTGTGAACGGGGGCATTGTCATGCTGAAACAGGAAAGGGCCTTCCCCAAACTGTTGCCACAAAGTTGGAAGCACAGAATAGTCTAGCATGTCATTGCATGCTGTAGTGTTAAGATTTCCCTTCACTGGAACTAATGGGCCTAGCCAGAACCATGAAAAACAGCCCCAGACCATTATTCCTTCTCCACCATACTTTACATTTGGCACTATGCATTGGGGCAGGTAGCGTTCTCCTGGCATCCGCCAAACCCAGATTAGTCCATCTGACTGCCAGATGGTGAAGCGTGATTCATCACTCCAGAGAATGCGTTTCCACTGCTCCAGAGTCCAATGGCGGTGAGCTTTACACCACTCCAGCAGACGCTTGGCATTGCGCATGGTGATCTTAGGCTTGTGTGCGGCTGCTCGGCCATGGAAACCCATTTCATGAAGCTCCCAAAGAACAGTTATTGTGCTGACATTGCTTTCATAGGCAGCTTGGAACTCGGTAGTGAATGTTGCAACCGAGGACAGACGATTTTCACGTGCTACGCGCGTCAGCACTCGGTGGTCCCATCATGTATGTGAGAGTCTCATCTTTCCATCGAGGGGTCATAATAGTTTGTAGGCCAAACCGTTCGGACGCTACAGACGGTTTTGTGAGAAGACCGACTTTCGGGATGTCTCATGGTCTGACAAACACTGCTCTATCTCTGTCACCTTTCAGCTCTAGCTCTGTCACCTTTCACCTCTAGCTCTGTCACCTTTCACCTCTAGCTCTGTCACCTTTCACCTCTAGCTCTGTCACCTTTCACCTCTAGCTCTGTCACCTTTCACCTCTAGCTCTGTCACCTTTCACCTCTAGCTCTGTCACCTTTCACCTCTAGCTCTGTCACCTTTCACCTCTAGCTCTGTCACCTTTCACCTCTAGCTCTGTCACCTTTCACCTCTAGCTCTGTCACCTTTCACCTCTAGCTCTGTCACCTTTCACCTCTAGCTCTGTCACCTTTCACCTCTAGCTCTGTCACCTTTCACCTCTAGCTCTGTCACCTTTCACCTCTAGCTCTGTCACCTTTCACCTCTAGCTCTGTCACCTTTCACCTCTAGCTCTGTCACCTTTCACCTCTATCTCTGTCACCTTTCACCTCTAGCTCTGTCACCTTTCACCTCTATCTCTGTCACCTTTCACCTCTAGCTCTGTCACCTTTCAGCTCTAGCTCTGTCACCTTTCACCTCTAGCTCTGTCACCTTTCACCTCTAGCTCTGTCACCTTTCACCTCTAGCTCTGTCACCTTTCACCTCTAGCTCTGTCACCTTTCACCTCTAGCTCTGTCACCTTTCACCTCTAGCTCTGTCACCTTTCACCTCTAGCTCTGTCACCTTTCACCTCTATCTCTGTCACCTTTCACCTCTAGCTCTGTCACCTTTCACCTCTAGCTCTGTCACCTTTCACCTCTAGCTCTGTCACCTTTCACCTCTAGCTCTGTCACCTTTCACCTCTAGCTCTGTCACCTTTCACCTCTAGCTCTGTCACCTTTCACCTCTAGCTCTGTCACCTTTCACCTCTAGCTCTGTCACCTTTCAGCTCTAGCTCTGTCACCTTTCACCTCTAGCTCTGTCACCTTTCACCTCTAGCTCTGTCACCTTTCACCTCTAGCTCTGTCAACTTTCACCTCTAGCTCTGTCACCTTTCACCTCTAGCTCTGTCACCTTTCACCTCTAGCTCTGTCACCTTTCAGCTCTAGCTCTGTCACCTTTCACCTCTAGCTCTGTCACCTTTCACCTCTAGCTCTGTCACCTTTCACCTCTAGCTCTGTCACCTTTCACCTCTAGCTCTGTCACCTTTCACCGCAGATGCAGAAGTGCGACATCAGCAGATGTGGCGGATTGAGACGCATACAAATATCTCTAGCTTAAACTGACGGATTGTTATGGGGATTTTCTATTATGCTAATTCGATTTCCATGGGGGTACGGACATCGACTCTAGAGGGTTTAAAAGTAAAGAAGTACTTAGAGAAGACCTTACATACCTGGGGCGGCAGGTAGCTTAGTGGGTAAGAGCGTTGTGTCAGTAACCGAAAGGTCGCTGGTTCTAATCCCGAGCCGACTAGGTGAAAAATCTGTCGATGTGGCACCTAACCCTAATTGCTCCTGTAAGTCGCTCTGGATAAGAGCGTCTGCTGTAAATGTAGACATCTATTTTTAATTATCAACTGGGTGGTTCGAGCCCTGAATGCTGATTGGCTGACAGCCGTGGTATATCAGACCGTTTTTACTGCTCTAATTATGTTGGTAACCAGTTTATAATAGCAATAAGGCACCTCAGAGGTTTGTGATATGTGGCCAATATACCACGGCTAAGGGCTGTATCCAGGCACTCCGCTTTGCGTCGTGCATAAGAACAGCCCTTAGCTGTGGTATATTGTCCATTACCACACCCCCTCGTGCCTTATTGCTTAAGTATACCACCCTATCCTGAGTAGCAGGCTCCCTGTATCCATTGCATGTGTCTAAAACATCTGCCTCATAAACAACCTCCCTCTCTGTCAGCTGTTTTTCAAATCCCTGTATGATCAAATCATTTCCTTTATTCTTGACAAACAATGGCATCACTTAGCTCCCACGCAAAATATTATCTGAAACCAATGACAAAAATATCTATCTGGCACCATGGATGAGGACTGTGGGGGAGGAAGGCTTGCTCACCTCACCACAGTGTCACCAGGAGGTCAGACGAAGGACGGCTGTGTGTGTCACTTCCGTACCCAGAGAGGAGAGCGTGGAGTGGGGAAGGAGAGGGAAGAGGGGGACAGGACCTGGGTAACCCATTACAGAACAGCAAGATGTGGAATTGTGCTGGGAGTGTGGAAGAGCGGGACAGGACCTGGGCAACCCATTACAGAACAGCAAGACGTGGAATTGTGCTGGGAGTGTGGAGGCGGGCTGGTCAAGGAGCCCCTTGGAACTACTTTCAAAGCCTACCCTTAAACATAAAGCACACACACACACAGGGCAAAAACGGGTTGAATCAACATTGTTTCCACATCATTTCAACCAAAACATTCAATGTGATGACGTTGAATCAATGTGAAAAACTGATTGGATTTGAAAAACGTTATCAACGTAAGGGAATTTCTTCTTTTTTTTCACCCATCTTTTAACCTAAATCCAATGACATGGTGAAATGTTTTGTTGATTTTACGTTGAATTCAGGTTAGTTGACAACTCAACCAAATGTAAATGAAAACTAGACTTTGAACTGACGTCTGTGCCCAGTGGGCTAATACACACACAGCGTCGTGGGCTCTTGGGGTTCCCATAGCTCCCAGGCATGTTGTTGTTGTTGTTGTTGTTGTTGTTGTGGCTTTACTGTGCGAGGACAGCAAGAGATAAAATAGATCCCCACTCTGGGCTTTACAGCCAACCATGCTGAGCTGAATAGCAGAAGGAGGAGAGGGGAAGAGGCCTAATGGCAAAGCGACCAGCCAGTAGGCCTCCTCTGTGAAAAATCATTCTGGTGCCAAGAGGACTCTGCAAACAGGCCGGGCTCGGATGAAAAAACAAAGAAGGAGAAATATACAGTCAAAGATCTGAGAAGAACAACATAAGAGCAATCTGCAGAACAAAAGCTATTGTTAAAGTGTGTGAAAGAGCTCTTCAGTCTATGACTAAACACTAAACTGGTACTTTTGTATTTGTGAGAACATGCCAATAGACATCTTCTGAATGTGCAATGAGTCAGCGGATCTGTATATAACATCACGAGTCAACACTGCATGCAAACAAATGTAAGTTTAGCAAATTTGCTTACAGAAGAGCAGAGGTCACTGGTTTCAGTTATGTCAAAAAAATGGTTTATGTCTCAACCCGATTCTGGTGTGTTTTAGGGCCAGTAGTTTTTCCTGGACAGGTCACATAGCTATACCTTGTGGGGGGCCTATGTCAGTAAGGTCATATGCCCTATATGACCGATAAGTCAGGTCATAGTGAATTACATTGAATTTATTTTGGGTTATAAAAGTATAAAACAAGATGTAGAATGAATTCCCAGAGGATAGCATGTAAAGTATTAATTAAAACACTTGTCTCAATGCAGTTCTAGTTATTATTTCTCAATGCAGTTCTAGTTATCTGGTTATTATTTCTCAATGCAGTTGTCTGTCCATCTGTGATTCCTACAGGAAGCGGGGGAACCATGGGGTCCTGGGGCCATGGCCTGTGTGTGGTTTTGTGTTTCTGGGGAACAGTTAGCGGGAACACGCTTCACAGTCGCACTGTTGGCCCGTGTAATGTCAATACTGGCACGGTAAGAAAGACACACAGCTTTCTTCTCTTTTTCTTCCCTTTGTTCAGTTCCAAGCAGTCACGTGAGGAAGCGACTACGGGGAATTTCCTGTTTGAGACACTTTTCCTGGTTGTTGATCATAAGATAATGTTACCTCTGGGAGTCAAGTCTGATTCATTACAGGATATCAACATAAGAATTATGTCAAGATTGGGGCTCTCTTTGAGCGAATCGATTTGTTGTTCACAGCTTGATTTGTTAAATATTAGATGGTTTTCTTTATCTTTCGTTTTAAATTTACATGGAATATTTATTTATCAGCACAGTTGCAAAGACTCCTAATTAATTAAACACCAGTTTTTTATAATTCCCTTTTAATTCACCAATATAGTGGCTTTAGGGAGATACTTTCGAAAATCATAAAGTTTGTTTTAAACACTTCTTGATTCTTGCTAAATGGCAACCGCAAAATGGGAAGGGTTGGCTTGACCAATCTTGTTCATCTCTTCCCCAAGGCATCATTTAACTGCAGTTGGAGGAAACTGGCCCATATTCCAGAGATATGGGACAATGCAACCACACTGGACCTCTCCCAGAACCACCTCAACTTAACTAACCCTCAACACCTCAGACAACTACAGAGGTTGGATCATCTGGTTACCCTCAATCTCTCAGGCAACTACCTCCCTCTGCTGGGGAAAGACAACCTCTGCAGCCTTCCCTCCCTGCAAATACTAGACCTCAGTAGCTGCCAACTGACCTCCATAGAGGCTGGAGCTCTGCAGGGTTTACCCAGGTTAGGGAAGCTGTTTTTGGGGAACAACAGACTGCAAGTCCCCCTGTCTGTCTCCACTCGAGATATAGTAACTATATCCTTCCTGGATCTCCATGGGAACCAAGAGCTTGAGCGTGGCTCTGATGATTTGTCGACAGGAATCAGAAGACCATTTCATAGAAAACTGTTGACAAATGACACTGAACATCCCACCAAAACTCCAACTAACGCAATGACTACAGCTAATGGTAAGGATCTCATAACAATTGACTTCTGCCTCATATCACCTCATTTATAAATGATGTACTTAAGATATATCATAGAATTATCAGCTGTCATAGAATTATTTGATGCTTACTCAAGCGGTCTTGGCTGTTTTAGCTGTGATGTAATTCATAATAATGACTTGAAATGTAAAACCTATTCCCCTCTCACCTAACAGGCACAGAGTCACCTGGTCAGAGCCGCCCCTCACACAGATGGCAATACTTGGTGGCAGTCCTGGTGACGGCCATCTCCCTCTCCCTCCTCATCGCCAGCCTGGCCAAATGCCAGCTGGTCCACCGCTACCTAGCCAGCTACCAACACACCCGTCTGACCGAGCAGGACACAGCCAGCCAGTGTGACCCCAACAGCCTGGAGGTGGGCTTCTCCATGCACAACCATGGGGGACAGGCACAGAGCCCCCACCCTGCTGCTGTCCCCCAGGGAGAGATGGACATGGAGGATGAGGAAGATGATGATGATGATGGCTTCATAGAGGATAACTACATACAAGCCAGCGAGAGGGAGAGGGCTAAGAGGGCACTTGAACTGGTGGAAGAGGAGGAAGAGGATGGGACGGAATTTACCATTGGCTAGGAAGAAAGGGAGAAGGTGGAAAGGGAGGGGAGAGAAAGAGAGGAAAGCGAGAGAGAGATAGAATGGAGAGAGAGCGAGAGTGAGGTCACTAGGCTATTTGGACACTGATTGGGGCCAAATCAGATATTAAATATAAGCATGTCTATCTCCATCATCTTTGGAGGGAAAAAACAGTCACAGAGACAGATGAATACAAAACTGTCAATAGCAATAACTAAATTTAGCTCTGCAATAGGGCACCTTTGGCTGTGTCTTTCAATGGATTTCAAAATTGGGCTGACTGTTTGTATGGACTTTGATATAAATATGTTAGAAAATTATTATTCAAAGTGGGTCAATTAATCAATCAATTTGTATTTTAGTTAGCTTTTTTAAGTTCCAACACACTTTTACCAATTAATGTGATGTTATTTGGGTGTGCCTGCACTCCGTTTTATTACATTTGTAGATAAAATAAAACATTTTAAAATTCAAAAGCGCACCTGCATCAAATTATTTTGAAACACAGTTAGGCATATGCATCGATCTATAATCATGTATAGCAATGCTTTATATCAGGGGTGTCAAACTCATTTTAGCTCAGGGGCCACATGGAGGAAAATCTATTCCCAAGTGGGCCGGACCGGAAAAATCATGGTATATATATAACTTAAAAACAACAACTTCAGATTGTTTTCTTTGTTTTAATACGATCAACATACAACATAAAGCTGGAGCCTGAGGACAGTGTGTCCAAAATAGTACAAGCACAACATCACTATTAATCATAAAACACGTCAAGTTTATTTGAAAATTCTAAAGAAAAAGAACACACAAACACACAATGCCTCAGTGATTAACAGAACTGTTTCACAGATCACAGAACTATATCAGGGTGTCATTTCTCAGGCAGAAATGTAGATAAAAATAATGAAATCCTGTTCCCCAAACAAGTGCAAGAACCACAGAGTCAAGAATAGGTTAAATATACAAATAAAATAAAATCAATTAAAAACAATAGCACATCAACATAAAAACATATAAACATAAAGCTGGAGCCTGAGGACAGTGTCCAAAAGCACAACATCACTATTAATCATAAAACACCTCAAGTTATTTGAAAGTTCTGAGGACAAAGAACACACAAACACACAATGCCTCAGTGATTCACAGAAGTATATCACAGATCACAGAACTATATCAGGGTGTCATTTCTCAGGCAGAAATGTAGATAAAAATAATGAAATCCTGTTCCCCAAACAAGTGCAAGAACCACAGAGTCAAGAATAGGTTAAATATACAAATAAAATAAAAACAATTAAAAACAATAGCACATCAACATAAAAACATATAAACATAAATCTGAAAGCGTTGCTCAAACTCCTGTAACAGTCCCGTTATTTTATCTTTGAACCGCTTCATGTCTGCCACATGTTGGGTCGCGCACACATTTTTCAGACAGGGGAAGTGAGCTGCATCACCACCGGCAAGTTGCGTCTCCCACAATGACAGCTTCAACTTGAAAGAACGTATGCTGTCATAATACTGCGTGACAACTTTGTTGCGCCCTTGCAGCTGTTTGTTCAAGTTATTCAGGTGCTCTGTAACATCCACCATAAATGCAAGGTCCTGCATCCATTCTGCGGAATGAAATTCTAACACTGGTTTGCCCTTTTCTTCCATGAACTGTTCAATTTCTTCTCGTAAATCAAAGAAACGCCTCAGCACAGCACCTCGGCTTAACCATCTTACCTCAGTGTGGTATGGCAGGCCATAGATGTGGTCTTTCTCTCTGAGAAGGCTGTCAAACTGACGGTGATTCAGGCTTCTGGATCGGATGAAATTAACAGTTTGGATGACCACCTTCATGACGTTATCCATCTTTAATGACTTGCAACACAAAGCCTCCTGGTGCAAAATACAGTGAAAAGTCTAAAAAATCACGTCCTCCATTTGCAGATTGCACTTTCTCTCTGAACTTTGTCACAACGTCTGCTTTTTTTCCCGATCATTGAGGGCGCACCATCTGTAGCCAGGCTGACAGCGCGGGACCAGTCCACTCCGACCCTGTCCAGCGCACCGACGAGTGCGGTAAAAATATCAGCTGCTGTCGTTGTATCTGTCATCGGCACCAACTCCACGAACTCCTCGGTGACGGTCAATGCGTCATCAACTCCGCGGATGAAAATGGCCAGTTGTGCAACATCTGTAATGTCCGTGCTTTCATCAATTGCAACCGAAAACGCAATAAATGACTTTACTTTTTCCTTCAACTGGCTGTCCAAATCCACTGAAAGATCGGAAATCCTGTCTGCAACTGTGTTTCTTGTCAGGCTGATATTTGCAAAAGCCTGCCGCTTTTCAGGGCACACAATCTCCGCTGCCTTCATCATGCATGTTTTTACAAATTCACCCTCACTAAATGGTTTTGAAGCCACTGCGATTTTATTAGCAATGAGGTAGCTAGCTTTCACTGCAGCGTCACTGATGTCTCGGCTGTGAGTAAACACAGACTGCTGTTTCTTCAGACCCGCCAACAGTTCATTCACCTTCTCTCATCTCCGCTGTCCTTGAAAGTTGTCATATTTGTCGGCATGAAGACTCACATAGTGGCGACGAAGGTTATATTCTTTCAGCACTGCAACATGCTCTGAACACACCAAACATACAGCTTTCCCATTCAATTCCGTGAATAAATAGGATGACCATTTTTCTTGGAACACTCTGCACTCTGCGTCCACTTTTCTCTTTTTTGACAGAGACATATTGGGGCAATGAGGGTGCCAAAGCACATAATGTTAAAAGTAGAAGCCGTAATAAATATTGCGGGCAAAACAAAGTAGCTCATTGGCTGCACGTGCTTGACCTACTTGCTCTGCCCCAGTATAAACAGTTTGCTTGCTTAACACAATTGCTATTGCGCCATCCAGTGGACGCAATTGGAACAGCAGTTTATTTTATTGAAAAATTGCAGCGCATTTTTATACTTTACAAAAAAAAAATATATATATATATATGTATTTATTATTATTTTTCTATATATTTTTTTTAATCATCTCGCGGGCCGGATTAAACTCGTTTGCGGGCCTGATCCGGCCCGCGGGCCGGACGTTTGACACCCCTGCTTTATATAGTACAATAGACAAACACTCCTGATAGTAGCCTATGCAGAACTTAAGCAGAATAGAAGAGAATATATATCATATGTAGACATATTCGTTGATGTAGAGACTCGCTCACAGAATGTTCACACCGTGGATTGGTTTAGCATGCTCTGTTGGGTTGAAAGCTGCTCGACAGGTCTGACGACGAAATACTACCCGGAAAAGAGCCGTGGCGTGGATTAGACAACAGAGCGAGAGATGGGAGATTCACTGAATATAATGTTTTAAGGGATATTACACGTCAAACATTAATATCATTTTGCACTGTTAGTTTATCAGGATGTCGGCGTCTGCTATTTTCATCCTGGACCTTAAAGGCAAGGTAAGCTGAGACTTGACAGTCTACGTGGGACTGGCGGATAAGTTTATAGCTTGACATCGATCAATCTCGCGTTGCCGTTCCCGTTTTAGGGAAGCCTGGTTCATGACGAGGCTAGGCATCGATCAACAGCGTTGAGCGCAGCCTGCATCTACCAGTGTGGTGAAGAAATCCATGCTTAAAAGCGCACATAAGAAAACGAAAGATAGCGGAAGGGCAGGCTATAGTAAAATGACGTAAATATTAAAAGATAAAACAAGTATAACTAAATGTATTTATTTCTCTGAATTCGCCACTAGCTATGTTTCCAATAGCTTGTCCAGTGATTTTTTTTGTCGACATTTAGAAAGTTCTCATAGAAAATAGATGCTACAATTGTCTGCTAAGGTGTTTCAATTGAACTCTCTTGTGTCGATGAAAACAGCTGGACGTAATAACGTCACCTCGGTAAGACCTAGTGTCGACAAAAAAATAATGTAGTGGTTGAAGTGTTTCCATTACTCATTTAGGCAAATTGCGCATTAATAAATTGGCGACAGCCTATATGCCCTCCCTATACGTTTAATGTCTCAGGTAGCCCGCGAAAGCCAGAATGGATAGAATGCAGTAATTGACCGTGGTGAAAGTTGCACTCCTTTAGATCTGAAATAATTGGATGGTGAAACTTGCCAGCCAACCAGAAAAGCGAGGTGTAGCAATTCAGACATTCTTGAAAGACAGGACAATCCTTGTCCTGCAAATAAATGTTTGTTGTTGAAACAAAATATTTAGCAAGCAGTAGGAATTTAGAATTAAATGTGGAGTGGAGCTTATAAAACACTGAACAAAAATATAAACGCAACATGCAACAATTGCAAAGATTTTACTGAGTTACAGTTCATATAAGGAAATCAGTCAATTGAAATAAATGAATGAGGCCCTAATCTATGGATTTCACATGACTGAGAATACAGATATGCATCTGTTGGTCAGAAAACGTGGATCAGAAAACCAGTCTGTATCTGGTGTGACCACCATTTGCTTCATGCAGCGTGACACATCTCCTTTGCATATAGTTGATCAGGCTGTTGATTGTGGCTTGTGGAATGTTGTCCCACTCCTCTTCAATGGCTGTGCGAAGTTGCTGGATATTGGTGGGAACTGGAACATGCTGTCGTACACGTCGATCTACAGCGTCCCAAACATGCTCAATGGGTGACATGTCTGGTGAGTATGCAGGCCATGGAAGAACTGGGACATTTTCAGCGTCCAGGAATTGTGTACAGATCCTTGCGACATGGGGCAGTGCATTATCATGCTGAAACATGAGGTGTTGGCACGACAATGGACCTCAGGGTTTCATCACCATATTTCTGTGCATTCAAATTTCCATCTATAAAATGCAATTGTGTCCGTTGTCCGGAGCTAATGCCTGCCCATACCATAACCCCACCGCCACCATGGGGCACTCTGTTCACAACGTTGACATCAGTAAACCGCTCGCCCACAACATACACATTGTCTGCCATCTGCCTGGTACAGTTGAAACTGGGATTCATCCGTGAAGAGCACACTTCTCCAGCGTGCCAGTGGGCATCGAAGGTAAGCATTTACCCACTGAAGTCGGTTACGACGCCAAACTGCAGTCAGGTCAAGACCCTGGTGAGGATGACGTGCACGCAGATGAGCTTCCCTGAGAAAGTTTGTGCAGAAATTCTTCGGTTGTGCAAACCCACAGTTTCATCAGCTGTCCAGGTGGCTGGTCTCAGATGATCCCGGATGTGGAGGTCCTGTGCTGGACTGCTGGTCACACGTGGTTTGCGGTTGTGAGGCCAGTTGGACGTACTGCCAAATTCTCTAAAACAACGTTATGGTAGGAGAAATGCTCATTAACAGGGACGTAAACAAATTTGTGAACAACATTTCAGAGAAATAAGCTTTTTGTGCGTATGGAAAATTATTATATTTTATTTCAGCTCATGAAACATGGGACCAACACTTTACATGTTGCGTTTATATTTTTGTTCAGTATATATTGAGCTATAGTAAACAGACTCAGGGCTCTATTTTAATAAACCTAATGTAATGGTCAATCTAAGCGCAGGCGGTAGCACTATAGGTTCAGGGGTGTGTTAAAAATATTTTTGCTATTTTCACTATCACAATTATCTTGCTGGCCTTGGAGTGAAGGGGCTGGGTTTTGTTGAATAAACAAGTTGTGGGTGTGTCGAGGCTTGGCCCCTCACTGGCCAATCAGAACGTGCTCCATGGCGAAATATGGGGTTGCTTCAGGTTGTGTATTTACGGTCTTTTATGTATTGCCTTGGAATCAACTCCAATTTCAATGTTAGTCCGTTACAGTTTGTTAAATGGCTTACAGAAACAAAATAAGAAAATGTAAACCTATCTTTGCTAAATACGTTAACTTTGCAGTCCACATTGTTCTAAGTAATTGCATGGCTTCAATAGCATTCACACTGATACAGGGGCTAGGCCTACTGTAAATTGCATTATGGCTGAGCATGGACATGCCAAACATTGTCAATATGCAAGATTAAATTCATTATTAATAAGGCCTAAAAAGAGAACAAATAATTCTAATAAAATTCTAACCAAACCAATACAACTTGTTTTAAATAGGCTACAGTGAGGGAAAAACGTATTTGATCCCCTGCTGATTTTGTACATTTGCCCACTGACAAAGAAATGATCAGTTTATAATTTTAATGGTAGGTTTATTTGAACAGTGAGAGACAGAATAACAACAACAAAATCCAGAAAAATGCATGTCAAAAATGTTATAAATTGATTTGCATTTTAATGAGGGAAATAAGTATTTGACCCCCTCTCAATCAGAAAGATTTCTGGCTCCCAGGTGTCTTTTATACAGGTAACGAGCTGAGATCAGGAGCACACTCTTAAAGGGAGTGCTCCTAATCTCAGCTTGTTACCTGTATAAAAGACACCTGTCCACAGAAGCAATCAATCAGATTCCAAACTCTCCACCATGGCCAAGACCAAAGAGCTCTCCAAGGATGTCAGGGACAAGATTGCAGACCTACACAAGGCTGGAATGGGCTACAAGACCATCGCCAAGCAGCTTGGTAAGAAGGTGACAACAGTTGGTGCGATTATTTGCAAATGGAAGAAACACAAAATAACTGTCAATCTCCCTCAGCCTGGGGCAAGATCTCACCTCGTGGCATTGCAATGATCATGAGAACGGTGAGGAATCAACTGAGAACTACACGGGAGGATCTTGTCAATGATCTCGAGGCAGCTGGGACCATAGTCACCCAAAAAACGATTGGTAACACACTACGCCGTGAAGGACTGAAATCCTGCAGCGCCCGCAAGGCCTCGAAACCTTAATGACTTGGAGAAGATCTGCAAAGAGGAGTGGAACAAAATCCCTCCTGAGATGGGTGCAAACCTGGTGGCCAAATACAAGAAACGTCTGACCTCTGTGATTGCCAACAAGGGTTTTGCCACCAAGTACGAAGTCATGTTTTGCAGAGGGGTCAAATAATTATTTCCCTCAATAAAATGCAAAATCAATTTATAACATTTTTTACATGCGTTTTTCTGGATTTTTGTTGTTGTTATTCTGTCTCTCACTGTTCAAATAAACCTACCATTAAAATTATAGACTGATCATGTCTTTGTCAGTGGGCAAACGTACAAAATCAGCAGGGGATCAAATACTTTTTTCCCTCACTGTATGTCACACTTACACGCACCACAATTTCTCCCCGTGGGCATATAATATTATAACAACGCAGACTATGGAGGGTTTTACGCATATCCAAACTTTTCACAGTAGCTGGAAAAAAGATCCAATATAAAGAGAAAGGGAGAATGTCTACACCGTTATACTGCTCCCAAATAGGCCTATGTTTTATGAACATAATCGTAACCAGTTTACAGATCAGATCGCATTCACACATCTCCAGAAGTTGCTGTCACGACTTCCGCCGAGGCTGCCTCCCCTCCTTGTTCGGGCAGGTTTCGGCGTTCGTCGTCACCGGCTTACTAGCTGCTGCCGATCCATTTATCATCACTCCACTTGTCTTGTCTAATTAATCACACACACCTGGTCCTTATCCCCAATTAGTCATTGTATAAGTGTTCCCTCTGTTTCCTTGTCTGTGTGGGTGATTGTTTGTAGTGAGCTGTGTTGAGCTACCCTTACCTTGTTGTTGCCAGGGTAGATATTTCCCCTGTGCCTGAGTGTTGTTGTCGCATGCTTGCGCAACTGTTTATCGACGGAATAAACTCTTTGGATGCGTATTACTCTCCTGCGCCTGACTCCTTCTATCACACGCATCACAGTTGCATTACAAGCGCCACGGATGTTGTAACGTTGACCCTGCTGAGGATGACGTGCACGTAGATGAGCTTCCCTGAGACGGTTTCTGACAGTTTGTGCAGAAATCCTTCGGTTGTGCAAACCCACAGTTTCATCAGCTGCCCGGTAGGCTGGTCTCAGACGATCCCGCAGGTGAAGAAGCCGGATGTAGATGTCCTGGGCTGGTGTGGTTACACGTGGTCTGCAGTTGTGAGGCCGGTTGGAAGTACTGCCAAATTCTCTAAAACGACGTTATGGTAGAGAAATAAACATTACATTCTCTGGCAACAACTCTGGTAAACATTCCTGCAGTCAGCATGCCAATTGCATGCTCCCTCAAAACTTGAGACATCTGTGGCATTATGTTGTGTGACAAAACTGCACATTTTAGAGTGGCCTTTTATTGTCCCCAGCACAAGGTGCACTTGTGTAATGTTCATGCTGTTTAATCAGCCTCTTGATATGCCACACCTGTCAGGTGGATGGATTATCACGGAGAAGGAGAAATGCTCACTAACAGGGATGTAAACAAATTTGTGCATCAAATTTCAGAGCAATAAGCATTTTGTGTGTGTGGAAAATTTCTGGGATCTTTCATTTCAGTTCATGAAACATGCAACCAACACTTTACATGTTGCGTTTATATTTTTGTTCAGTGATTACATCACTTGTCCCGCATTCAAAAGTATTTGGCAATCATTTATTCGAAAAAACACAGTTTCCACCATCATTTATCGCAATAAAGATAGTTAGAAAAAACTAAAATCCACCCCATTTCGAAGCTATACATATTTTTGTAGATCATTAGAAAATGTTGCGAATAAACCTGGGAAACCTGACTAGTGTCATACCACAGTAGGTATTCACATCATAGGTATTCCACTTTGTGATCGGCTCAATTTTCTATTTCACTTTTGTTGCCACAGAAATAGCAATCTACTCCAGCGATCTCTAGCACATTAGAGGCTGCTGCTGCCTATTGAAATCACTGGCCACTTTAAGAAATGGAACACTAGTCACTTTAATAATGTTTACATATCAGCATTACTCATCTCATATGTATATACAGTATTCTATACTATTCTACTGTATCTTAGTCCATGCCGCTCTGTCATTGCTCGTCCATATATGTATATATTCTTAATTCCATTACTTACTTAGATTTGTGTGTATTGGGTATATGTTGTGAAATTGTTAGATATTACTTGTTAGATATTACTGCACTGTCGGAGCTAGAAGCACAAGCATTTCGCTACACCCGCAATAACATCTGCTAAACACGTGTATGTGACAAATAACATTTGATTTGAACCCGAGATGGTTTATATGTACATCTTCTAAAAGTGAAAATAATTTATTGCCAAATTATAGCGTATTTACATACAACAATTCCCAGCAGACGATGGGCCGTAGTAGGGCAGGTTACAGTGTAGCCTGGTGGAGCAGGGGAGCAATCATTTGGCAGAAAATTAGACTTTCTATTGGACAAATGTAGGTAGGTCCCTCCCCGTTTTAATTTTGATCTTTTTGGTTCCTAGTGATTACATCCCTGGGGTGTATTCATTACACCAAACTTGTTGCAAAACATTTCAGTTTTGCAATGAAAACTAGTTTCAATTGGAACAATTCTGGTAGGTCACCTCCCCGTTTCGTTCCATTTGGTTCTTCAATAGTAAACGGTTTCGGTTGCAAGACCTAATGAATATGGCTCTGGTGTTGTGAATAGAAACATTCCTGGTCAAACCTGTTCTGCAACACCAAAGTGCAGCATACCTATTCAGTATTAGGCTTTACCTGCCAGACAGTCTTTTCTCTTGTTCTGGTCAGGCAAATATTTCTCCCATGTCTTATTAGGCAACTTTATAAACATACTGTAAGTCTAACTGTGTAGTTGACTAACAGATAACAACAATATATCATTAAGTTAAGGTGCAATAATATCCTACATTAATTGGCTTATTCATGGGGAGTTGTTTGCATACAAACAAACTATAATAAAAGTCTGGAGTACCCGGTCAGACACACTATTGGCTAATCAAGCCAACTCAGACAGCAGGGCTGCGTTCTGTACGTTTTTGTGTTCTGGAACATTCAATTGAACGGAAACGGTTGGGTTGTGGGACGCTGTCAGCATGGCCACTTCCCTTTTAAATAAGTCACTCATTGCTTCAAGCCACACCCACCAAACGGGAGCAAACCCACCGCAGTTTGTTCAAGACTTACAATAACGTTTTGGGGAAACATGTCGTTCAGTACGAACCGTTCCACAACGTAGCAAACGTTCAGACGAACTGAACGCACCTCAGACTATAGTCTAATCACGGCAAACCTGACATTCCTTATTTGTATGGTAGTGTTAATATTGTTGAGAAGGAGAGAAATGCCACCAGTGCCTGAAGGTGTCAGGGGGATAGATTACTCTCTCATAGGCCCCTGCCTACATCCCTGATAGTGCTGATTTAAAGCCTTTCTCCACTCTCTGCCCTGGGAGCAATCCAATACCTCTGACCCAGGCTGGGCTGTACTGGAGGCCACAGCTGCTCCCTGGCTGGAGGCCACAGCTGCTCCCTGGCTGGAGGGCAAACAGACATGCTTCCAAAGTAGCTGTTTCACTGGTTGTCTGTCTCTTGGAGACTAGTGTGGCAGTATACAGGCAGTCTATCAACACACTGGTTGTTTGTAGTAGTGAGATGTTATGAATGTAGCTTTATGCTATACTGTTAAAGTTTCACAATGTCTGTCTTTGAAATATAATGTTATGCTGATAAATGGCTGCTTTGTTTTGTACTCTGACTACACTCGAAACTTAAATAAAGAATGGCCACCAGCACACTGATGAATGCTCCCCAGCTCTTTTATTGAGCAAATTAAACAGCGGGAGCATTTCAGGGTGCAGTGTATTCTTTACTTTGTATGCCTTGCACCTGCAATTCTGGATGAGTGTACACTACTTTTAAAGTACAAGTTTGCTGTCTCTATATGTGGATCTACACACCATGATGGATATATACTGTAGCTTGTCATGTAACATGATCATATAGATAGCCTGACATGTTGGCATGTGCTTTCAGGATTAAGTATTTAGTTGCCATGTGTGCTTGATTGCCATGTGTGCTTGATTGTCAAACCATGTCCTTCTCAGAGGTAAAGGTCAATTATTTTGGAGACCCTCTGGTAGCTTGATAGATTCTCCATAGTTGTTCACCTCCAAATTACTGAGCTCGCTTCCCCAAATGGCACCCTATTCCTTATGTAGTGCACAACTTTTGACTCTGGTCAAAAGGAATAAGGTGTAGGGTGCCATTTGAGACTGACCCTGTGCGATCTCTAGTTTGTTTATCTTAACTGAGATGTGCCATCGGCCTCTAGAGGTCATACAGACGGTAGTTAATATTGATTGTAAACAATGCCTCTTTAACAATGACCAGTATGGAGGACTAAAAGTGCCACAATTAAATAAATAAATACACCATTAAATAATTACTTAAATGTGTCATTAATTAATTAAAATTAGAATTAAATACATAAATGTGTAATTAAATGTATCATTAATTAATTCAAATACCGATTCATTTTATGTAAAATACATATATAATTATTTCACTATTTACATTTACATTTCATGATCCTGCATTGCAGTGATTCATGAATTACTTAAAACTGTCAAACTGACCCATCAAAGTCAGTGGGCGGGGCTAACGCGAATCTAGTCTGATCCATTGCTTTGGTCTGAAGTAGAGTAGGCCAACCTGGATAGAGACAATGGAGGATCTCCGTGAACTTTCCAGGGAGTTGGTTAGAGACATTTTAAACTTAGCAGAGGATGTAGAAGCAGGACCTGCTGACATTATCCGGAATTGATTTGTCTTGGCTTGATGCAGAGGGTAACCAATCAGGCGTTAGGTTCCGCCTACCAACTTTTGATGGGTCAGTTTGACAGTTTTAAGTAATTCAGGAAGCACTCCAACGCAGGACCATGAAATGTAAATGTAAATAGTGAAATTATTATATATGTATTTTACATAAAATGAATCGGTATTTGAATTAATTAATGACACATTTAATAACACATTTATGTATTTAATTCTAATTTTAATTAATTAATGACACATTTAAGTAATTATTTAATGGTGTATTTATTTATTTAATTGTGGCACTTTTAGTCCTCCATATTATGGAGATTTATTTAATTGTGGCACTTTTAGTCCTCCATAGACCAGTGTCCCGTTAACAAACAATATTCCCCTGGCAGAATTGTCCTTTAGTTAAGGGGATGTGTGTGCTAGTCCCACGGTGTGTTTTACCGTTTGTCAGCCAACAGTGGGACTGAAGGTGAACCAAGCTTGATTTCAGATTCCCAGACACGTCTCTTGTTCAATCTCAAACGGTAACAGCATCACTGCAGCAGTCTCTCAGATCTGTCTGTCGTACTGCAGTAGGAGGCACTGCCTAACTCCTGGAGTTGCTGTGGGTCTGTAGGTTCACATTTAAAGTTAGCAGAATATTAGTCACATGCTACCAGACCAACATCCTATAAAAATGTCTGGAGTCTAGGCTAGCATAACACAAATGTAATGTTGCAGAGAAAGTGTGTAAAGGGATTTTCAGGTGAATAAAAAGAGAGGTCGCAGATATAGTCAATCTGGTTTAATTACTAGTTGCAACAGGGAGACGCCTCCAGCACAGAAAATGTCTAGCGGCTTCTTGGAGACAGGCCTTTTATAATCTAAATCTGACCAAATGATCTGTGAACACCAGCCCGTGAGGATTGGAGGAAGACAACATCAGCGGCTACAGAATCACAGCTACATTATTAGTGTTGCGTCAGACTTTAACCATTATATTCAACACTGGCAGACATTTTATACTGGCAGTTAAACCGGTCAAAAAGGTAGGAACATCAGCACTTAGTTAGCCTACAGTAAATCAAATACAGGAGAGGAGATGAGCAAACATTCCCCATTAGTGTTTTTTAATTAAATTTTAAAAAAAGGTGGCTGGAGTGAGGTTTGTTAGCTCACGACGACTGCAGACAGTGGCTGAGGATTTAAACATGGAACATGGAACTTGCCGTGGCCTGTTCTGATACATGCGTTTGAGTAACAGAGGGTGAGGTGTTGATGAAGGGATGGTGACAATGGGTTTGAACAATATTTTAGCTTTTTCATTTCCTTGAACCTTCATGGCAGTTTACTGTACTTTAAGCAGAAGCCAAACATGTCCTCCAAAGCTATTTCTCTCAAAATGGCATTCATTGAGAACACTGATATTTACCTCTACAAGTCTGGTAGCGTTGGTGAACTGTCTGTCGGTCTGACTGGGATTCCACCATCCCTTTATACAGTGGCTTGCGAAAGTATTCACCCCCCTTGGCATTTTTCCTATTTTGTTGCCTTACAACCTGGAATTAAAATGGATTTTTGGGGGGTTTGTATTACATTTACATTTTCGTCATTTAGCAGACGCTCTTATCCAGAGCGACTTACAAATTGGTGCATTCACCTTATGATAGCCAGTGGGACAACCACTTTACAAAACATTTTTTTTTTTGGGGGGTGGGGTAACTTTATCCTATCCCAGGTATTCCTTAAAGAGGTGATGTTTCAAGTGTCTCCGGAAGGTGGTGAGTGACTCCGCTGTCCTGGCGTCGTGAGGGAGCTTGTTCCACCATTGGGGTGCCAGAGCAGCAAACAGTTTTGACTGGGCTGAGCGGGAACTGTGCTTCCGTAGAGGTAGGGGGACCAGCAGGCCAGAGGTGGATGAACGCAATGCCCTCGTTTGGATGTAGGGACTGATCAGAGCCTGAAGGTACGGAGGTGCCGTTCCCCTCACAGCTCCGTAGGCAAGCACCATGGTCTTGTAGCAGATGCGAGCTTCAACTGGAAGCCAGTGGAGTGTGCGGAGGAGCGGGGTGACATGAGATAACTTGGGAAGGTTGAACACCAGACGGGCTGCGGCGTTCTGGATGAGTTGTAGGGGTTTAATGGCACAGGCAGGGAGCCCAGCCAACAGCGAGTTGCAGTAATCCAGACGGGAGATGACAAGTGCCTGGATTAGGACCTGTGCCGCTTCCTGTGTAAGGCAGGGTCGTACTCTCCGAATGTTGTAGAGCATGAACCTACAGGATCGGGTCACCGCCTTGATGTTAGCGGAGAACGACAGGGTGTTGTCCAGGGTCACGCCAAGGCTCTTTGCACTCTGGGAGGAGGACACAACGGAGTTGTCAACCGTGATGGCGAGATCATGGAACGGGCAGTCCTTCCCCGGGAGGAAGAGCATCTCCGTCATGCCGAGGTTCAGCTTGAGGTGGTGATCCGTCATCCACACTGATATGTCTGCCAGACATGCAGAGATGCGATTCGCCACCTGGTTATCAGAAGGGGGAAAGGAGAAGATTAATTGTGTGTCGTCTGTGTAGCAATGATAGGAGAAGCCATGTGAGGATATGACAAGTGACTTGGTGTATTGCGAGAATAGCAGAGGGCCTAGAACTGAGCCCTGGGGGACACCAGTGGTGAGAGCACGTGGTGCGGAGACAGATTCTCGCCACGCCACCTGGTAGGAGCGACCTGTCAGGTAGGACGCAATCCAAGAGTGAGCCGCGCCGGAGATGCCCAACTCGGAGAGGGTGGAGAGGAGGATCTGATGGTTCACAGTATCAAAGGCAGCAGATAGGTCTAGAAGGACGAGAGCAGAGGAGAGAGAGTTAGCTTTAGCAGTGCGGAGAGCCTCCGTGACACAGAGAAGAGCAGTCTCAGTTGTATCATTTGATTTACACAACATGTCTACCACTTTGAAGATGCAAAATATTTATTTGGGGTGAAACAAACAAGAAATAAGACAAAAAAGCAGAAAAATTTGAGCGTGTATAACTATTCACCCCCGCAAAGTCAATACTTTGTAGAGCCACCTTTTGCAGCAATTACAGCTGCAAGTCTCTTGGGGTATGTCTCTATAAGCTTGGCACATCTAGCCACTGGGATTTTTGCCCATTCTTCAAGGCAAAACTGCTCCAGCTCCTTCAGGTTGGATGGGTTCCGCTGGTGTACAGCAATCTTTAAGTCATACCACAGATTCTCAATTGGATTGAGGTCTGGGCTTTGACTAGGCCAGTCCAAGACATTTAAATGTTTCCCCTTAAACCACTCAAGTGTTGCTTTAGCAGTATGCTTAGGGTCATTGTCCTGCTGAAAGGTGAACCTCTGTCCCAGTCTCAAATCTCTGGAAGACTGAAACAGGTTTCCCTTCTCTCAAGAATTTCCCTGTATTTAGCGCCATCCATCATTCCTTCAATTATGACCAGTTTCCCAGTCCCTGCCAATGAAAAACATCCCCACAGCATGATGCTGCCACCGCCAGGCTTCACTGTAAGGATGGTGTTCTCGGGGTGATGAGAGTTGTTGGGTTTGCGCCAGACATAGCGTTTTCCTTGATTGCCAAAAAGCTCAATTTTAGTCTCATCTGACCAAAGTACCTTCTTCCATATGTTTGGGAGTCTCCCACATGCCTTTTGGCAAACACCAAATGTGTTTGCTTATTTTTTTCTTTAAGCAATGGCTTTTTTCTGGCCACTCTTCCGTAAAGCCCAGCTCTGTGGAGTGTACGGCTTAAAGTGGTCCTATGGACAGATACTCCAATCGCCGCTGTGGAGCTTTTCAGCTCCTTCAGGGTTATCTTTGGTCTCTTTCCCTCCTTGCCTGGTCCGTGAGTTTTGGTGGGCAGCCCTCTCTTGGCAGGTTTGTTGTGGTGCCATATTCTTTCCATTTTTTAAATAATGGATTTAAAATGGTGCTCCGTGGGATGTTCAAAGTTTCTGATATTTTTTTTATAACCCAACCCTGATCTGTACTTTTCCACAACTTTGTCCCTGACCTGTTTGGAGAGCTCCTTGGTCTTATTGCTTGGTGGTGTTGCAGATTCTGGGGCGTCTCAGAACAGGTGGCTATATACTGAGATCATGTGGCAGTTAGATTGCACACAGGTGGACTTTATTTAACTAATTATGTGACTTCTGAAGGTAATTGGTTGCACCAGAGCTTATTTAGTGGATTCATAGCAAAGGGGGTGAATACATATGCACGCACCACTTTTCCGTTATTTATTTTTTTAAACAAGTTATTTTTTTACATTTCACTTCACCTAGTTGGACTATTTTGTGTATGTCCATTACATGAAATCCAAATAAAATATATGCAAGTTATTTGAAGAAAAAAAAAAAATATATATATATATTTTATTGATGCCAAATATTTGAAGAACCAAAAACTACAACTGTTGAGTTAGTCTAAATATATGATCATAATACATGGTTTGGAGGGCTCTTTGATATGAATATTAATGTAGCCCAGAATTTAACAAGTGAGGAATATGGAATCACCTCAACATTAGAGTAGATCGCTTTTGCAGCTTCAAAACAGTAACAAAATATGGCTAATAAGTGTAAAAAAGAAACAAAATATCCCAAACTGCCTTCTTGAATCAACTACAACCAAGGTAGGTGGAAAATCATGAGTTCATTCAGAATACAAACTATCCATTTAAAGATGGTATATTGTTTGTTTGAAACAAGAACACTTACCCTCAGATGGACAAAGAGGTTTGAAGTTGTTTTTTCTAAGCATCGAACTTGCTGTTTGCAAATTGATTTTAATTACTCTGCAGTATTTTCAGGAATCATAAAATGAATTGCAGCGTTCTACCTTTCCAGTGGCATGTTGAATGAGTCATACAGTAGTTGAGCATCACAACTTGTTTATATTTATCTGTACAAAATATAATTGGTTAATTGGTTTGACTTGATTATGTACAACTGGAGCAATGCACGTTTACAAAATGTTCAGATAGAAATGTATTGTGTAGATCAAATATAACTATCAGATAGATTGGAATAGTATAGGAGATTGTGTGTGTGCTCTATTCATTATATTTCTATCTTCAACATGCAGTTCCATATACAGCCCTGCCATTATTAGTTGAAGGCAGCCAATCCAATAGTTCCAGAAAAGTAGTCACTTCCTGACATCTGTATTCAATTTTTTTTTTTAAGATGTTGCTTTCTCAAATCTGTATTCAAATAGTTTAAACGTGTAGTTACTTTCTGAGATCTGTATTCAAATAGTTTTAAAAAGTAGTAATTTCTGGGGATCTGTATTCAAATAGTGGTCACCTCCTTTGTTCCTCCAGAAAAATTGTTACTTTCCACAAAGCATAGCTAAAACTCCAGTTATCCCAGGTCTGCTTCAGTGTGTGAGATCCCTCAAGCATTTTATCTATCAGAGTGTGAGGGCTCCTGCTCAGCGACTCTCAATGGTGACTCATCTTGTTGTTGGTGTTGAAATGAAAAGTTGTGTGTGTGTGTGTGTGCGTGCGTGCGTGCGAGATGTTTCCTTTTGCCCACTCTAGTGTATCTTGTGGTGTGTGTGAGAGAGAGAGGGAGAGAGAGAGAGGGAGAGAGAGAGAGAAAGAGTGAGGTTTCCCTCAGGCCACTCCAGTGTGTGTGCGAGAGAGAGAGATATTTGACACAATGCTGTCATTGGGTGTTGTGATCACAGATGAGTTTCTCAACAGAGGCCACCCGCAGAAGCTGCTGCTCCTTTCATTTGGGGTTACTCTACATTTTACACAGCTTACTGCTGAGCCTTCACAACAAGGGGAAGGACATATGCTCCATGTTTGATCTTTTTTCATTTCTTCTGTTGCATAACTGCCACTATGGACTACCTGGAAAACAGTGAGAATTGCTGCCGACAGTGCCGAGTGAACCATCCTGTCTAAATAAAGATGAACTGAATTGAATTGAAAATGAATTTCATGAATGTGTTACAATGCCCTCTGTGTCATGTCATGTGGTTCAGGTGTTTGCTATGCCATAACTACATGGGTGGGCAACATGTTACAAATCTTCACCCTATTTTGTGTTATGTCTTTTCCCTGTAGGTGTTGATAAGTCGTAACTATATGGGGAACATGGACATGAATGAGGTCGACCACTTCATGCCCATCATGATGAGGATGGAGGAGGACGCAGACACATCGCCCCTGGTGACACACGGCTCCTCCCACTTCCTGTGGATCAAACACAGAAACCTCTACCGTATCCTGTCCAAACAGGAAGTCCTGTTACTGCTCAGTCAGGCCGTCTTGGTTACCAAGCTTCTGTCTCTCTTACCATGCTCAGGACGACTGTCTCTCAATTCACAGTTCACACCCTCCCTGCATGCATGGAGATGGATGATGTGGCGCTATCTACTGCATGCATGGAGATGGATGATGTGGCGCTATCTACTGCATGCATGGAGATGGATGATGTGGCGCTATCTACTGCATGCATGGAGATGGATGATGTGGCGCTATCTACTGCATGTCCTCTATCTGTGCATCTTGTGTTATTCTCAACTAGAGGGAAATGCTGTGAATAACTAATCTGAGTCAACCGTCTCACTTATGGGTGTGGTGGTTGTCTAGCAGAATCAGATTGACTAAGGCCTGATTCTGAAACTTCATTTCAGAGTTTTCTATTACCAACTTTTTAGTTTTGTTAAAACAGTGCGTCTCACTGTAAATGTTCCATTTGAAAGATTTTAAAACAGCAGTGGCCCAGTTACTTTTCTGTTCAACCATTTTTGTAAATTCTTAAGTTATTCTTCAGTGGTGGCAATGACCAAAAAGAATGCCAATGCAGCACTGGTGTACTCCTTCCTCTACAAAATAGTGGAGGTGAGTTTGTGCTTTACTGATAATACCTACTGTAGTATACTGCTTGTATTCAACCAATTGAATGTAATCCTGTTGTATTGTATTGATCATGTATTAAGTTGTCTGTCTGTCTGTGTGTCCATCTGTAGGTGTTTAAGGAGTACTTTAAGGAGCTGGAGGAGGAGAGTATCCGTGACAACTTTGTGACTGTGTATGAGCTGATGGACGAGGTCATGGACTTTGGCTTCCCTCAGACCACAGACAGCAAGATCCTGCAAGAGTGAGTAGTGGACTGAGTTACAGTCAATCAACACTGCAGTCTGTCTTGGAAGGCTGTAATACAGTGGCAATACTAAAACAGACTACCAAACTGATTACTATCCAACAGACTACCAAACTGATTACTATCCAACAGACTACCAAACAGACTGATATCCAACAGACTACCAAACTGACTGATATCCAACAGACTACCAAACAGACTGATATCCAACAGACTACCAAACAGACTGATATCCAACAGACTACCAAACAGACTGATATCCAACAGACTGATATCCAACAGACTACCAAACAGACTGATATCCAACAGACTACCAAACAGACTGATATCCAACAGACTGATATCCAACAGACTGATATCCAACAGACTACCAAACAGACTGATATCCAACAGACTGATATCCAACAGACTGATATCCAACAGACTGATATCCAACAGACTGATATCCAACAGACTACCAAACTGATTACTATCCAACAGACTACCAAACAGACTGATATCCAACAGACTACCAAACAGACTGATATCCAACAGACTACCAAACAGACTGATATCCAACAGACTACCAAACAGACTGATATCCAACAGACTGATATCCAACAGACTGATATCCAACAGACTGATATCCAACAGACTACCAAACAGACTGATATCCAACAGACTACCAAACAGACTGATATCCAACAGACTACCAAACAGACTGATATCCAACAGACTGATATCCAACAGACTGATATCCAACAGACTGATATCCAACAGACTACCAAACAGACTGATATCCAACAGACTACCAAACAGACTGATATGCAACAGACTACCAAACAGACTGATATCCAACAGACTGATATCCAACAGACTACCAAACAGACTGATATCCAACAGACTACCAAATTGATTACTATCCAACAGACTGGAACACTGGTCACTTTTATAATGTTTACATACTGTTTTACTCATTTCATATGTATATACTGTATTCTACTGTATTCTAGTCAATGCCACTCTGACATTGTTCATCTTCATATTTATATATTTCTTAATTCCATTATTTTACTTTGAGATTTGTATGTATTGTTGTGAATTGTTAAATACTACTGCACTGTTGGAGCAAGGAACACAAGCATTTCACTCCACCCGCAATAACATCTGCTAAACATGTGTATGTCACCAATAACATTTGAGTTGATTTGATTTTGACTACCAAACTGATTACTATCCAACAGACTACCAAACTGACTGATATCCAACAGACTACCAAACTGACTGATATCCAACAGACTACCAAACTGACTGATATCCAACAGACTGACATCCAACAGACTGACATCCAACAGACTGACATCCAACAGACTGACATCCAACAGACTGATATCCAACATTTACATTACATTTTACATTTTAGTCATTTAGCAGACGCTCTTATCCAGAGCGACTTACAGGAGCAATTAGGGTTAAGTGCCTTGCTCAAGGGCACATTTACGTCATTTAGCAGACGCTCTTATCCAGAGCGACTCACAAATTGGTGCATTCACCCTATAGCCAGTGGGATAACCACTTTACAATTATTTTTTTTGGGGGGGGGGGGGGGGGGGGTGTAGAAGGATTACTTTATCCTATCCCAGGTGTTCCTTAAAGAGGTGGGGTTTCAAATGTCTCCGGAAGGTGGTGAGTGACTCCGCTGTCCTGGCGTCGTGAGGGAGCTTGTTCCACCATTGGGGTGCCAGAGCAGTGAACAGTTTTGACTGGGCTGAGCGGGAACTATGCTTCCGCAGAGGAAGGGGAGCCAGCAGGCCAGAGGTGGATGAACGCAATGCTCTCGTTTGGGTGTAGGGACTGATCAGAGCCCGAAGGTACAGAGGTGCCGTTCCCCTCACTGCTCCATAGGCAAGCACCATGGTCTTGTAACGGATGCGAGCTTCAACTGGAAGCCAGTGGAGTGTGCGGAGGAGGGGGGTGACGTGAGAGAACTTGGGAAGGTTGAACACCAGACGGGCTGTGGCATTCTGGATGAGTTGTAGGGGTTTAATAGCACAGGCAGGGAGGCCAGCCAACAGTGAGTTGCAGTAATCCAGACGGGAGATGACAAGTGCCTGGATTAGGACCTGTGCCGCTTCCTGTGTAAGGCAGGGTCGTACTCTCCGAATGTTGTAGAGCATGAACCTGCAGGAGCGGGTCACCTACTCACAAGGCAGGCAATACGCTTGACCTCATCTTTACTAGATACAACAGACTGACATCCAACAGACTGATATCCAACAGACTACCAAACGGATGGATATCCAACAGACTGATATCCAACAGACTATCCAACAGACTGATATCCAACAGACTACCAAACAGACTGATATTCAATAGACCGATATTCAACAGACTACCAAACTGACTGATATTCAATAGACCGATATTCAACAGACTACCACAGTGCTTTGTAAACTACATTATATAGGGTCCAAAGGCTTTAGCTTGTTAACAATACTTTATTTTTGTGTTTTCTTCTCTGCTAAAGAGTGAGTTGAGTCAGTTAGTCAGTCAACACCTCTGTCTGCTCATCTTTCTACTATATGGCTTGCCAACAGACTTGCATCCAGGCTAGTGACAGTATACAATAGCCTACAGGGTTCAGAGGGTTTAGCTCGTTAACGGGAATTTGTTTTCCTGTTTTGCTCCTGGGAAAGGTGCCATGTTCTGGTGGAAGGTTCAGCGTTCATTTAATTAGGGCCAGGCTACCACGGCAATGGGCTAAATATGTGCTTACTTACATTTTCAATTGAAAGCCTGCTTGTAACATCATACTATAATTGTTTCTTTTTATAATTGCTCAAACAGACAGTGATAATATGGTGACTGTCTGATGTAGACATGTGAAGATGTGATTTTGCCCTGAGCTTTGATGAGGCCTTTATCAGTGTGATGTCTGTGTCTGTGGGCCTGAATAGGGCTGACCATCGCTAGCCTGTGTCCCATTGACACACACACACAATGCCACCGTCAGCTGGCTGGATTCCAGACCCAGACAGACGACTGTTCCTCCTCGTTGTACCAAGGAGACCCCCCCCCCCCCCCCCCCCAACCCTCACCTCATCCCGGCGCTCCTCCATCCCTCTTTTACCCTGAAACACCGCCCAGCTGGCCTGCCAATAATTCCCTTGTCTTCCCCTGTGTGTGTATGTGAGACAATGATTGTGTTGGTGTGTGTTGTTTCGTAGTATGATTGACATTACATTCTTATGCTAATCTGTTCGATTTACCGCCAACTCTGCTCTTGGATACACTCATTAGCATTTCTGAGGAGAATCAGGACCAAATCCAAAAAGCAACACACCAACAACCAAACAAAACAAGCCCACTTGTCTTTCATCTCTTTCCACTCTCCGTGAGTCGAGATGAGGCGTTGAGATGAGGCGTTGAGATGAGACGTTGAGATTAAATGATCTCCCTGAATGAGGTGGGGTTATCATAAACACTATGAGGTCACCATGGCTTGTGTCAGTGTAGTGGTGAAATCAAAGCAGGGGTTCGGTGCCTGTGCAGACACACATTTTGAACCATGCTAGCCTCTTTTAAGCTGAGCGATAGGGGGATTCTCAGACGAGCCCAGAGAAGGATTAGAGGAGGAGAGAAAGTCGTCAGGCATCAGAAGGATCCATGGTGGAGAATGTATCAATCTGTCTCATTACCCCAGGGAGAGCTGGGAGAGATGCAAGCAGAGGAGAGGAGATCTATCAGGGGGGATTACAAGTCAGGCGGCAGGCCTCTGTGTGTGTGTGTGTTTGAGGAAGTAGATGGTGTTGCTGTCTGTCACCTGGTTGTTTGTCAGTGAGAAGTAAACAGAGGCAGGGGCAGGTGTTCCAACGACGGAATAAACAGGGTCACATATTTGCATACTGTATGTACATCATCTCCCTCCTACCCACACCACATCTCATCACATCATCCCTTCAGACACCCAGACCTCCCTAGAGGAGAACAAGCCTCTCTCAGGACAGTATATCTCTGCCTGTTGTACAACTCAGCACTGCAGCATACGGTACTGCTATTACAGCCCGTAGTAGACGATAGACATACAGGGTCTGCTGTGTTTAAAGGCACAATGGGATAGGGCTAGGCTAGAGACATGGAACCACTCTCACGGAGCTATGGGTGCAAGGCCTGACCGTCTATGAGGTCAACTTGATTGTTGTTAACAATTGTAGATTGTACCTATTTAATGAGCACACAAAATGTACTTCAGGTACAATAGAATGATTTGAGCTCAGAGTTTAGTTTAGTTCAGTCTGTCTTTTGGTTACAATCACAATGTAAACCCCCTTGTTCCAATTACACCCGTGGCTACCCAGCTCACAACCCACGACAAATCCTTTCAATAATCTATCTATTCTAGTCAAGAGGTTTAATAAAATTAACTTTCTATTCTGGGATATCTTATCATAAGCTTTTTCATCAATAATGAATAAATACAAAGTATGATATCACCTAGAAAACAAACATCTTCAGAAAATAACTTCCACTGTCCTTCCTATTCATCTTGCTCCTCTGTTCTTGCACCAGTATTTTCCCCCTCTGAATAGGCTTACATGGAATCTGTCCTCTCTCATCTCTTCTCTTCTCCTCTCCCCTCTCTCTGCTCTCCCCCTCTCCCCTCTCTGCAGGTACATCACCCAACAGGGTCACAAACTGGATGTGGGCGCCCCTCGCCCCCCCGCCACCGTCACCAACGCTGTGTCCTGGAGGTCGGAGGGCATCAAGTACAGGAAGAACGAGGTGTTCATGGACGTCATCGAGTCCGTCAACCTGCTGGTGAGAAGCCTCTTTAATGGGATCTCGGTCTGTTACTATTCTAGGGTTAAGTGCCTTGCTCAAGGGCACATCAACAGGTTTTTCACCTTGTCGGCTCGGGTATTTGAACCAGCAACCTTTCGGTTACCGGCCCAACACTCTAATCGCTAGTCTACCTGCCTGCCCCTCTCCCTTCCCCGCCCCTCCCCACTCCCAGACAGCCCTAGCAACATTTTTTGCTTGAGAAATTGCTCTTTGCTAAGAAGGTATTTTTGTTTATTTTTGACCATTTTAATTTAAAACAATCACAGTAAGGTACTTAATTGTTACCCAGAAATGATTTGACATTGAGATCAAAATGGCTGCATTGGGCCTTTAACCTAAACCAGGAAATTGTTTGAGTAAAGGTAAAAATTCCCAGGTAAATAGAGTTCATAGTCATATTACTTTACTGTACATACCTTTTACTGTATACCAACGATGGGAAACTTTGATGAGGGTGGGGGCCACAAAAAAACATATCTCATCATGAGGGGCCACAGTGGCTCGTGGGTCTGCGTACCCAGGATACATTTTTGTTAAAATTCGATTTCTAATAGTTGGATATATATTTAAAGATTGATCATCATTTAGAATGGACAGGCCAAGAAACAAGGTCAGGTTTACAGTAAGCTGTATGTCAGAGAAGTTTCTTCCAGACACCTTTTTTCCACTTCCTTGAATAGAAAATGTGAGGAAATGTTTTCCGATTTCCTGTCTTACAACAATCCTCCGGTTTCTGTGGTAACATTGTTACACCAGGATACCCATGCGGCCACAACCTTTTGGTTTTCCACGTAACCAGTCCCCTGAGCCCCTGATGTATCCCAGGGGTCTCAGACAGAGACATGGCTGATAACTGACTGATTGTAAGGAAGAGCAGGTCTGATGGGTCTCTATTGCAACATTATCATTAAACTCGATAGCTAGATCTCTGAGCTCCCTTTTTGTGACAAGACACTTTTTTTCAAGCATCTTCCTAAACCTCATATAAACCTGCAATCCTTGGTTCCTCCTTGTCAAAATCTGAGTTTATGTAATTTTATTATTCATATTTTTCGCTGTCTGTAACCCTCCCTGTAGGTGAGTGCTACCGGCAGTGTCCTGCGTAGTGAGATCGTGGGCAGCATCAAGCTCAAGGTGGTCCTGTCTGGGATGCCTGAACTCAGACTGGGCCTCAACGACAAAGTGCTCTTCGAAATCACAGGACGTGAGTAAAAACCCCAACAGTATAATGTCTGTACACCATAGCCGTGGGAAGTAGTGGTACACCGATACATTTAAATAATGTTTCCAAAATGGTATAATTACTCCTGTCTGAACACTGACTGAATTTGTGCAGCACATGCACCGAATATTGAACAGTTTGATGCATTGCGGCCATATAAATATAATCCATAGAACCCAGCTAGCGCATGACATTCTGAGAACCATATGTTTCTTAAAGCGTGGTGGCCTATGGTTATTTTGCATACAACCTTCCCATAACGTTTCCTACAGGTTTCCTCATGGTTCTATTTAAAGGAATGTTCTCAAATTGTTCAGAGAACGTTAAGAAACAATGTTCTTCTGTTGGAATTTCAGTATTCCAGCATAACATTTTCTGCAGGTTTTCTCATGGTTAAATGTAAAGTTCTCAGAACGCAAGAAAATATTAGTAACGTTCTAAGAATGTTATTTTAAAACATATACTGTACGATCCATTCTCAGCATCTACAAAACCCTCTCTAGCCTCTATCTTGTTAAGTGTGTTCATGTGTGTTGGCCACACCCACTAATTGGCCACACCTGATATGTTTTCATATTAATAAGTGCCTGTTTCCTTTGAAAAAGGGTCTGTTTGAATAGACAAAAATTAACAGCTTTGTATGAGTTTAAAAAACCATGGCACGCTAGCTCCATCCTAGTGGCGCAGTGGACTAATTCCATGGATAGCGAGCAGAAGATCATAGGTTCGAATCTCACTGGCACCATGCCACAATAAAAAAATTAATGTGTTTGCAAAATGTGAGTTCAAAACCATTAAACTAAGTTAGCAGTGTTATTAAAAGTCTCATTGAAACATTCTCAGAACATTATTTAATTACCTTCAAATAACCTATAATTTTTGTTCTCGGAACGCTAATAAAACCTCCCAGGAAAACTTTCAGGGCACCATATAATTTTTTTCTCAGAACCTCCCTGCAACCTAAAAATTAACATTCCCAAAACAGCCTATATTTTCACTTCCATTCTCAGAACATTTAAAAAAAGTTATGTTTTAACTGTCAGGAAACGTATGACTTAATTCCCAGAACCAATGGGAAACCAAAAATGTACGTTCCCACTTCCAAGGAACCAAATGTGCTATCTTGGAAGGGTTTTGGAATCTCACCCTAGTAATTTGACTGGTAAACTCATGGGTATGATCAAAATGGCTGCCAGTTCTGACTTGAATGAGCACTTTCATTCTATGGATTCTATTTCTATGGATTCTATTTCTCTTTGCGCCGTCAGTGAATAGCTAAAGGCCTTTCGCAAATGTCTAAATACAATCGCGGGAAGTACTTTTGGAAAGCAAATGCCTACTGCTGAAAATAGAGGATTAATTTGTCAGTAGAAGCTACCATTTCTTTTCTCAACAACTCAGAGCACTGTTTTTCAAAGTAGCTCAAGCCTATCTTGAAGCCTAGGCTACGCATATTCATGCTATCTTCATCATTGGGTGAGTCAGTGCCACTGGACAGTTGATCTAGTAGCCTACTGTAGCCTATAATATTGACATATTTCCTCCTAATATTGTACAATCTGCGTGTCTCCCTTCTTTTTATTGGCCATGGGCCATGTCAAGACCATGGCCCGGTTTCTCAAAAGCATCTTAAGGCTAAATTCATTTTAGAACCATAGGATGCTAGAATTACATGAAATGCGTTTGTAAAAGGCTAAGATTTTTGCCCCATCCTAAAAATGCTTCTTCTGAACTGTATGCCACTAGGCACATGCGATGATAGAATACGTTATTATAAAGGGATTTATATACACCCAACTCAAAACATCTTCCCGCGGCTATGCTGTACACAGTACACACACTCACTCACGACCACACAGACACACACCAAAAGGTAAGGACGATCATAGTCAGTGCAAGGTCCCCAACCCAAATAATTTGACTCTTCATCTCTGGAGAGATATGGTCACAGGTAATATGGACAATTACCTTCCATGCCCAAATCCTCACCCTTCAATATCTTAGTTTGCTCCCAATCCTGCCCAACTAACCCCATGCCCCCTGCCTCCCATCCCCAGCCCTACCTCCACCCCTCCACCTCCACCGCCCCCTTTCCCAGGACCTGGTTTCCCCCCTCATGTGCCCTGGTTGTGGGGCATCTGGTGTATTACTCTTCCCTGGTCTAGCCCCGGTGCTAATCCCTCCCCCAGGCTACTGCTGCTGTCGGGAGATGAAAGATGCCCCCTGGACGGCTCCTCACATGCAGCCTACGGGCTGGAAGTGAAGTGGGATGTCTGGAATAGAAAAAGAAAAATACTCCTACAAATAATGAATAGATAAAAATGAGAATTTAAAATGGGCTTTTGCACTCTCCCTATTGCAACATAATCAGAGGAGGAGGTGACATTAACTATTCTCCCAACATGTATATTGCACTCTGTTTTTGCATAACATGCATATGTATGTATGCCCTCAAGGGATCCTACTACAATCCTGAATTTGGGGCAAGTAAGTTTTTACCATAAATGTGTGTTTGATTACTAATAAATATTTGTTATAACTTAAGTCATCTTTACTATTGTATCTGTCCAGCTTGCTACGTGTAAACAGCCTTATCACGTGGGTTAAACAGCACCCTCTTCTGGTTAAAGCCTGTTAATGTCACTACATATTTGGAAAATACTGTAGGAGCATCAGGGCATTCAAATCTGGGTACGGGGAAATCATGCTAATGATACATGCAGGAAAGGAAACCACATGAGCTTAAAGCATGCAGGGAGAGATTTGAAGTAGGCTTTGAGAGATATGAAATGTGAGAGCTGAGACAGATCAAATTGTGAAAACGAATAAAACACAGGATTCATATCTGTGATATGGACACTTGAGTGTTCTGTTGCCTTGTTAGGGAGATAGTGAAGCCTTTCAGGTGAACCACAGGGGACAGTGTGACGAAACCTAAACCCTGCTACGTCTGGCACCTCTCCCTCCCTCCACCCCCTTAGAGCCCGAACATGAAGGGCCGTGCCTCCTTTTTAACCGTTCCACAGACTCTCAGTGATTATGCTACTAGGGGGACCATACTTACAGTATATTGCTCCAAAGGGCTAACCTGCTGGGATGTGATGATCTGATAGGCCTGCTAGGTCTCTGATCTCCAAAGACTAGACGCTAGCTCTCCCTGGAGGATGGGGCTTTACATTGAAATGTCACACACACACATACACATGCACGCACATGCGCACACACACACACACACACGATCACACTCAGTCACCTTGGTGTGGACAGGGTTCATTCTGCCTGGGTTCATGTGGGGCCCAGAGTCATTAAGAGCTTTTAACAGCAGCTCTGCTGGGCCTTCTCCATTTACTAAGGAAAACAACAGGAACATTAGGCTTGCTCACCACAGTACACAGCCACATTGGCATGACATTTTTTATTTTTTTTTTATTTTTTATTTAGTATCCGAGGCATATGAGAAGACTGTACAGTATTTTAACTGGGACTGGTAAACTGCTATGGATATTTTGCACTTATCCAATGTGCACGTATCAGGCATTGAGTGTATTAGGACATAGCCTTACAATAACCCCTCCCCCTTGCCTGTGTGTCACATAGCCTTACAATAACCCCTCCCCCTTGCCTGTGTGTCACATAGCTTACAATAACCCCTCCCCCTTGCCTGTGTGTCACATAGCTTACAATAACCCCTCCCCCTTGCCTGTGTCCTGTCAGGAGAGAAAAGTAAGACGGTAGAGCTGGAGGATGTCAAGTTCCATCAATGTGTCCGTCTGTCCCGCTTCGAGAACGACCGCACCATCTCCTTCATCCCCCCCGACGGAGAGTCCGAGCTCATGTCTTACCGCCTCAACACCACGGTCAGTGGAACACACACACTCTCTCACACACACGCGCACACACACACACATAAATACGCACACAAGCACACACACACACATCTCCTTTGCCCCATGTTAACCTTCTTCCTTCTCTCTTCTCTGTCTGCCAGGTGAAGCCTCTGATATGGATTGAGAGTGTGATTGAGAAGTTCTCCCACAGCCGAGTGGAGATCAAGGTTAAGGTAACCATCATCCACTGTGTTGTGTTTTAGCATGGCTCCAACATTGGCTTTCCTATGAACCCTGGCTGCAATGTGGGACAATGTTTGGGTTGGGACTGTTTCCTCAACCTTTAACTTTAGATGCTATGAGTTAATCATTGAACAGGGAAGTCTTCATACAATAACCTCTGTTTTTTCTGATGACTGTCCCTTCGTTCCATCACTAACTTTGTGTGTCTCTGCTGGTAACCCTGTGACCTTTGACCTTTCACCTCCACCCTGCAGGCCAGGAGTCAGTTTAAGAGTCGCTCCACTGCCAACAATGTGGCCATCATGGTACCTGTGCCCAGCGATGCCGACTCGCCCAAATTCAAGACGAGCACAGGCAGCTGCCAGTATCTTCCTGAGAAGAGCGTGGTGCAGTGGAACATCAAGTCCTTCCCTGTAAGTATCTAATGTCACGGAGATTAACTAAACATTACTACGCTGAACAAAAATATAAATGCAACATGTAAAGTGTTGGTCTCATGTTTCATGAGCTGAAATAAAACATCCCAGAAATGTCTCTCATATTTGCTGCACAAATTTGTTTACATCCCTGTTAGTGAGCATTTCTCCTTTGCCAAAATAATACATCCACCTGACAGGTGTGGCATATCAAGAAGCTGATTAAACTGCATGATCATTACCCAGGTGCACCTTGTGCTGGGGACAATAAAAGGCCACTAAAATGTGCAGTTTTGTCACACAACACAATGCCACAGATGTCTCAAGTTTTGTAAAATCAATTGTTGCATGTTGCGTTTATATTTTTGTTCCATATAATAATAACCTATTTTAGATTGCAGTCAACTCAATGCCTCCCTGTTAGTGGGTCATCTGCTACAGTATGGTAATATTATCATAGCATAGGTCCTGTGTGGCTCAGTCGGTAGAGCATGGCGCTTGAAATGCCAAGGGTCGTGGTTTTGATTCCCGCTAGGACCACCCATACATAAAATGTATGCATGCATGACTGTAAGTCGCTTTGGATAAAAGCGTCTGCTAAATGACATATGTTATTGTAACAGTAGCCATGTGTTTTAGATACTATTTTGTTCAATCCACTCTCACACATTTGTACTCTTCAATACCATACTATGGGTAATTATTGACCAGGGGCGGCTGGTGGGAGGAGCAATTGGAGGATGGGCTCAATTTAATGGCTGGAATGGAGTAAATGGAACGGAGTCAAACATGTGGTTTCCATATGCCATTCCATTGATTCCATTCCAGCCATTACAATGAGCCTGTCCTCCTATAGCTCCTCCCACCAGCCTTCTATGTTATTGACTAAATAGTAACTAAATGGTAAAAATGTGGTCTTATCCATTAACAGTTTCTGAAGGCAGTACATACAGTATTCTCACAGGAAGCAGCTCCTTTTCTAATAGATAACATGTTTTTACACAGCCACCAGACGAATCATGGGGAGGTTAGACAAGTTATGTCTGATAACAGCTAGAGGAAACACTTCATATTAATAAAGACTGATAAGCAAACTTCACTCAACCCTATGGCCTGACTATTAAAATTACATTCAGCATGACTCTGTCAACTCTCTCTGCTGCTGTAAAACCACATCCTTCCTGGCTTTGAGAAACAACAGTCTCATGGACAGTTTAAACGAATAACTGTGTGTGGTGGTGGTATTAGTGATGTGTCGCAGGAGACAGTTAGTTTGTTTTTAATAAACACAATGTTTTAAGTGAGAAGTAGGCATTGGTCTGAAGCTGAAAAAGAATGGCACCACAATGCCTGTTCCACCCATGCTCTACCAAGGTTTTCCAGCACACAGCTTTAACCTACTACAGTAGCTACAGTGAGGGAAAAAAGTATTTGATCCCCTGCTGATTTTGTATGTTTGCCCACTGACAAAGAAATGATCAGTCTATAATTTTAATGGTAGGTTTATTTGAACAGTGAGAGACAGAATAACAACAACAAAATCCAGAAGAACGCATGTCAAAAATGGTATACATTGATTTGCATTTTAATGAGGGAAATAAGTATTTGACCCCCTCTCAATCAGAAAGATTTCTGGCTCCCAGGTGTCTTTTATACAGGTAACGAGCTGAGATTAGGAGCACACTCTTAAAGGGAGTGCTCCTAATCTCAGCTTGTTACCTGTATGAAAGACACCTGTCCACAGAAGCAATCAATCAATCAGATTCCAAACTCTCCACCATGGCCAAGACCAAAGAGCTCTCCAAGGATGTCAGGGACAAGATTGTAGACCTACACAAGGCTGGAATGGGCTACAAGGCCATCGCCAAGCAGCTTGGTGAGAAGGTGACAACAGTTGGTGCGATTATTCGCAAATGGAAGAAACACAAAATAACTGTCAATCTCCCTCGGCCTGGGGCTCCATGCAAGATCTCACCTCATGGAGTTGCAATGATCATGAGAACGGTGAGGAATCAGCCCAGAACTACATGGGAGGATCTTGTCAATGATCTCAAGGCAGCTGGGACCATAGTCACCAGGAAAACAATTGGTAACACACTACGCTGTGAAGGACTGAAATCCTGCAGCGCCCGCAAGGTCCCCCTGCTCAAGAAAGCACATATACATGCCTGTCTGAAGTTTGCCAATGAACATCTGAATGATACAGAGGAGAACTGGGTGAAAGTGTTGTGGTCAGATGAGACCAAAATCGAGCTCTTTGGCATCAACTCAACTCGCCGTGTTTGGAGGAGGAGGAATGCTGCTTATGACCCCAAGAACACTATCCCCACCGTCAAACATGGAGGTGGAAACTTTATGCTTTGGGGGTGTTTTTCTGCTAAGGGGACAGGACAACTTCACTGCATCAAAGGGACGATGGACGGGGCCATGTACCGTCAAATCTTGGGTGAGAACCTCCTTCCCTCAGCCAGGGCATTGAAAATGGGTCGTGGATGGGTATTCCAGCATGACAATGACCCAAAACACACGGCCAAGGCAACAAAGGAGTGGTTCAAGAAGAAGCACATTAAGGTCCTGGAGTGGCCTAGCCAGTCTCCAGACCTTAATCCCATAGAAAATCTGTGGAGGGAGTTGAAAGTTCGAGTTGCCAAACGTCAGCCTCGAAACCTTAATGACTTGGAGAAGATCTGCAAAGAGGAGTGGGACAAAGTCCCTCCTGAGATGTGTGCAAACCTGGTGGCCAACTACAAGAAATGTCTGACCTCTGTGATTGCCAACAAGGGTTTTGCCACCAAGTACTAAGTCATGTTTTGCAGAGGGGTCAAATACTTATTTCCCTCATTAAAATGCAAATCAATTTATAAAATTTTTGACATGCGTTTTTCTGGATTTTTTTGTTGTTATTCTGTCTCTCACTGTTCAAATAAACCTAACATTAAAATTATAGACTGATAATTTCTTTGTCAGTGGACAAACGTACAAAATCAGCAGGGGATCAAATACTTTTTTCCCTCACTGTATGTTGGTATTGTACTTCAAACTATGTGTAGGCAGGTTGCTTAGGATTCAAACCTTCTCAAACAGCCTAATTCATACTCTTAGAGGAGGTCCTTCCACAATAATGTGATTTGTACCGCATACAAGGTAAAGTATTGGATTCTTCACACACCACACTAATCCCATTCCACTACATTTTCAAGCTTTTTTAAATGATATGAAAGTTGCTTTTATACTTACAAGACCATCAGGCTTGATTGAGCTGTTTTGTCTTGTAGTAATGTGGTGCCTGACTGTAACACATATTTGAGCAATACATGTCATTGAGAAATAAATATATTTTATAACATATTTTTGGGGTCAGTAGGTGCCCAACATAACAACAGGTGGTGGTGTGTTGGACATAGTCACACACAAATTATATAGAGGTCTATAGAGCCTGTTTCAATTGCTGTGCTGATCAATGGGTAGTTCATTACCTCTGTCAAATGAATATGTAGCTTAAAGTTGTGTGTATTTGAATTTATTTTTGCAATAAAGATGGTGACGCTACAATAATACACATTTACAAAAGGTCTATAAATATATACAATGAGTATACCAAACATTAGGAACACCTTCCTAATATTCAGTTGCACCCTCCCATTTTGCCCTCAGAATAGCCTCAATTTGTCAGGGCATGGACTATACAAGGTGTTGAAAGTATTCCACAGGGATGCTGGCCCATGTTGACTCCAATGCTTCCCACAGTTGTGTCAAGTTGGCTGGATGTCCTTTGGGTGGTGGACCATTCTTGATACACACGGGAAACTTTTGAGCGTGAAAAACCCAGCAGCTTTGCAGTTCTTGACACAAACCAGTACGCCTGGCACCTACTACCATACCCCATTTAAAGGCACTTAAATATTTTGTCTTGGCCATTCACCCTCTAAATGGCACAGATACACAATCCATGTCTCAAGGCTTAAAACTTTTTTTAACCTGTCTCCTCCCCTTCATCTACACTGATTTTGAAGTGGATTTAACAAGTGACATCAATAAGGGATCATAGCTTTCACCTGGATTCACCTGGTCAGTCTATGTCATGGAAAGATGAATGTTTTGTATACTCAGTGTACATACAGACTAATGATATATACCCTCACCGGCCAGTTTATTAGGTACACCACCTCGTTCACGAAAATGGATTGCTCCTAATATTTGATTTAGTGCATAGCCACCTCAATATTTGCAGCCGTAGGTGATCATTTATTTCTAGGAGAATGATCCGTCACCAGTATCTAATTTGAAGGTAAGATTTGAATGGAGAACGCTGATCTGAGAGCAGCACAGCCTTTCTTTCGATCCTGTCAGTATCGACACATGCTCCAACAACGTACTTATTGAAAGTTCTCCCTACGTGGTGTTTTGGGAAAAGCATGTGAGTTCTTTGGCCGTTATAGAAACAATGCATGGTTAAAACACTGTAAGCAAAGTTCCATCGCTATGGGAAACCGGGCCCTGGCTATTACTTCATAGATATGGCTATTTGCATTTATGCAAAACATATGGATTCTCCCTTTAAATAGGGGAGAGGGGTGAATATCAACAGCTGCTTTACATTAAAGCACATACAGTACCAGTTCCTATAAGTGACTCAAAGTACTGAATAAGTTGGCTGAGAGCGTTTGGTGAGACATTTTTTTGCCCCCAGACGCCGATCCAGTTTCGTCATTGTAGATGGCAACTTCTCACTAAGGGGACCTACGCCGATATCTTTTGGATGTATTTTTTGGGTTGTGTCTGGACCGGCCATCTTTTATTTTGTTGCGGTCCGGACCGGCCTTGATTTCAATGTCCACGGATGGGACTCCCTAAAAGCACGCCACTTCGATACAAGTGACTTTTCATAGCAGGTTAGGAGAGCATTTTTGCTAACCCTCCGGACTGGACCAAATCTGAACCTATCATTGACATCTATGTTTCACAAGTTTGGACAACACAATACAGTACAGTAGAGTAGTTGTTCTCATACCTCTTCATGGGGACCCCAGGACGTTCCATGTAACTGATCTATTCCAGAGCTAGAACACCTGATTCAACTGGTCAACTAATCCTCAAGCTCTTGAATAGCTAGTTCAGAGCTACAGCAACATTGTGAAACATTTTGGGGGTTACCCAAGGAGAGGTTTAGCCATTCAGGTCACCTTGTAGTTGTTTACCTAACCTTTATTCAACAAGGAAGTCCTGTGCACTGTTGATGTATCCTACACCAGTACAGACGTGAGGAGTGTTTAATAAGGATATGACTGCATGGCCTTGCTAGTTTTGTTGTGATAAGATCAGGTAGGGAGGGGTTTAGGCTTCAATGGACCATTTTTTTCCGTTTACAGTGCTATAAAGTACACTATATATACAAAAGTATGTGGACACCCCTTCAAATTAGTGGATTTGGCTTTTTCAGCCACACCCGTTGCTGACAGGTGTATAAAATCGAGCACACAGCCATGCAATCTACATAGACAAACATTGGCAGTAGAATGGCCTTACTGAAGAGCTCAGTGACTTTCAAGGTGGCACCGTCATAGGATGCCACCTTTCCAACAAGTCATTTCGTCAAATTTCTGCCCTGCTAGAGCTGCCCTGGTCAACTGTAAGCGCTGTTATTTTTACAACTGAGGACAGCCTGCAGGCGCCCTGCCCACCACACAGAGTCTCTAGAGCACGATGAGCCAAGTAAAGCCCCTCCGGCCAAACCCTCCCCTAACCCAGATGACGCTGGGCCAATTGTGCGCCGCCCTATGGGACTCCCGATCACAGCCGAACCCCGGTCTGTAGTGACGCCTCTAGCACTGCGATGCAATGCCTTAGACCACTGCGCCACTAGGGAGGCCTAAGCGTTGTTATTGTGAAGTGGAAACGTCTAGGTGCAACAACGGCTCAGCCGCGAAGTGGTAGGCCACACAAGCTCACAGAACGGGACCGCCGAGTGCTGAAGCAAGTAGCACGTAAATATAGCCTGTCCTCCATTGCAACACTCACTACCGAGTTCCAAACTGCCTCTGGAAGCAACGTCAGCACAAGAACTGTTCATCGGGAGCTTCATGAAATGGGTTTCCATGGCCGAGCAGCCGCACACAAGCCTAAGATCACCATGCGCATTGCCAAACGTCGGCTGGAGTGGCGCAAAGCTCGCCACCATTGGACTCTGGAGTAGTGGAAACGCTTTCTCTGGAGTGATGAATCACGCTTCACCATCTGGCAGTCCGACGGACGAATCTGGGTTTGGCGGATGCCAGGTGAACACTACCTGCCTGAATGCATAGTGCCAACTGTAATGTTTGGTGGAGGAAGAATAATGGTCTGGGGCTGTTTTTCATGGTTCGGGCTAGGCCCCTTAGTTTTAGTGAAGGGAAATCTTAACGCTACAGCATACAATGACATTCTAGATGATTCTGTGTTTCCAACTTTGTGGCAACAGTTTGGGGAAGGCCCTTACCTATTTCAGCATGACAATGCCGCCGACTGCGACCCAGGCCTAATCGGCCAACATCTGTGCCCGACCTCATTAATGCTTTGTGGACTGATGGAAGCAAGTCCATGCAGGAATGTTACAACATCTAGTGGAAAGCCTTCCCAGAAGAGTGGAGGCTGTATAGCAGCAAAGGGGGGACCAACTCCATATTAATGCCCATGATTTTAGAATGAGATGTTAGACGAGCAGGTGTCCACATACTTTTGGTCATGTAGTGTATTTCACAACATAACAAAGAACATTACCGAAGAGAAATGCTCCAGTTTTCCAATAAACCTCATACCTGTGTGTGTGTTTGTGTGTGTGTGTGTGTGTGTGTGTGTGTGTGTGTGTGTGTGTGTGTGTGTGTGTGTTTTTCTTCTATGTTTGAACAGGGGGGAAAGGAGTACATGATGAGGGCTCACTTTGGTCTGCCTAGTGTGGAGAGTACTGAGTTGGAGGGGAGAAGGCCCATCACTGTCAACTTTGAGATCCCCTATTTCACTGTATCTGGTATCCAGGTAAGCTAACAGATCCCCTATCAATGAACCCTAGTAGAGCCAGGTATGAGTTCCATCTAATAGGGCATACAGGCTGGAAGGAGCTGACTCACGTGTGCGTGTGTGTTAGTGCGTGTGTCAGGGCCGGCGCCAGAACGAATCAGTTGGACGGGCCTTTGATTTCCATAGGCGGGCACGTTTTTCCATAGGCGGGCACTTTTCTCCACGGGACCTCCTATGTGTGCACGCGTTCACCATGTTTTCAATTGGTGTAACAGTAGAGACAATAAGGCAGTTCGTGAGTTTCAAGTTCGGGGAAGCTTACACTTTATCCTACCATTTCCACTGATCTGCTTGGCAGTTATGATTATTTTTACATGCGCATTTTTTGTGGAAGAGTTTAATTTCAATAATAATGTTTTCGTTTTTCAAAATCATTGTCACGTGGTTAATCATAAAAATCAAAAGTAAAATTATACAAATGTAAAAGTTCAAATTCAACAATGGCGAGAGCACCAGCCTCTGCCATATGGACACATTAATACACTGTGATCCATTGGCGGCTAAAGAAATGAGAGCATAGAACTCAGAGATAGCCTATAGGCCAATGCAGCAGTAGGCCTATAACTTCCATCGTCAACTAAGTAAAATACATAGGCCTAAAGCCGACAAATAAAAACAGTAGAAAATATCCTGATAAAAATTCAGGTTCTTTCAATATCCTGATAAAAATTCAGGTTCTTTCAATCACATTCATCTCTCCTGTAGCTCAGTTGGTAGAGCATGGCGCTTGCAACGCCAGGATTGTGGGTTCGATACCCACGGGGGGCCAGTATAAAAAATGTATGCACTCACTAACTGTAAGTCGCTCTGGATAAGAGCGTCTGCTAAATGACTTAAATGTAAATCTCTCTACTCCACCTGTCTGCCTCCCTTTCTATCTGTCTTGACTTGAGCTATTGCCAGTGAAGTCCAACATTGTATCAAATCATCACTGGGTCTGGTAGCTAGTGTGGTATCTAAATAATGATGCTAATTATGCTGTGAGGACAAGAAATCCGCTGACACTGTCCTTGATTATAATAGTTTATTATACCAAAGATTTCAGCGCCAGTTTACAGACTCCTGCAGACATCTGGAGAACAACTGACCCAATCTCTAATATGTTGTTCCTCCCCGTCCTTTGTTTCAACCATGGTATTTATATCCTATGCCCTATGTAACATAATATGGGTGTTTTCCCATAAACCAATCCTGGGAGGCCACATAACAGACTTCCTCTAACACACCATTTGCAAACATCAGCAAAGACATAAACTGTTTATACACTACACTAGCGAACTTGCAACATTGTATCAACTAGCCTATTCTGGGCCCTCAGTGTTTCCTGCGCCAGTGAGCTCGGGACAGATAGCTCTTTTTTTAAATGTTTTTTTTATTAATGAAATGTTGTTCTTTCACACCGAGGCTTGGCAATTATCGAGGTGTTGGAAAGATAGTTCCTTAGTATTTGAACAATAATTCGCAATGGATGTTAAAAAACACGTGAGGCGAATACAAAATAACTGAAAAGCTCAGCTTATTAGTGGTGTATGTGGTGAGTTAAGACAATCAGAAAATCAACATTGCCAAATGGGCACTTTCCTACATATGCATTCTGCAGAGAGACACACCATATCTTCGCCACACACCCCTCCCCTTCTTCTTGATGCAACATTTCAATGATACTCAAGACACATTATCTTCACACATATTTTAGATGCTTTTCACTGAAAGCCGAAACTCAATCAGCTAGACCTATTGCTACGCGCACTACCCAAATTGCGGGCTTCCCATACACACTTGTGATTTGAAATAAACCACAGCTATTTTTCCAAAAGAAGCTAATGATCCTCTGTGGCTAAGTCATGCTCCTCGGTTTAGTATTTTGAATGATTTTCTTTAGACAGGAGTAATTATATAATTTTGGCGAAACATCAATTTACTTTAGGGCAATCCAGCATCCTAACAGGGCACTGTGCTCCCGCCAACTTTCCTTTCCAATTCGCAAGAGGCTGAAACCAGAGATCTGTATATAATTTCAAGATGCTCATGTCTCCACCCTAACAATGGGAGTCTTTGTCCCAAAGGCGGGAAGGCAGATCAATCTTAGGTCTGCATATTATTCCCATAGAAACACATTGGGCCACATGCCATACTATTTTGGTCCAGACAGCATCAGATAAATGGTCTACACATACAGAGACAGAGGGGTGCTGTTTCGCTCGCTCGGATGCTTTAACTGAAATTGATGCGTCTTTCTGTCGGAGCGCGTCTCGGTCAAATAAATGATAAAATTTCAATATTTTATTTGGACGGGCAAGGAGGTATGGTAGGGCGGGCCAGGCCCCCTAAGGTCCGCCCATAACACCGGCCCTGGCGTGTGTGTGTGTGTGTAAACTGTTCCTTGCTCCTCCTCAGGTACGCTATCTGAAGATCATTGAGAAAAGCGGCTATCAGGCCTTACCATGGGTACGCTACATAACACAGAGTGGAGGTGAGACACACACACACACACACACACACACACACACACACACACACCATCCCGCCCCGCAGTGAACCCAGCTATCATATCTATTACCTCTCTCCTGAAGCTGGGGCAAGGGGGATTTGAATTATGCCTTACTGCCATTAGGTTCGCTGTGTCACTTGGCTCTGCATACCAAGGTGGCTATCACCTTTCCACTGTGATCAGCAGAGGTAGAGAGAGAGAGAGAGGGATGGAGGGAGAGAACGAGAGAGAGTGAAAGGATGGGAGAGGTGTTGACTTATTCATAAGCGAGTTATAAGCAGTCATTGTAAAGCCATAATAACTACTCCACTGACCCCAATGTGTAACTCAGTCACCCAGAGCCCCAACACTAATTTTAACGTTAATGTGACGCCACAGGACAGGGGCAAAGTGATGATGGATAGAACAGTGTTAATGTATTGCTGTTATATCTTCACTTCTTGGCAGATTATCAACTCCGGACAAACTAAGGGCAAGCCTGCTGCTAGACGAATTGATCGTCACTCTCTCCCTCTCTCTGGCTCTCTGGGAGTGAGGGACAGCAGAGGACAAGGAAATGGGAACAACTTTCACCACTGTCAATTCTCAAAGGAAAAGGTAGCCATCTTGCACACTCTGCAGAGGACCTTCAAGACTCCATTTCCCTTTAGAACTGTCACCTTCGACCTTTGCTTTGTTACATCATCTGGAGAAACATGTTGAATAATGAACGTAGGGGTTTTCTTATTGGTCACATTGTAACATTTGTATAGTTGTATTTTCTTCTGGACTAATTCACGACATGATGATCTCATCATTGAAAGTGTACATTGAAACCTGTGACATTGAAACCTGTGTACAGCACTAATAAAAAAGTTTATCTGCTTGGTGTGGGTGTGGATGCTATCGGTTGACGTTATCTGGAGTCAGCTGTAAGCATATAATCCCCACCGTGTCCAAGAGATTAACACCAAGATAGCCAAATCAATGATTAATAGGCCTGCATAATATCAGCCGCTGTTTATTACAATATTGTCGTCACAGTTCCTAGACTTGTGCTTGTACTCAGCTGACAACTATTGAGCAAAAGACTGAAGGAATTCTCTGTGTGCAGATCACAATGATATAGTGTTTCTAACAGTCTTGTGATACAGACACATTTAACGCCTCCAGGAAATGCCATGATCAAAATGAGTAAACCCTCAATAAGGTGGTCCGATATGAAGAGAAAGTGGACATATCTATGTCAATGTGTGAAAATCTATGCCAATGTGTCTCCACCAAACAAACACCCAACTTTTCCAAAGCAGGTGTTGGTTGGTATGGTTACAGTAGTCTGTTGTGCCTGCAATGCACCACCCCTCATATCAGTTCTAGTTCTCTCTCTGCCAGGGTAATAGCTCGGGTTCTCTCTGCCAGGGGAATAGAGTAGAAAGGTTCAGCCCAGATTAAACAGCTAAAATCAAATCAACTTCAAATGTTATTGGTCACATACACATATTTAGCAGATGTTATTAGGGGTGTAGCAAAATGCTTGTGTTCCTAGCTCCAACAGTGCAGCTCCAGTCAATGTGGTGTGTATGAGTGTGCTGTGTGTAGGCCTACTGTATGAAATCCAGACCTGGTTTCAAATTCATGTTTTTATTTGTTATTTAAATACTTATTTTCTGTATATTTGAGTATTTTCAAATAATGTGGGTGACTCAAAAAGTTTTTTCAAATACTTATTTCAAATACTATTTTCAAATACCTGGGTTAGATGCATGGTAGTATATTTGAGACCGTGTATTTGAGTATTTTCAAATACTTTCCAATATTCAACTACTTGTCTTAAAAAATATATATATATATCTAAATACTTACTTCCAAATGTCTTTAAAAGTAAGTGAAATACCCTAAATAGTACGTCAACCCAGGTCTGATGAAATATCATATTAAACCATCCATGTAAAATAGTTGATTATGAGGAACAGGACAAATATGACTATTTTCTTCCAGATATTCTCTCCAGTGGGGTTTTTAATGATTAGTATGTGTTTTTCAAACTATTCATATCTTATTTATTAACCTCTGTACGTCAATGGGAGACAAAGGGATCTAGATAGAAATAAATGACTTTGTACCTTAATATCTTCACTGGTTATTTCCAGCTCTATCAGTGAGATCATGTATGTTATCAAATAAAAGCCAGGGACAGCCGAGCTGAACCTCCTAGGCTATGACCGATGAGGGGAACTGGACCTGAGGGCTTAGCTCTCCCTCTTTCTCTCTCTCTCTGTCTGGTTTCTCTCTCATCACTGTTTGTGGCTGTCGTCTCTCTTATCATACGTACACAAACATACTTGGCACCACCTAGACAGCAAGTCCTGCATAGCAGAGCACAGCAGAGACCGAGAACAGTCCCTTGTCAATTAGAGATTGCACGCTGTACTGGCTCATTACACAGTCACTGCACTGCCGATGCTGTGTGTGTTAAGAGGGTGGTAAGGGTGAGCCGTACTGGGCGATGCCAGCCCCTTTACAATACACAGCCTGTCCATTGTCCCAGTGCCCAACCATCAGTACAACAACAATGGCCGCCTCAGTGACCCGTATTGTCTCTGAGCAACAGGCCTCTTACATGCACTGCCTGATAAGGAGGTGCGAGGGCCAGACACACACACACACACACACAAAACACACAAATACACACACACAGCAACTTAAATCCGAGAACCCAAGCATATAGACGCTTTGTTCAATGAAACCATATTGTAGCCTTTAACCATGGCAACAATGCAGGACATTCTCCTCAGATTCTTGGTAAGCGTTGCAAAGCAAAGTGAGTGATGACACAGCTTGCTTATGGAGGCCTTTGACCACCCAACACTGCTGTAAACCTGTGACATGAAAAGGTGACAAAATGTGACATTGATCAGTAAATCACTTTATCAGGTTGATTAAGTTTGGAGATGCAGGGTACATTATTCTATGATATCATTATTCCTTACAGCAGCTTTTTCACCTGCTGCTTTGTAGTGGATGATATTATTATGACATTACATTGGACACATTATGAATCATTATCTCTGCACTGTGTTCAGTGTCCGGTGTCTGTGCAGGGTCACTGGTATTCTCTATATTCCACATCATAGAATATTGCTCTGCTGGGCTCTAGCTCATAAAATGGCCCATGTTTGAACCATAAAAACAGAATGTGTTAACGCAGCTCTGTATTCCTCATGGTATTTCATGGTCCTGCAAAATTCCATTGCTTTAAGGACCACAGGGACGCTGTGGTAATCAACAACTCATTGAACATACCAAAGTGTCTTTCCAAGATGGCCACTATGCTCAAATGCCATTTTCAGATGTGATGTCCCTTGGTCCCTCCCTGACAGCAAGGTGGATGTGGCCCACATTCAGACCAAACGTGGCCCAGCAACTACAGTGGGGAGAACAAGTATTTGATACACTGCCGATTTTGCAGGTTTTCCTACTTACAAAGCATGTAGAGGTCTGTAATTGTTATCATAGGTACACTTCAACTGTGAGAGACGTAATCTAAAACAAAAATCCAGAAAATCACATTGTATGATTTTTAAGTAATTAATTTGCATTTTATTGCATGACATAAGTATTTGATCACCTACCAACCAGTAAGAATTCCGGCTCTCACAGACCTGTTAGTTTTTCTTTAAGAAGCCCTGCTGTTCTCCACTCATTACCTGTATTAACTGCACCTGTTTGAACTCGTTACCTGTATAAAACACACCTGTCCACACACTCAATCAAACAGACTCCAACCTCTCCACAATGGCCAAGACCAGAGAGCTGTGTAAGGACATCAGGGATAAAATTGTAGACCTGCACAAGGCTGGGATGGGCTACAGGACAATAGGCAAGCAGCTTGGTGAGAAGGCAACAACTGTTGATGCAATTATTAGAAAATGGAAGAAGTTCAAGATGACGGTCAAACACCCTCGGTCTGGGGCTCCATGCAAGATTTCACCTCGTGGGGCATCAATGACCATGAGGAAGGTGAGGGATCAGCCCAGAACTACACGGCAGGACCTGGTCAATGACCTGAAGAGAGCTGGGACCACAGTCTCAAAGAAAACCATTAGTAACACACTACGCCGTCATGGATTAAAATCCTGCAGTGCACGCAAGGTCCCCCTGCTCAAGCCAGCGCATGTCCAGGCCCGTCTGAAGTTTGCCAATGACCATCTGGATGATCCAGAGGAGGAATGGGAGAAGGTCATGTGGTCTGATGAGACAAAAATAGAGCTTTTTGGTCTAAACTCCACTCGCCGTGTTTGGAGGAAGAAGAAGGATGAGTACAAACCCAAGAACACCATCCCAACCGTGAAGCATGGAGGTGGAAACATCATTCTTTGGGGATGCTTTTCTGCAGAGGGGACAGGACGACTGCACCGTATTGAGGGGAGGATGGAATGGGCCATGTATCGCGAGATCTTGGCCAACAACCTCCTTCCCTCAGTAAGAGCATTAAAGATGGGTCGTGGCTGGGTCTTCCAGCATGACAACGACCCGAAACACACAGCCAGGGCAACTAAGGAGTGGCTCCGTAAGAAGCATCTCAAGGTCCTGGAGTGGCCTAGCCAGTCTCCAGACCTGAACCCAATAGAAAATCTTTGGAGGGAGCTGAAAGTCCGTATTGCCAAGCGACAGCCCCTAAACCTGAAGGATCTGGAGAAGGTCTGTATGGAGGAGTGGGCCAAAATCCCTGCTGCAGTCTCTGCAAACCTGGTCAAGACCTACAGGAAACGTATGATCTCTGTAATTGCAAACAAAGGTTTCTGTAACAAATATTAAGTTCTGCTTTTCTAATGTATCAAATACTTATGTCATGCAATAAAATGCAAATTAATTACTTAAAAATCATACAATGTGATTTTCTGGATTTTTGTTTTAGATTCCGTCTCTCACAGTTGAAGTGTACCTATGATAAAAATTACAGACCTCTACATTCTTTGTAAGTAGGAAAACCTGCAAAATCGGCAGTGTATCAAATACTTGTTCTCCCCACTGTACAAGGCCACATACCTCAAGCCAGAGCTGGTCAATAAGCTCCAACCCTCCCCCAGTGCGCATCTCCCACATATGGATCAGATCTGGGCCATATGAGCTTCACAGTCATCTGCTGTGTGGGCTACCTGTCCCATCCCATGTCACTGGTGGTCAGTTCAGATGAGGTTAGCCAGGCTAGAGGTGGTCTCCCTCCTACCCTGGTCCATGTGTCTTCCAGAGATAGTGAACAGCCCCACAGCCCTGTCCCTAAACCTCTGTCCCGGCCTGGTCCTATCCAGCAGCAACACCACCCCTGTGTACACCCCCACCCCCACTACCGCTGCCCCCCCTCCAGCTAACAACACCACCCCAGAGATGTACATATCGTTCAGGGCCACGCCCGGCTGGGGCATGTGGTGCTCCAAGGCCAGCTTCAGCAGCACAGCCCCACAGACCACCAGACACAGCCCCGTGATCAGCACCACTAACAGATCCGACAGCCCTCCGCTCTTCAGGATATCGATCCGCCTGCGACTCCGCACACAGTTCATGTCCTGCACGGCCGAGCTCAGGAGCTGTTTGAGGAGGACGGCCAGGGCTAAGAGACACAGGGCCATGCCCGCTCCCATGCGCCAGTCACTGGAGAAACTGGTGGTGGTGGAGAGGAGGAGCACGCCGCCCAGGCCGCAGCCCAGGATGAGGAGGACCGCCAAACAGTAGCACAGCAGAGACTTGGCTGGGTCTCCGAACCACCACAGCTCCACCTGTTCATCCAGAACACTGCGCTGGATCTGGGCAGGGTCGGGACCGGCCGGCTGGTCAACCCGCGTCGGAGGGAAGTCCTCCAGCTCTGGCATCCTGATCCTCCCAGCCTGACGGACACGCTCTCCAGAGAACTACCAAGACACAAGCTGGATCACTGGAACTCTCAGTGGAACACCATTCTTTCTCTCTGGAAATCTTGAGTGGATCCCAATACAGTCCTCAGTGGATCACAGCAGATGGATCACTGGACACCTCACCGGATCACAGTTCCTTCTCACTTGATTATAGGTCCTTTTGGTAGATCACTGGTCCTCTTGGTGGATCACAGGGTCCCTCAGGTAGTCCACTGCAGCCTGAGAGGATGTCCTGGGACCAGATGCAGCCTGATGGATACCTGGGGAGAGGAGAGACAGGGGAGATGAGCGCCACCTGCTGACACACACGCACGCACGCACGCACACACACACGCACACGCACACACACGCACACACACACACACGTACGCATGCACACACACACAGAAACACACAGACACACACACAGAAACACACAGACACGATATGCCATCTTTAAAGCAGAGCTCTAAACATAAGAGCTCCTGCCATATAACAGAGGTACCCTGCAGAGAGAGGTGTTTGAACTGACTGAAAACATAATGCTGAATATGCAACCTGAAAACCCCTCTCCCTTCTGAGGCGTGTGTGTGTGTGTGTGTGTGTGTGTGTGTGTGTGTGTGTGTGTGTGTGTGTGTGTGACAGAGAGAAAGAATGTGAAATAGAAGTGTGTCTGTGTTTCTGTAGTTATACGAGTGTGTGTATGTGTGTGTGTTGTTTATTCGATTAGCAGCTGTTAGTGGCCTGGCATCTTTATGGTGTACTCCTGTATGTAGACCAGCACCCTGTAGGCTAGTTTAGCCACCCAGCTCTCGTCCTCTGTGTTGTGTGCGACCTCCTGTTTATTCCCCTGCAAGGTGATGTTTCTAAGATAGCGGTGCAACGCTGACTACAGCCCCACTCGCAACGGGGCTCAAGTATGAGTCCTTTTATCAATGGGCTGTCCCTGTAGTCCCAGCAACCCTCAAGGTCAGACCGCAGACAGCTTGTCTTTAAAAGTCTGTCAGCCCCTTTACTATCAAAGTCAACAGCGCGAGCTGAGGCGCTGAGCGAGGCGAGCACAGAGCAGCAGCAGCAGCTCTCTGACAGGAATTACAACTGTCCTCTGACAGGAATTACAACTGTCCTCTGACAGGAAAGGAATTGCAACTGTCCTCTGACAGGAATTACTACTGTCCTCTGACAGGAATTACAACTGTCCTCTGACAGGAATTACAACTGTCCTCTGACAGGAATTACAACTGTCCTCTGACAGGAAAGGAATTACAACTGTCCTCTGACAGGAAAGGAATTACAACTGTCCTCTGACAGGAATTACAACTGTCCTCTGACAGGAATTACAACTGTCCTCTGACAGGAAAGGAATTACAACTGTCCTCTGACAGGAAAGGAATTACAACTGTGCTCTGACAGGAATTACAACTGTGCTCTGACAGGCCTAGTCTAGTCTGCTGACACAAACAGAACACTACCAGTCTGTCTGAGCCGCCCAGCAGCAGGTTGAGCTGAGTCCTCATCATCAACACACAGGGATATGACAGACAGTACAGCTGAGTCATAAGGTGTTCACATGAGGTGTGAAGTGTGTACATGACACTGCAACAAAATTTCCCCATGGGGACAATAAAGTAAGTAAGTAAGTAAGTAAGTGAAGGGATCCTAAATAACAGAGTGCACTGTGTTTATTGGACTCCCGGTTCTCCACGCCGCTTCAGTTCATAATTATGAGGTGGATGTGTGTACACTGTGTGTGTGTGTGTGTGTTGTTGAGTCACTCATTAAATCCCAGCAGGTTTGGACCTGATGCCACTGACAGGTAGAACAGGAATAGAAGGCAGTAATTGAGGTGACATATGAGCTGGACGAAAACAACACACACACATATACAGTGCTATGAAAAAGTATTTGCCCCCTTTCTAATTTTCTCTACTTTTGCATATTTGTGATACTGAATGTTATCAGATCTTCAACCAAAACCTAATATTAGATAAAGAGCCCGTTGGGAAGTTGCAGCGATGAGACAAGATCGCAATTGGATATCACTAAATGGGGAGAAAAAGCGGGGTAAAAAAATATATACTTAAGTAGTAAAAGTATAAATCATTTTAAATTCCCTATATTAAGCAAACCAGATGGCACCATGTTCTTGCTTTTTTTTTTTTTTTTTACTGATAGCCAGGGGCACACTCCAACACTCAGACATGTGTTTAGTGAGTCCACCAGATCAGAGGCAATAGGGACGACCAGGGATGTTCTCTTGATAAGTGCGTAAATTGGACCATTTTCCTGTCCTGCTTAGCATTCAAAATGTAACAAGTACTTTTGGGTGTCAGGGAAAATGTATGGAAAGTACATTATTTTCTTTAGGAACGTAGTGAAGTAAAAGTAAAAGTTGTCAAAATATAAAAAGTAAAGTACAGATATCACAAAAAACGACTTAAGTAGTATTTTAAAGTATTTTTCCTTTCTGTATATATATACATATAAATTGCATCAATGATTGTGGAAGATGTCTTCAATGATCACACCAATGATAGAGATGATGGAAATGTGATTTTCAGTACATTTTGATGGGTAGTACAAATGTATAGCCCAACGTGAATATAGTGCAATGTACTGTAATTTACAGTACTGTAGCATATTACTTTCAGCACTTCAAAGGGCAATTTTGAAACATGCATCTTAGCATTTTTTGCTATTGGATTAACTGGCTGTTAAAACAGCTAAATTGAGAAGATATCCTTATCTTGTGTTTTGGTGATAAAACCAATGTACTCATTATATTTCACAGTAAACTTATATTTTGGATCAATGGTTGTGTGGTGAAAGATGTCTACAAACGAAATGAATGCACAAAGTTACAACTGCGTTACAACTGTGACTAATTTGGAGTTTTGTACTAAAAGTTTAGAAAATTCACCACACACTTGTGAAAATAGTACCAAAGCGTTAAAAACAAACTGTAATGGAATGTGTAATTTAGCTATTGAACACAACAACTATATTTCAAGTGAGAATTAGGCAAGTCTGATGGCACAAATTAAAGGAAATTCTTGCCTACTTCACCCATGTTTAATTTGTGCAATAAAAGTAGTGTGTAGTTCCAGTAGTTAGCTACACCGCTACATTGCAAAAAAGTAATTAACTACTCAAAACACTACCAAGATTTTTGAATTTAGTTCAACCACTACCAAGCTACTGTAAAATTACTAGTTGAACTACATGTAGTTCACTACTCCCCAACACTTAACTACAATGACCAGAATCCATTTGGCCTATTCTTCCTGGTACCGCACACGGAACGCATGAGAGAGGAATGTACACAACACAGCAACAACAGGGATAGACAGTTCAGAAGGTATAGCTCTACTAACCGACTGATAGTTGTAGCAGTCTTGAAAGTATGCGTTATCTACTTTGAATAACTACTAAAATAGTGATTTCTTCAGACAGCTCTGCAGCATGGGCAGCTGTGGCAAACCAATGATCACTGGCTACCCTTTTCGCTAGCCAAGGCCGGAGAGCATGATTATTTGTTTTAAACCGAACCGCAACTGAACCGACCTCAAAAAGCACGAATCGCTCAGCACCAACGCACACACACTCTCTCTAGTTTAGAGGCACAGGGTGTAAGCCTTTCTGCCTGCTCTCTTATCAGAGCTAATAGGACCTCTCCTTCACATCACACCGATTACAGAGGCCTCATCAAAAATACCTTCATCATCTGCTCCTGTTTTCTCTCTGTGGGCTATTCTCTAGTCTGTCTCTTCTGTATTTAGCAGACAATGACTTCCCCCAAACGTCTGTAGCACCCAGCAAGTTTTATGATGGTTACGGGCTCCCGAGTGGCGCAGTGGTCTACGGCACTGCATCTCAGTGCTTGAGGCGTCACTACAGACCCCCTGGTTCGATTCCAGGCTATATCACAGGCTGATTGGGAGTCCCATAAGGCGGCGCACAATTGGCCCAGTGTCGTCCGGGTTTGGCCGGTGTAGGCCGTCATTGTAAATAAGAATTTGTTCTTAACTGACTTGCCTAGTTAAATAAAGGTAAAATGAAAAAATAAAAATAATGTGCAGAGCAGCATATTTCAGTTATGCAAATGTTCTCTGTGATAATGATGAGGAAATCCCACAGATAATCGTAAACCTTGAGAATCATTTAGTAAGATCTATTTTTGGTTCAGAGTTGTTTTTGCCTGAAGGTCGGTCTGTTGGTCGACTCGACAGAGGAGCTGTGCTTTCCTCCAATGACCTGCTATGCTTTAGGGACACTGTATTCCCTCTGTTATTTGGTCCTGCTGAATTCATCCCACCAAGGCATTAGTGTCTCATTTTATTTATTTTAAGTTCTGTTCTTTTAAAATAGGAATTTGCCATTATAATCAGTCTGTAGATTAAGTATTGATGGGTTCACATAAGAACATAATATCCAGTAAAAAATAAACAAAATGGTGGTTGTTTTACTTCTGTCAGGAGGAGATGAGAGCCAAGGGAGCCACACAGTTGCAGAGGCTTTGCTTTGATCTGCAGTCAAACGGCTGAAACTGCTTGTCCCTACTTCCTCTCTGCAGGGTTGTACGACCTTTGACCCGACACACTGCTCCTTCCAACCAGCAGGTGTTTAAAGAGGCCTTTAGAGAACCAGCAGTACTGCGTGGTCCCTTTAATAATTCATCCAGGCCTGAGAGCCCAGGCCAGCCAGCAGGGAAAGAGGAGCAGTCCCCGACAGGATGGAGTTTCACCGGCTTTCAGTAAACTGATGTCACGCTCCTGCACTGGTCCTGGTCCTGGTCCATCATAGCTGGCTATGACACAAACGGGGTCCTCGCCGTGGTCCTGTTGTGTGAATGTGTTTATCTGAGGCCCTTGGAGAGGATGTGGGGGCAGGAGTTGCCATGGCAACAGCGTCTCCTCCTCTTCCTGTTCCTGTCAGTGGGTGGTCTCTGTGTGGCGGTGGCGCTGCGGTCCCCGCGGGTGAGGAGAGGGGTCAGGGTTGGCACCATCTGTCTGTGCACTGGGCATCAGTGCCAAGCGCCATGGGGGCCGGGAGGCTGGTGCTGCTAGGGGCTGGAGACAGGCAGGCGTCTGGGGATGAGGCTGGGCAGGACAGGGCTGGATGATGGCGTGGCGTGGCGGGCGGAGAGAGAGAGGTTCTGAATGGTTCTTTATTCAGGCAGTGTCTCTGTTCCTGTCACAGTCCAGCCAGTCAGGGCCCTGGGGACCCTCTCTGTGGCCAGGCACGGTGAGGGGACAATGGGCAGACTCACCAACTCAGTTGGGCTTAATGCTATTTTAATTGTGGACTGTGTGCTTGATAGCAAATACTAGTAAAAATAACAGCACAAGGAAACACTGGTGTCTCCCCTGCTGGTTTCCCCCCCTCTGGTGCTGTACCTGTGCCTGGTGTTGTTTTCAATCTCTCAGCAGCAGGACCTAGTGATGTTGGCTGTGATGTCACCACCCATCTCAACTTGCACCAACTCCCTGCCGAGACCTCTGACTCAGACACCTGACTACAGTAGCTTGCCTGCATCAGTCACAAACTGTATGGAAAGAAGAATAGAATAGAAAATAACAGAATTGAAAGGAGAAAAAAACAGAACACCAACACCAACACGTTATAATACAGCACAAACATAATCTAAACAAAGTCTGCAATGTTTTCGCAGTGGGCTTTTCATTAGCATACTTTCCTGTCCTTGCTGTGTTTTTGCTGATAGTGTCTCCTATAGCCGCCACCCCGGATATACACTCTCTGTAGTGCCTTTATCGAGCACAGCTGCAATATTAAAATCAAATCAAAAATGAACATGCGCTCGTGTCCCCCTTGCCTCGCTCCACTCTGCTGACGACAGGAAACGTGTTTACTTTTTGTGTCACGGTTTCGGCCGAGGCTGCTCCTCCTCCTGGTTCGGGCAGGCTTCGGCGTTCGCCGTCCCCGGAGTACTAGCTGCCACCGCTCTATGTTTCTGTGTTCCATTGCTTTTGTCTGTCTGTCACACCTGTGTTTGTTTTAGAGTTGATTACTTGTCTTATAAGTTCCATGCATTATTCTAGGGTAGTTGTGTGTGGTTGTCCGTTGCTCCGTGGTTTTGATACGTGTTTGTGTTCCGTGTTTCAGTATTTGTACTGTGGACTTCACGAGTCGTCTTTTGTTTTGTATTTTACGTGCTTACTCTAATTAAAGTCATGTTCGTTCAACGCGCTGCGCTTTGGTCTCCTTCACTCCTAGACGATCGTGACAGAATAACCCACCTTAGAAAGACCACTCCTCCGGCGGATTAACACCTTTCCAGTGTATTTTAGGGTATCAGCCGGTCCTGGCACCGTGGCACGAGAGCCAGACCGAGGCCCCTGCGGTGGACGAGTGGATTCGGCGCTCGGAGGAGACGTGGGACGCTGCCCATGTCCATCTGCAGCGTGCCATCCGTCACCAAAAGGCGAGCGCCGACCGTCACCGCAGTGAGGCACCGGTGTACGCACCGGGAGATCGAGTCTGGCTCTCGACTCGAAACCTGCCCCTCCGCCTGCCCTGCCGGAAGCTGGGTCGGCGGTTTGTGGGGCCCTTCAAAGTCCTGAGAAGATTGAACGAGGTGTGTTACAGATTACAGCTGCCTATAGAGTATAAAAATATTAACCCCTCGTTCCATGTGTCTCTTCTCAGGCCGGTGGTAGCTGGCCCACTCCAAGAGGAGGAGATAGGAGAGACCCCTCCGCCCCCTTTGGACATCGAGGGGGTCCCGGCGTACAGAGTCCGGACCATCTTGGACTCGAGACGCCGGAGGAGTGGTCTCCAGTATCTCGTGGAGTGGGAGGGGTACGGTCCGGAGGAACGGTGCTGGGTGCCCAGGAGGGACATACTAGATCCATCCCTCCTGACGGAGTTTCACCATGGGCATCCCACGCGCCCGGGTCCGTGTCCTCCTGGCCGTCCCCGAGGCCGGGGTCGGCGCGCGGCTGGGGCCGCGCGTCAAGGGGGGGGTACTGTCACGGTTTCGGCCGAGGCTGCTCCTCCTCCTGGTTCGGGCAGGCTTCGGCGTTCGCCGTCCCCGGAGTACTAGCTGCCACCGCTCTATGTTTCTGTGTTCCATTGCTTTTGTCTGTCTGTCACACCTGTGTTTGTTTTAGAGTTGATTACTTGTCTTATAAGTTCCATGCATTATTCTAGGGTAGTTGTGTGTGGTTGTCCGTTGCTCCGTGGTTTTGATACGTGTTTGTGTTCCGTGTTTCAGTATTTGTACTGTGGACTTCACGAGTCGTCTTTTGTTTTGTATTTTACGTGCTTACTCTAATTAAAGTCATGTTCGTTCAACGCGCTGCGCTTTGGTCTCCTTCACTCCTAGACGATCGTGACATTTTGGGTTCGGAGGCGGCCTTCAGCATATTCAGTCCTCCCTGCTCTGTGAAACAGGAGCCTGGGCTACAACCTGATCCTCACAGGGCTGGCTTCCAGGGTAGAGCAGAACATTGGATGGTTCATTGGATTGGTTCTTTGAACACTGTGCAGACCACGATCTGTGTGAAACACATCTGTGACACACACACAAATACATGCCAAACGCACTCCTTACACATCACACATTCACTTACTATTCTCTCTTTCTCTCTCACCCTCTCTCACTCTGTGTCTCTGTCTCTCTCTCTCTGTCTCTCTTTCTCTCTCACCCTCTCTCTCTGTCTCTCTCTCTCTCTCTGTCTCTCTTTCCCTCTCACCCCTCTCTTTCTCTCTCACCCTCTCTCTCTCACCCTTCTCTCTCTCTCTCTGTCTCTCTCTCTGTCTCTCTCCCTCTCTCTCTCTGTCTCTCTGTCGCTCACCCTCGCTCTCTCTCTCTCTCCCTCTCTCACCCTCTCTCTCTCCCTGTCTCTCTCTCTCTTTGTCTCTCTGTCTCTCTCTGTCTCCCTGTCACTCTCTCTCTCTTTCTCTCTCTCACCCTCTCTCCCTACACACACACACACATCACAAGAGGTTGGTGGCACCTTAATTGGGGAGGACAGGCTTGTGGTAATGCCTGGAGCGGAATCAGTGGAATGGTAGCTCATTTGGTAGAGCATGGCGCTTGCAACGCCAGGGTTGTGGGTTCGTTTCCCACGGGGGGGGGGGGGGGGGGGGCAGTATGAAAATGTATGCACTCACTAACTGTAAGTCGCTCTGGATAAGAGCATCTGCTAAATGACTAAAATGTAAATGTAAATGTATCAAACACATGGTTTCCTTGTGTTTGATCCCATTCCATTTGCTCCGTTCCAGACATTATTATGAGCCATGAGATAGGAGTGACCTCTCCATTGTTGTTCCCTGCTAGGTATAGTCATTTACTGTTACACAAGAATATGCTAGATGGATTTTCCACAACACCAGTGACCTTTGTTTTGTATGGTATATAAAAGTGGAAATAGCTACATCATAACAGAGTTTAGAGGTTGCGGCCAACATTAACACTATGGTCCAAAGGTTAAGGTGTGATGTGGTATTGGCCGGAACTAGTTACATTATAGGAACTTCTTGGTTGGCTTGAATAAATAAATAAAAAACGGGACAATTCAGTCCTCCACAAAACCTGTTCCACCCATTCTGTCTGGCAATAAAAGGTTCATATTTATTAAACTATTCCAGTCTTTCCAGTTTCACAAAAATATGGCTGAAAATAGACGAAACTCACCAGAATTGTGTTATTTGCATCATGGATGTAAAAATAGTCAGGAGTATGTGTTTGTTTAGTTTTTAAATACATTACTGTTTTTTACGCCATGTTTAATAACTCTTATGGTCAATGGTCAAGTCAGGCTCAAGAATATTAATTAAAACTTCAGTCAAACAGCTAGCTAATAACCATGATGAATCTTTATGAGGGGGTGGACCAAGTAAGTTACCAATTTCCCGCTATTAAATGTTGACAAATCCGAAATGATGAGCTTCATTGTCCTTAAATGGGAGATAGCTATCAGAAAATACAAAGGGCTATATGTATTCAATGTGGCAACTGCAGTGAGCTAAACTCTCCATGTAGCCTACTCTGGCTCTATGGGATGATTGTCTCAACAGGATGGTGACATGGTTACAACAAACATACAGTAACACATTACCCAAGGCTGTCATACACAACACCATCATAAAGCTACCTGACACTGTCATATGATGACCTGTCATGAGGACGCTATGACAGTAAACTAGACTACATTTATATTCACCTCAATTACCTTGCTTGAAAATTCAAATAAGTAGTTAGCCTAGAACCGAACTAAAAAGGTGGAACAATTTCAAGAAAGTTATATAGCCTAGTCTGCTTTAGGTGGCTCTTCATCAAATCGAGTGTGTGATTCATGCACTGTCTGGCATTTGTATTCTGTCTGTAGGCTGTTTACCTGTGCGTGGGGCTGGCACATTCCCTGTCGCTATTCATCCCCGAAACCGAATGGCTCCACAGATCTGCGCTCCTGCGCCGGGAGGTATTTCCAATTCCCGACCATATGCCGCGCGGCTGGTGTGTGCAAGAGCGGTTTGGAACACTATAGTCTCGATAATCAACGCACCTCTGACTAGACGGACTACCTTTCTCCGAGGGTGATTGTGTGTGCCTCTCGCTCTCACGGAACGGTGCGCAGGTCTAGCGGACTTTCCCTAATGCAGGTGTGGTCACCGCACTCAGAGGCGACGCCGGTTGGGAGGGGAGAGCGCATCCGTGGGCTACAGAGCAGCGCGCGACCTTTCGCTGAAGTCCCATGGGGAAAGCCCGAGCGCCAGCCTGGAATTATAAACACGTCTCATGAAGGGGGTGTGCGCCGTTGGGATAGCACGAAGGAAATAGACAAAATAGATTTTCCCCATACTTTTTAAAGCCTAGAGAATGATAGGCTTACCGTTTTTTCCATGTCCCATTATTATGGTGATAATAAGAAGGAATAGCCTACCCGTTGACTAACAGGTCCCGTAAAAAACGCACGCACATGCATTAATCAAAACACAAATCTGCTAGCCTACTGACAAGCCTATAAAATATTTCATAAATATGGAGTAGACTGTTTTGCATACCCCAACAATGTAAATTGTTCTTGTTAATTAATAGGTTGTCATTTAAAAAAAAATATCTGAATTTCTAGTCTGACACAATGCTTTGATTTGACCCTGCCAATAACACCTTCCATTCACTTTTGGAAATCCAAATGGGACTATCTCATTTGAAATATATATATTTAGGCTATATTAAAAATCTAATATGAATTGTTTTCCTTTTTATTTCCAAGTCGCTTAAAATTGGTTTGGAGGGAGGGGTTGGGGGTGGTGATGGTTATGAGTTGATTTGGAGGGAGGGTAGCTTGACGGTGGAGGGTGGTCTATAAGGGTGTATCTTCATCAGGACCTGGATCTCCTCCCTGAGCCTGTGGATCTCCAGGCGCTGCAGCTGAACGATACGGTCCCCCTCCTCCTCCTGGTTCAGATGGACCACCATGTTACTGGGGTTGGCCCTGGGAGATAGCAGCGCTGAGGACGGAGACAAGACAACAAGTCAGCTCACGGAACAACTACTTTAGATATGGATAACTTCGAAATATGAGTTTTCCCTAGTTTTCAAGTGACCTTACTAGGACAAAAAACATCTTAGCGATGAAACAGAGAACCTCAAGCACCTGTATGATAATATAAACTCCATGAAGTGAGGTGGTTTCCCCACATGGTAAAGGTTATCCTACAGACTCTTCACACAGTGGCTAGAAAAATGAATGCTCTACTTCAGAGAAGTTCAGGAAACTCTTTCCAATGAGTAGAAATCTGCAATCAGTTGTCTTTACTGTAAATCAGACAGATAAGAGAGAAACAGGTCACCTTTGAGAGTGTTGGTCTGCCAGACGCAACTCCTGTCTCAGATCATTTATCTCTCTGATCAGAGTTGCATTCTCCTGTAGCAATCAATGAATGAATCAATTAATCAATCAGTTAGTCACAGAATACCACAGAACAAACAGCCTATAGATTTGGGGTGTCTAATATATGTGAATGAAAGCGGTTCTGTTTTGTGGTCACTAATTCTATGATCATTGTGTGGGACACTCCAACAGTCCTTTATGAAAAGTCTTGTCTCTGTCACCTGCAGGATCTTGACGTTGTCAGCATGGTGGACCACGCCGTCTTTGGCCAGCTTCCTCTTCAGGGACGCCACGTTCCTCTCCAGGTGCTCCCTGTGCCGGGCGTACTCCCTCTGGATGTCTGTGTCCACACCAACTATATCCACCTGAGAGACATGAAGAGAAGCCATCTTTGATTCCAATGAATACACAGTAGCCAACTTACTTATCCATGACCAGTTGCATTCTTTAGCCTCTGGGTAAAGACTTGCTCAGGAATAACTTTTCTTAGACCAGCACTTTAGAAACAATTTAGCCATTATAACTTTACAAACCAATTCACTCTGCCAGCTTGCGTGAAAGAGGATAAAAACAACTAACTAACTCTCTCTCTCTCTCTCTACCTGCCTCTCTCTCTCTCTCTCTCTCTCTCTCTCTCTCTCTCTCTCTCTCTCTCTCTCTCTCTCTCTCTCTCTCTCTCTCTCTCTCTCTCTCTCTCTCTCTCTCTCTCTCTCTCTCTCACCACATCACTCTTCTGTACATAGCGGTCGTAGAGGTCTCTCATGCTGTCCTTTAGCCTCTCAGGCTCCTGGATGAAGCCCACACAGTTATGGAGGTCCGTCCTGAACCTACGTACTAGGGCCTCCACATCCCTCACCTGGGGAGGAGGGGTTGGTCATACAAAGTTCAACAGATAAAAGTCAGACAAAGATAAAAGCACAAATAGAAACACCTGCCATGCACTCAAATTAAAATGGTATCACTCTCCCTCTCTCTCACACACTACACACCTTCTGCAGTCCCTTGTGCATCTCCTTGTCGGTGGTGTGGAGTTTGAGCTTCAGCTCAGCGATGTCCAGTTCCTGTTGAGCGTTCTTCTTGTGGAAGGTATCCAGTTCCTGCTCCATCTACAGAGTACAGGAAGCCCATAGCATTGATCTCTATATCCTCCACTCCCTCCTCCCTCTCCCTCATTCAGCTGATCTATAGCACTCATATAAACCCTGATCCACTCCTATCTATATGGACACAGTGGTCATTTCCATTTAGATGAAGAGAGGGCTAAAAGTTGGCAGGCGGTTTAAATAAGTATCAATGATGACAAAAGTAGGAACTGATTTGTTTCAGTGAACATTCAATTCTCATTCTAATCAATGAGACATTTCAGTTAGCCTACTGTGGACAACTGCTGATAGAATACAAATACTATTTACAGTGAGGGAAAAAAGTATTTGATCCCCTGCTGATTTTGTACGTTTGCCCACTGACAAAGACATGATCAGTCTATAATTTTAATGGTAGGTTTATTTGAACAGTGAGAGACAGAATAACAACAAAACAATCCAGAAAAACACATGTCAACATTTTTATAAATTGAAATAAACCTACCATTAAAATTATAGACGGATCATTTCTTTGTCAGTGGGCAAACTTACAAAATCAGCAGGGGATCAAATACTTTTTTCCCTCACTGTATGTACCTACTCAAGAGACATTTCAGCGATGGTTTTCAACAAATTCAACAATGACAGGAGTGGGCGGATTTCCTCGTCCTTCTTGCCAGCCGTGATTTTGGGCAGCACCATGGTAAGAAATGTGACTGTTCCTGGTGCAAAAACAATGTCAAATCCCGGAGCTCGAGTAAATGATATTACTAAGCTGAATGTACTATGCTAGGACATGGACATCGATTCTATCGTAGTCCATGTGGGTTTGAATGACATTATGAAGGGCAGCTCTGAACAGTTGAAACTGGATTTCAAAGAGCTGATTGACTCTCTCCCAACACCTCCTTTGGCCGCCATTCCTTCCAGTTCTCTGCTGCCAATGACTGGAACGAATTGCAAAAATCTCTGAAGCTGGAGACTCTTATCTCCCTCACTAACTTTAAGCATCAGTTGTCAGAGCACCTTACCGATCACTGCACCTGTACACAGCCCATCTGAAATTAGCCCACCCAACTACCTCATCCCCATATTGTTATTTATTTTGCTCATTTGCACCCCAGTATCTCTATTTGCACATCATCTCTTGCACATCTATCATTCCAGTGTTAATACTAAATGTAATTATTTTGCACTATGGCCTATTTATTGCCTTACCTCCATAACTTGCTACATTTGCACACACTGTATATATATTTTCTGTTGTATTTTTGACTTTATGTTTTGTTTTACCCCATATGTAACTCTGTGTTGTTGTTTTTATCGCACTGCTTTGCTTTATCTTGGCCAGGTCGCAGTTGTAAATGAGAACTTGTTCTCAACTGGCTTACCTGGTTAAATAAAGGTGAAATAAAAAATTAAATAAAATAAAAAAGACACTAATAAAAGACCCATCATATCTGTGCCCTGTGCCCTCTCTGAATCATGGCATTGAACGCTTTAGCAGGATTATTTCTCTTCACAACTGGCTACGTGATTATTGCAGCTCAATGGGTGTAACTTTTGTGAACAATTTCAATACCTTTTGGAAAGAAAACACGTTTTATAAGGAGGATGGGATCCACCCAAATCATTTGGGTTCCTGGATCCTTTCACAGCATTATAAGGCTGTGTTGAGACAATGACTTATCAATGACCCAAGCCCAGCTCAGTTAATCCTTACCATTGTGTCGCTGAGTCATCATAAGCTTTAGCAAATTTACATTATACCATGGGCATTGGTAGACACAATGTAAGTAACCTAATTTATGTCCCTATAACTGCCCTGAATGCCTCTGCTGATCCTACAGCTATTGTTCGCAGCAATCATGTGCCTATGAACCAGATTTAAGCTGTTAGCACTGATGCAGTGTGCCCTAGTAGGAAGTCCACTGTGTGCAGCTCACCCTGCACTAACATAAATAACATGAGAATATCTACTTCTGCTAAGCTTCCCAGTAAAGCAATGAAAACAAGCAAGCATCCCAGAAAAGTGCTCAAAATAGCCCACGTTAACATATGTAGCTTAAGAAACAAGGTTCATGAAATTAATAACTTGCTAGTAACAGATGACATTCATATTCTGACTATCTCTGAAACTCACTTAGACACTACCTTTGATGATACATTGGTAGCAATACAAGGTTATAACATTTACAGAAAATACAGAAATGCCAGTGGTGGAGGTGTTGCTGTTTATATTCACAACCACATTCCTGTAAAGATTAGAGAGGATCTCATGTTAAATACAGTTGAAGTAATATGGCTACAGGTTCATCTGCCTCACCTAAAGCCCATTCTTGTGGGAAGATGCTATAGACCACCAAGTGCTAACAGTCAGTATCTGGATAACATGTGTGAAATGCTTGATAATGTATGTGATATCAACAGAGAGGTATATTTTCTGGGTGATTTAAATATTGACTGGCTTTCATCAAGCTGCCCACTCAAGAAAAAGCTTAAAACTGTAACCAGTGCCTGCAACCTGATTCAGGTTATCAGTCAACCTACCAGGGTAGTTACAAACAGCACAGGAATTAAATCATCAACATGTATTTACTCACATCTTTACTAATGCTGCAGAAATGTGCTTGAAAGCAGTATCCAGATCCATCGGATGTAGTGATCACAATATAGTAGCCATATCTAGGAAAACCAAAGTTCCAAAGTCTGGGCATAATATAGTGTATAAGAGGTCATACAATACGTTTTGTAGTGATTCCTATGTTGTTGATGTAAAGAATATTTGTTGGTCCATGGTGTGTATGAAATTGTTTATTCCAGTTACTAATAAGCATGCACCCATTCAGAAAATGACTGTAAAAACTGTTAAATCCCCGTGGATTGATGAGGAATTGAAAGATTGTGTGGTTGAGAGGGATGAGGCAAAAGGAATGGCAAATAAGTCTGGCTGCACAACCGATTGGCAAACATTCTGCAAATTGAGAAATCATGTGACTAAACTGAATAAAAAGAAGAAGAAACTACACTATGAAACAAAGATAAATGACATAAAGATTGATAGTAAAAAGCTTTGGAGCACCTTCAATGAAATGTTGGGAAAAAGGCATACTCAACTCTATCATTCATTGAATCAGATGGCTCATTCATTACAAAACCAACTGATATTGACAACTACTTTAATGATTTGGCATTGGCAAGATTAGCAAACTTAGGCATGACATGCCAGCAACAAACGCTGACACTACACATCCAAGTATACCTGACCAAATTATGAAAGACAAGAATTTTTATTTTGAATTTTGAGTGTGGAAGAGGTGAAACAATTATTGTTGTCTATCAACAATGACAAGCCACCAGGGTCTGACAACTTGGATGGAAAATTACTGAGGATAATAGCGGATGATATTGCCACTCCTATTTGCCATATCTTCAATTTAAGCCTACTAGAAAGTGTGGGCCCTCAGGCCTGGAGGGAAGCAAAAGTCATTCCACTACCTAAGAATAGTAAAGCCCCCTTCACTGGCTCAAATAGCCAACCAATCAGCCTATTACCAACCCTTAGTAAAGTTTTGGGAAAAAATTGTGTTTGACCTGCTACAATGCCATTTTACAGTAAACAAATTGACAACAGACTTTCAGCATGCTTATAGGGAAGGACATTCAACAAGCACAGCACTTACACAAATGACTGATGATTCGCTGAGAGAAATTGATGATAAAAAGATTGTGGGGGCTGTTTTGTTAGACTTCAGTATGGCTTTTGACGTTATCGATCATAGTTTGCTGCTGGAAAAACGTATGTGTTATGGCTTTACACCCCCTGCTATATTGTGAATAAAGAGTTACCTGTCTAACAGAACACAGAGGGTGTTCTTTAATGGAAGCCTCTCCATTATAATCCATGTAGAATCAGGAATTCCCCAGGGCAGCTGTTTAGGCCCCTTACTTTTTTCAATCTTTACTAACGACATGCCACTGGCTTTGAGTAAAGCCAGTGTGTCTATGTATGCTGATGACTCAACACTAGACACGTCAGCTACTACAGCGACTGAAATTACTGAAACATTTAACAAAGAACTGCAGTTAGTTTCAGAAAGGGTGGCAAGGAATAAGTTAGTCCTAAATATTAAAAAACTAAAAGCATTGTATTTGGGACAAATCATTCACTAAACCCTAAACCTCAACTAAATCATGTGGAAATTGAGCAAGTTGAGGTGACTAAACTGCTTGGAGTAACCCTGGATTGTAAACTGTCATGGTCAAAACATATTGATACAACAGTAGCTAAAATGAGGAGAAGTCTGTCCTTCTACCTTCTTAACAACACTATCAACAAGGCAGGTCCTACAGGCTCTAGTTTTGTAGCACCTGGACTACTGTTCAGTCGTGTGGTCAGGTGCCACAAAGAGGGAATTAAGAAAATTGCAATTGGCTCAGAACAGGGAAGCACGGCTGGCCCTTGAATATACACAGCGAGCAAACATTAATAATATGCATGTCAATCTCTCCTGGCTCAAAGTGGAGGAGAGATTGACTTCATCACTACTTGTATTTGTGAGAGGTATTGACATATTGAAAGCACCGAGCTGTCTGTTTAAATGACTAGCACACAGCTCAGACACCCATGCATACCCCACAAGACATGCCACCAGAGGTCTCTTCACAGTCCTCAAATCCAGAACAGACTATGGGAGGCACACAGTACTACATAGAGCCATGACTACACGGAACTACAGGTAATTGATGCAAGCAGTAGAATCAGATTTAAAAAACAGATACAAATACACCTTATGGAACAGCAGGGACTGTGACGCAATACAAAGATAGGCGCAGACACATGCATACACACACATGATAACATATGCACTATACACACACGTACACATTGATTTTGTGTTGTAGATATGTGGTAGTGGAGTAGGGGCCTGATGGCACACACTTAGTGTATTGTGAAATCTGTTATGAATGTATTGTAATGTTTTTAAAATCGTATCAGCCTTAATTTTGCCAGACCCCAGGAAGAGTAGCTGCTGCCTTGGCAGCAGCTAATGGGGATCCATAATAAATACAAATACAAATACAGTTAACCTGTTAAAGAACTGATACAGGAGGAGGAAGAGGAGCCATCTTGTTTTACCTCATGGGTCTGCTCCTTCATCTCCTTGATGTCGTTCTCTCTGGGCTCGATCTGTTTCTTCAGTTCTTTGATCTTGTAGTCCAGAACAAACTTAAACTTCTCCAGCTCCTGGTTCTTCTTTTTCAGGTCGTATATGCATTTCTCCTACACAGGGATAAAGGACAAGACAAGACAAACAGGCCTCAGATCAGATCATGGATGCATTTCTCTTACACAGGCACAATACCTTAGCCTGCTGGTCCCAGATCTGTTGTGCTGTCTTGCCAACTCATATGGTCTTTGTCACGCAACAACCATAGGAGTTGGCAAGACAGCAGAAACAGGCCTCAGATCTGCTTCAAGTTTAATTTTACACTGAATGACTAGACAATAATTTAACTGCCATGTAATAACTCATAGAATATAACAAGCCATGAAGCAATGTTGCCACGCAACAGGTTGTTAGATTGTTTAAATACGCCATGAAATCAACCCATTCTCTTGATAGTCTTTGGCTTGCGTTATTTTTACATTTCAATTACATTCATAATCCTCTTCCAACATTGATATCCCATGAAATTAAATGTAAAATGTAACTTCCATAGTTCCACAATACAAGTGAACCAAATCTAATGTTTAAGCTTAACTTCTCGGAGGCATCTTTAATGTTCAAATGTATCATCGTTAGAGACGGTGGGCGTTAGAACAACAGTTGCCACGGCTACGCTGCTGAGTGTGAATCTTTATTCATGAAGAGGAAGGATAGGAGGATGGATCTGTGTTTGAACTGAACTGGGGGCTCCTCTTTTGATGTGGGACCATTTTATTAGAATTTACTCTCTGTCCAATTAGCTATTTGAAAGCGTTTAATCTTGAATGCGGGTGAATGTGTGTGTGAGTGTAGGGGGGGGTAATCTTTTCATAGACAGCATCTGTGACATTTACACATTAAAGACAGTAATCAATTAGGGGCTCTATTCAATCTGTATCGCTGAAGCGTTACATATAGCACGCTAGAAATGTAAAGGTAATTTCCTATTGAGCCGATATCTGCAGCGTTTACCATGTATGCAGTCTCCGCTGACGCGGGAACATTGCCTTTAAATTTCAATAACGCTGTAACGCTGAATTTCCAGTGTCCCAGTGTCTCAGTCCCAGTGTCTCAGTCCCAGTGTCTCAGTGTCCCAGTGTCCCAGTGTCTCAGTGTCTCAGTGTCCCAGTGTCTCAGTGTCTCAGTGTCTAAGTGTCCCAGTGTCTCAGTGTCCCAGTGTCTCAGTGTCTCAGTGTCCCAGTGTCTCAGTGTCCCAGTGTCCCAGTGTCTCAGTGTCTCAGTGTCCCAGTGTCCCAGTGTCTCAGTGTCTCAGTGTCCCAGTGTCCCAGTGTCCCAGTGTCCCAGTGTCTCAGTGTCCCAGTGTCTCAGTGTCCCAGTGTCCCAGTGTCCCAGTGTCTCAGTGTCCCAGTGTCCCAGTGACTCAGTGCCCCAGTGTTTCAGTGTCCCAGTGTCTCAGTCCCAGTGTCTCAGTCCCAGTGTCTCAGTCCCAGTGTCCCAGTGTCTCAGTCCCAGTGTCTCAGTCCCAGTGTCCCAGTGTCTCAGTCCCAGTGTCTCAGTGTCTCAGTGTCCCAGTGTCTCAGTGTCCCAGTGTCCCAGTGTCTCGCACATCAATTGCGCTAACAGCAGCATTCTTTGTTCATGCTTTGTTTATGCAGGGACACAACATGGTCCTCTGTAGCTCAGCTGGTAGAGCACGGCGCTTGTAACGCCAAGGTAGTGGGTTCGATCCCCGGGACCACACGTACACAAAAAATGTATGCACGCATGACTGTAAGTCGCTTTGGATAAAAGCGTCTGCTAAATGGCATTTTATTTATTTTATTATGTAACCTTATGGAGAAAAAAAAGAGAGAGGTGGATAGTTATTAAAAAATATATTTTACCCTTATTTTACCAGGTAAGTTGAGTGAGAACACATTCTCATTTACAGCAACAACCTGGGGAATAGCTACAGGGGAGAGGAGGGAGGAGGAATGAGCCAACTGGAAGCTGGGGATGATTAGGTGGCCATGATGGTATGCATCATTTTAGCCAGGACACTGGGGTTAACACCCCTACTCTTATGATAAGTGCCATGGGATCTTTCGTGACCACAGAAAGTCAGGACACCTGTTTAACGTCCCATCCGAAAGACGGCACCTTACACAGGGCAATGTCCCCATCACTGCCCTGGGGCATTGGGATATATATATATATATTTTTGACCAGAGGAAAGAGTGCCTCCACTTCCAGCAGCATATGGTCTCCCATCCAGGACCAACCCTGATTAGCTTCAGAGGCAAGCCAGCAGTGGGATGCAGGGTGGTATGCGTACATGAGTTTGTGTTGGCAGAGCAGGTGTCTGAGACGGTGGCCTGCTCCACCACATGCTGATGCAGTGTGATTATTAATTATTGGACCTTCACACTCAAGGCTCAGTGCTGTGCTGCACTGCTCTGGGAAGGGGAGGAGTCTCACAGTCTCAAAGTCACCTTGTCTGGTGTGATGCATGGGACTGGGACTGGGACTCAGGATAATGGATGTATGGGGGAGAACAACGTTTATGGACAATCTATAATAGCGTATGAGTTGATTGTGTTCGATTATGAGAGAAGAAAATTTGAACAGTCAACTACAATCATAAACAGTAGAGGTCCATCAATAAAATTGACTTTTTTCCTTCCTTCCATGTTTCTGCATACCTTGGAGGCAAACCTATCATTCCTGCCTGGCTCCTTTTGGAACAAACCTAACCCTCTCCTTGCCATGGCACCTGGCTGTACCCCCTCAGCCCCTGCACCCCTCACCCCAGCAGCAACCCTCTCACCTTATCCTGGATGGTCTCATCCCTCTCCTGGATCTCTTTCTTCAGGGCCAGGATGTCTTTCTCCAGACACTTCTGATGTGCCAGTAGCTTCTGTTGCTCTGACTTCATCTTCTCTTTCTCCACGCTCCTGTCATCTATATTCTTCTGCAGGCTGCTGAACTGTGTGTGTGTGTGTGTGTGTGTGTGTGTGTGTGTGTGTGTGTGTGTGTGTGTGTGTGTGTGTGTGTGTGTGTGTGTGTGTGTGTGAGGGAGGGAGGGAGGGGAAGACAGGGGGGGAGACGTGGCAGGGAGAGAAGGAAAAGGTTGTCATCAGTCACCATCTTCATAACTCATTGTGACTTAAACAATGTTCATATGCTTTATAGCTTCCCATAACACATAATAAAGCCTCCACATGCAGTACGATATTGGACAGTAAAAACAGCATGACCTGATCTAGGGAGAAAGGGAAGGAGACCAAAAAAATCGGAGAAGACAAGAAAAGACAGCCGACAGACAGACAGACAGACAGACAGACAGACAGACGACAGACAGACAGACAGACAGACAGCCGCCAGACAGACAGACAGACAGACAGACAGACGACAGCCGACAGACAGACAGACAGACAGCCGACAGACAGCCAGACAGACAGACAGACAGCCAGCCAGACAGACAGACAGCCGACAGACAGACAGACAGACAGACAGACAGACAGACAGCCGACAGACAGACAGACAGACAGACAGACAGACAGACAGACAGACAGACAGACAGACAGACAGACAGACAGACAGACAGACAGACAGACAGACAGACAGACAGACAGACAGACAGAATGGGGCGAGGTATATAGGACAGCAGAATCTACACACAGCAGCAGGATCTGACTCAACATCATCCCTGTGACATTGAGTGAGAAAGCGGAGGGAGCGCATTAGGGCCTAACTATGGACACATGGATAGGCCCTGCTCGCCGTCAGCAGGCCGTATGCTGCGTCTGATTGACTGTAATTATGATCTACCACTGCAGCCTGGGAGGTGTGATGAGAAGGCAGACAGGCAGGGTCTAGGTGGGAGAGGGTTGGGTAGGGTCTGTGTGAAGGATGGGATGGAGTTGGAGGGAGACTAGCGGGGAATCTTGATTCCCCCCCCCCCCGTCCTCTCCCCCCCGTCCTCTCCCCCTCCGTCCTCTCCCCCTCCGTCCTCTCCACCCCGTCCCCCCCGTCCCCCCGTCCCCCGTCCTCTCCACCCCGTCCTCTCCCGTCTGAGGAAAGTGAGGAGAGCATTGGAGAACATCTGAGGAGAGGAACCTCTGATCTTCTCCTCCAACGCTCTCCTCGTATCCATCTTATGTTCTGAGAAGAAGGCCGGGAAAGGACAAAAGGAACCAAGGAAACTTTTGAGAGAGCTTGGGATGGTGGAGGGAGGAGTGGGGGTGAGAAGATCATGTCTCTACCTTCTTCTTCATGATGCCGGTGTCTCCCTTCAGGCGCATGTTGGTCTCCCTCTCGTCCTTCAGCCATCTCTCATAGCGGATCCTGATGTCCTGGATTTCCCTGTCTCCATCCTCCTCCATCTGCTTCCTGCTCTCCTCAAACTCCCTCCCCTGGATACGAGACTCCTCCTGACACTACAGAGGGAAGGATGGGGAGGGAGAGGGGGAGGAGGGAGAGGGGTGGGGAGAGAGAGGGGTGGGGAGGGAGAGGGGGAGGAGAAGAAGAGGGGGAGGAGGGAGGGGTGGGGAGGAAGAGGGAGAGGAGGGAGAGGGGTGGGGAGAAAAAGGGGTGGGGGAGGGTGAGGAGGAGAGGGGGAGGAGGGAGGGGTGGGGGGGGGAGGGAGAAGGGTTAGGAGAAGAGGGGTGGGGAGGGGGGGAGGGGGAGGAGGAAAGGGGGAGGGGTGGGGAGGGAGAGGGGTGGGGAGGGAGAGGGGGAGGAGGGAGAGGGGTGGGGAGAGAGAGGGGTGGGGAGAGAGAGAGGGGTGGGGAGGGAGAGGGGTGGGGAGAGAGGGGGGTGGGGAGGGAGAGGGGTGAGGAGGGAGGGGTGGGAGAGGGGGAGGAGGTAGAGGGGGAGGAGGGAGGGGTGGGGAGGGGAAGGAGAGGGGGAGGAGGGAGAGGGAAATAAGTAAACAGAGTTTAAAGTGGGAGAGATCCAGAAAGGAGGAGGGAGAAAGATGTGGAAAATAGCAAGGCAAGAGAGATGGGAAGAGTTCAGGTAAAGAGGGGGAATGAGATAGAGAGAAAGAGAGAGGTGAAAGGATAGAGTGGGGAAAGATAAGATAAGAAAAAGAGACAGAAGGAGAGAGGTAGAGAGAGAGATAAAGAGGGCATGAACGGGAGCTCTACCTCAACACAGACAGAGGTCAGAGGACAGAGGTCATCCGAGCACGGCATCTGTGAACAAGATGGATAATCCCATTGTTGGGTGTTTGTTTATGCACCTGTAGTAACCTACATCCTCAATTATCCCAGTCAGGACCAAGCTACAGAGCTACTCCGCATGCCATCCACCGCCTCTCTCTCTCTGTCTCTGTCTCTGTCTCTCTCTTCATTTGACCAGTATTGTCTCAGCAAAATAGTACTGCAGCAACAGGATTTGAACGTTTTGTCCATAATGTTGCTTGATCGGTGGTGAGGCTATTAGCTGGTCAAAATGAGGCTACATGAAAAGTGGAATACTGTTAATATAACTGTGTGTTAGTGCAGGTTTTCGGTAAGTTTATGTAAATCACAAAGCTCATCTGCATTTCCTGGAAAATCCACTGGAATATTCTCAGCAACAAAAGAGTGATCAAATTAAGATACTACATCTGTAATATCCACTTCAATAAATGAGTCCCTGGGGGTAACTTAGCTATGCTTAAACATTACATGTACACTCCTGGATGAGGCTGGCACAATAACTTTAATGTTATGCATGAATGACAACAACATTTTACCTCTGCTGTAATTGTTTCTTGCCTTTATATTCACATCCATTTTGTCCCCACCCCCTGGCTGTCCTCTCTCTCTCTCTCTCTCTCTCTCTCTCTCTCTCTCTCTCTCTCTCAGATTAATTCACTATTCCATTCAAAGTGAAATAATAAAGTGATTATGCAGGCCCTGCGTTGCCCCCGCGGCTCACACCCACTTTAGCAGTGATGGGAGTTGACGTCGCATTTCCTTAAAGATTCTGCGGACGTCCTCGACGGAGAACCTGCCGCTTGCAGATTAATTTGTCTCTTCGCTTCCAATTAGTGTCACAGCAGGGAGGGAGAGGAGAGGAGAGAGGGAGGAGAGGGGAGAGGAGAGAGGGAGGAGAGAGGGAGGGAGGGGAGGAGAGAAGAGGGGGAGGAGAGGAGAGGGAGAGGAGAGAGGGAGGGCGAGGGGCGGGAGTTGAGGAGAGAGGGAGGGAAAGAGAGGAGAGAGGGAGGTAGAGACGGGAGGGGAGTGTGAAGGGAAGGAGGGGAGAGATGACGGAGGGAGAGTAGGGATGGGAGTGTGAAGGGAAGGAGGGGAGTGTGAAGGGAAGGAGGGGAGGGGAGTGTGAAGGAAGGGAGGGGAGTGTGAAGGGAAGGAGGGGAGTGTGAAGGGAAGGAAGGGAGTGTGAAGGGAAGGAGGGGAGTGTGAAGGGAAGGAGGGAGTGTGAAGGGAAGGAGGGGAGTGTGAAGGGAGGGAGGGGAGTGTGAAGGGAAGGAGGGGAGGGGAGTGTGAAGGAAGGGAGGGGAGTGTGAAGGGAAGGAGGGGAGAGATGACAGGGAGGGAGAGAAGATAGGGGAGTGTGAAGGGGAGGAGGGGAGTGTGAAGGGAAGGAGGGGAGTGTGAAGGGAAGGAGGGGAGTGTGAAGGGAAGGAGGGAGTGTGAAGGGAAGGAGGGGAGTGTGAAGGGAGGGAGAGGAGTGTGAAGGGAAGGAGGGGAGGGGAGTGTGAACGAAGGGAGGGGAGTGTGAAGGGAAGGAGGGGAGGGGTGAAGGGAAGGAGGGGAGAGATGGACAGGGGGGAGAGAAGATAGGGGGAAGTGGGAAGGGAAGGAGGGGGAGTGTGAAGGGAAGGAGGGGAGTGGTGAAGGGAAGGAGGGGGGGAGGGAGGAAGGGAGGTGAAGGGAAGGAGGGGGGTGAAGGGAAGGGGGAGTGTGAGGGAAGGAGGGGGAGTGGAAGGGAGGGAGGGGGGAGTGTGAAGGGGGAGGGGAGGGAGAGTGGGAAGGAAGGGAGGGGGGAGGTGAAGGGAAGGAGGGGAGAGATGACAAGGGAGGGAAGGGGAAGAGAGTGTGAAGGGGAAGGAGGGGAGAGATGAAGGGAGGGAGGGGGAGAGTGTGAAGGGAAGGAGGGGAGAGAAGGAAGCGAGGGAGTGGAAGGGAAGGGAGGGGAGTGTGAGAGGGAGAGGAGTGTGAGGGAAAGGAGAGAGGAGAGTGGAAGAGAAGGGAGGGAGTGTGAAGGAGGAGGAGGGGGTGTGAAGGGAAGGAGGGGAGAAGGGGAGGGAGGTGAGGGAGGAAGGGGAGGGAGTGTGAAGGGAGGGAGGGGAGTGTGAAGGGAGGGAGGGGAGTGTGAAGGGAAGGAGGGGAGGTGTGAAGGGAGGAGGGGAGGTGTGAAGGGAGGAGGGAGGTGAAGGGAGGGGGGTAGTGTGAGGACGGACGGAGTTTGTGAAGGACGGAGGGGAGGTGCTGAAGGGAAGGAGGAGGGGAGTGTGAAGGTTGGAGAAGGGAGAGATGACAGGGAGGGAGAGAAGGAAGAGAAGGGAGAAAGGGCGAGAGGGGAGGGAGGGATATAATTAAGGGAGGGAGGGAGGGAGGGAGAGAAGGGAGGAAGGGGAGTGTGAAGGGAGGGAGGGACCACATACCCTGACCAGGGAAAGCTCAGGGTCCTAACGCAATGAACTGGTCAGGGAAAACTCAGGATCCTAACACAAAGAACTAGTCAGGGAAAACTCAGGATCCTAACACAAAGAACTAGTCAGGGAAAACTCAGGGTCCTAACACAAAGAAAGGTTTTCCTGGGGAAAAAGAGGACCCTACCTGTAAGGACTCTCTATATAAAGCCCCAAATCCCACCTACAAACCTCCCCTAACAAGCCCTTTGACGTTATATCTCCTACCTGCTCCAACACCAGCAGCATCTCATGCAGCTTCCCCTCATAGTGGAGGGTGAGATCCTCCAGGGCAGATGCCTTGCTCTCGTCCATCTGCTGCAGCTGTTCCTCGTAGTCCTGCTGCATCTGCTGAGACTTGAGCTGCAGCTCCTGGTACTTCTCATACTCCAGAATCAGCTTCTGACTGTTGGCTGACTCTGGGGGAGGAGAGCAGCGAGAGTCACAGAGAGGATATGAGGAGGACACTGGATTCAACACAGTCAATGCTATCAGGTGCTGCTGTCAATGTACACACTGAAATGGGAGTCATTCAAGTCTCTTAACTCAAAACTTAAGAGGTAACTTTTCCGATAGATGGACAAGAAGTGAGAACAGAATATAACAGAATAGAACAGAATAGAATAGACAGAATAGAACAGAATAGAACAGAATAGAACAGAACATAATAAAACAGAACAGAATAGAATAGAACATAATATAATAGAACAGAATATAATAGAATAGAATAGATAGAATAGAACAGAATAGAATAGACAGAATAGAACAGAATAAAACAGAACAGAATAGACAGAATAGAATAGATAGAATAGAACAGAATAGAACAGAATAGAATAGACAGAATAGAACAGAATAAAACAGAACAGAATAGAATAGAACAGAATAGAACAGAACAGGATATAATAGACAGAATAGAACAGAATAAAACAGAACAGAATAGAATAGAACAGAATAGAACAGAACAGAATAGAATAGAACTCACCCAGATCCTGCAGCTCTTTGGAGTGTTTCTCCGTCACCCCGAACATGGCCTCCTGATTGGCTGACTCCATCTTGCTTCGTTCCGTCTTCAGGATCTGACAGGAGAGATGGAGAGAGGGATGAAGAGAGGTGAAGTGAGGGGGATGGATAGAGGTGAAGAAAGAGGGATGTCTCTACATATGAACCTCACTGAGGTGTTCGCCTTACGCCAGCCCAGCCAGAGCCACTTTCAATTTTCATTTCTATGTGTCTGTAACCGGTGTGAAATGGCTAGCTAGTTAGCGGTGCGCACTAGTAGTCACTCGCTCTGAGACCTTGAAGTAGTTGTTTCCCTTGCTCTGCAAGGGTCGCGGCTTTTGTGGAGCAACCGCGGCTTTTGTGGAGCGACGGGTAACGGTGCTTCGAGGGTGACTGTTGTCGATGTGTGCAGAGGGTCCCTGGTTCAAGCCCAGGTAGGGGCGAGGAGAGGGACGGAAGCAACACTGTTACATGTCGATCTAGCAGTGGCTCTTATCAAGGCCGGCTCTTACAAGGCAAAGTACACTCAGTGCATACCATTATGAGAGCCGAACACATTTGAAAGTTAAAACGTGTTAGAAGTATTACACTGAACAAAAATATAAACGCAACATGCAACAATTTCTAAGATTTTACTGAATTACGGTTCATATAAGGAAATCTATGTCAATTGAAATAAATAAATTAGGCCCTAATCTATGGATTTCACATGACTGGGAATACAGATATGCATCTGTTGGTCACAGATACCTTTAAAAAAAGGTAGGGGTGTGGATCAGAAAACCAGTCAGTATCTGATGTGACCACCATTTGCCTCATGCAGCATGACACATCTCCGCATAGAGTTGATCAGGCTGTTGATTGATCAGGCTGTTGAATGTTGTCCCACTCCACTTCAAAGGCTGTGCGAAGTTGCTGGATATTGGTGGGAACTGGAACACGCTGTCGTACACGTCGATCCAGAGCATCCCAAACTTGCTCAATGGGTGACATGTCTGGTGAGTATGCAGGCCATGGAAGAACTGGGACATTTTCTAGCTTCCAGGAATTGTGTACAGATCCTTGCAACATGAGGCTGCGCATTATCATGCTGAAACATGAGGTGATGGCGGCAGATGAATGGCACGTCAATGAATCCTCAGGATCTCGTCACGGTATCTCTGTGCATTCAAAATGCCATCGATAAAATGCAATTGTGTCCGTTGTCCGTGGCTTATGCCTGCCCATACCATAACCCCACCGCCACCATGGGGCACTCTGTTCACAACGTTAACATCAGCAAACTGCTCGCCCACACAACGCCATACACGTTGTCTGCCATCTGCCTGGTATAGTTGAAACTGGGATTCATCCGTGAAGAGCACACTTCTCCAGCGTGCCAGTGGCCATCGAAGGTAAGCATTTACCCACTGAAGTCGGTTACGACGCCAAACTGCATTCAGGTCAAGACCCTGCTGAGGACGAGAAGCACGTAGATGAGCTTCCCTGAGAAAGTTTCTGACAGTTTGTGCAGAAATTCTTTGGTTGTGCAAACCCACAGTTTCATCAGCTGTCCAGGTGGCTGGTCTCAGATGATCCCGGATGTGGAGGTCCTGGGCTGGTGTGGTTACACGTGGTTTGCGGTTGTGAGGCCAGTTGGACGTACTGCCAAATTCTCTAAAACAACGTTATGGTAGGAGAAATGCTCATTAACAGGGACGTAAACAAATTTGTGCACAACATTTCAGAGAAATAAGCTTTTTGTGCGTATGGAAAATTATTATATTTTATTTCAGCTCATGAAACATGGGACCAACACTTTACATGTTGCGTTTATATTTTTGTTCAGTATATATTGAGCTATAGTAAACAGACTCAGGGCTCTATTTTAATAAACCTAATGTAATGGTCAATCTAAGCGCAGGCGGTAGCACTATAGGTTCAGGGGTGTGTTAAAAATATTTTTGCTATTTTCACTATCACAATTATCGGCGCACTTGCTGGCCTTGGCGCGAAAGGGCTGGGTTTTGTTGAATAAACAAGTTGTGGGTGTGTCGAGGCTTGGCCCCTCACTGGCCAATCAGAACGTGCTCCATGGCGAAATATGGGGTTGCTTCAAGTTGTGTATTTACGGTCTTTTATGTATTGCCTTGGAATCAACTCCAATTTCAATGTTAGTCCGTTACAGTTTGTTAAATGGCTTACAGAAACAAAATAAGAAAATGTAAACCTATCTTTGCTAAATACGTTAACTTTGCAGTCCACATTGTTCTAAGTAATTGCATGGCTTCAATAGCATTCACACTGATATAGGGGCTAGGCCTACTGTAAATTGCATTATGGCTGAGCATGGACATGCCAAACATTGTCAATATGCAAGATTAAATTCATTATTGATAAGGCCTAAAAAGAGAACAAATAATTCTAATAAAATTCTAACCACACCAAAACAACTTGTTTTAAATAGGCTACAGTGAGGGAAAAAAGTATTTGATCCCCTGCTGATTTTGTACGTTTGCCCACTGACAAAGAAATTATCAGTCTATAATTTTAATGGTAGGTTTATTTGAACAGTGAGAGACAGAATAACAACAACAAAATCCAGAAAAATGCATGTCAAAAATGTTATAAATTGATTTGCATTTTAATGAGGGAAATAAGTATTTGACCCCCTCTCAATCAGAAAGATTTCTGGCTCCCAGGTGTCTTTTATACAGGTAACGAGCTGAGATCAGGAGCACACTCTTAAAGGGAGTGCTCCTAATCTCAGCTTGTTACCTGTATAAAAGACACCTGTCCACAGAAGCAATCAATCAATCAGATTCCAAACTCTCCACCATGGCCAAGACCAAAGAGCTCTCCAAGGATGTCAGGGACAAGATTGTAGACCTACACAAGGCTGGAATGGGCTACAAGACCATCGCCAAGCAGCTTGGTGAGAAGGTGACAACAGTTGGTGCGATTATTTGCAAATGGAAGAAACACAAAATAACTGTCAATCTCCCTCCGCCTGGGGCTCCATGCAAGATCTCACCTCGTGGAGTTGCAATGATCATGAGAACGGTGAGGAATCAACCGAGAACTACACGGGAGGATCTTGTCAATGATCTCAAGGCAGCTGGGACCATAGTCACCAAAAAAACAATTGGTAACACACTACGCCGTGAAGGACTGAAATCCTGCAGCACCCGCAAGGTCCCCCTGCTCAAGAAAGCACATATACATGCCCGTCTGAAGTTTGCCAATGAACATCTGAATGATTCAGAGGAGAACTGGGTGAAAGTGTTGTGGTCAGAAGAGACCAAAATGGAGCTCTTTGGCATCAACTCAACTCGCCGTGTTTGGAGGAGGATGAATGCTGCCTATGACCCCAAGAACACCATCCCCACCGTCAAACATGGAGGTGGAAACATTATGCTTTGTGGGTGTTTTTCTGATAAGGGGACAGGACAACTTCACCGCATCAAAGGGACGATGGACGGGGCCATGTACCGTCAAATCTTGGGTGAGAACCTCCAGAGCATTGAAAATGGGTCGTGGATGGGTATTCCAGCATGACAATGACCCCAAACACACGGCCAAGGCAACAAAGGAGTGGCTCAAGAAGAAGCACATTAAGGTCATGGAGTGGCCTAGCCAGTCTCCAGACCTTAATCCCATAGAAAATATGTGGAGGGAGCTGAAGGTTCGAGTTGCCAAACGTCAGCCTCGAAACCTTAATGACTTGGAGAAGATCTGCAAAGAGGAGTGGAACAAAATCCCTCCTGGGATGTGTGCAAACCTGGTGGCCAATTACAAGAAACGTCTGACCTCTGTGATTGCCAACAAGGGTTCTAAGTCATGTTTTGCAGAGGGGACAAATAATTATTTCCCTCATTAAAATGAAAATCAATTTATAAAAATTTTTACATGCGTTTTTCTGGATTTTTTTGTTATTATTCTGTCTCTCACTGTTCAAATAAACCTACCATTAAAATTATAGACTGATCATGTCTTTGTCAGTGGGCAAACTTTTTTCCCTCACTGTATGTCACACTTACACGCACCACAATTTCTCCCCGTGGGCATATAATATTATAACAACGCAGACTATGGAGGGTTTTACGCATATCCAAACTTTTCACAGTAGCTGGAAAAAAGATCCAATATAAAGAGAAAGGGAGAATGTCTACACCGTTATACTGCTCCCAAATAGACCTATGTTTTATGAACATCATCGTAACCAGTTTACAGATCAGATCGCATTCACACATCTCCAGAAGTTGCTGTCACGACTTCCGCCGAGGCTGCCTCCCCTCCTTGTTCGGGCAGGTTTCGGCGTTCGTCGTCACCGGCTTACTAGCTGCTGCCGATCCATTTATCATCACTCCACTTGTCTTGTCTAATTAATCACACACACCTGGTCCTTATCCCCAATTAGTCATTGTATAAGTGTTCCCTCTGCTTCCTTGTCTGTGTGGGTGATTGTTTGTATTGAGCTGTGTGTAGCTCGGTTGAGCTACCCTTACCGTGTTGTTGCCAGGGTAGATATTTCCCCCTGTGCCTGAGTGTTGTTGTCGCATGCTTGCGCAACTGTTTATCGACGGAATAAACTCTTTGGATGCGTATTACTCTCCTGCGCCTGACTCCTTCTATCACACGCATCCCAGTTGCATTACAAGCGCCACGGACGTTGTAACCATAAAACCAGGAAGTTGAATCATTCTAATAAGATTGGTTGTAATAAAATTAAACAACAGTAAATAAATATAAAATGTAATGATATCATAAAATCGCCAGGATAAAAAACACACGCATTGCTGTTGACCCAGCCTTCATTATAGTAGGCCTAAGGGAGGGCTTGTTGTTGACCCAGCCTTTATTATAGTAGGCCTAAGGGAGGGCTTGTTGTTGACCCAGCCTTCATTATAGTAGGCCTAAGGGAGGGCTTGTTGTTGACCCAGCCTTCATTATAGTAGGCCTAAGGGAGGGCTTGTTGTTGACCCAGCCTTCATTATAGTAGGCCTAAGGGAGGGCTTGTTGTTGAACCAGCCTTCATTATAGTAGGCCTAAGGGAGGGCTTGTTGTTGACCCAGCCTTCATTATAGTAGGCCTAAGGGAGGGCTTGTTGTTGACCCAGCCTTCATTATAGTAGGCCTAAGGGAGGGCTTGTTGTTGACCCAGCCTTCATTATAGTAGGCCTAAGGGAGGGCTTGTTGTTGACCCAGCCTTCATTATAGTAGGCCTAAGGGAGGGCTTGTTGTTGAACCAGCCTTCATTATAGTAGGCCTAAGGGAGGGCTTGTTGTTGACCAGCCTTCATTATAGTAGGCCTAAGGGAGGGCTTGTTGTTGAACCAGCCTTCATTATAGTAGGCCTAAGGGAGGGCTTGTTGTTGACCCAGCCTTCATTATAGTAGGCCTAAGGGAGGGCTTGTTGTTTGCAAGGTTACCAGCCTTCATTTTAGTAGGCCTAAGGGAGGGCTTGTTGTTGAACCAGCCTTCATTATAGTAGGCCTAAGGGAGGGCTTGTTGTTGAACCAGCCTTCATTATAGTAGGCCTAAGGGAGGGCTTGTTGTTGACCCAGCCTTCATTATAGTAGGCCTAAGGGAGGGCTTGTTGTTGACCCAGCCTTCATTATAGTAGGCCTAAGGGAGGGCTTGTTGTTGAACCAGCCTTCATTATAGTAGGCCTAAGGGAGGGCTTGTTGTTGAACCAGCCTTCATTATAGTAGGCCTAAGGGAGGGCTTGTTGTTGACCCAGCCTTCATTATAGTAGGCCTAAGGGAGGGCTTGTTGTTGAACCAGCCTTCATTATAGTAGGCCTAAGGGAGGGCTTGTTGTTGAATCAGCCTTCATTATAGTAGGCCTAAGGGAGGGCTTGTTGTTGAACCAGCCTTCATTATAGTAGGCCTAAGGGAGGACTTGGGTTTTGAACATATGAAACGGAAAACAAGCTGTTGTTACAGGTTACAGATAACTTCTATATACAAGGTTCACTGGTATTCACCAAGGTTCTCATCTCTTGTTTGATGATGGGCATGGACACACAGCCTACATCATGGAGGGGGTTTTACGCACGTCCAAAACGGGACCTGCATGGCTAAAATAATGTGGGCCTTATTTCCAAGCGGTCTCAGGAGCCAAACCCTTTATCGACAGTCTTGACTACTTTGTGATTGCATTGGGCAGGACAAAGAAAAGCCTTCATTGAGAGGAGGGGAGGCTATGCTTGGTTTTTAATCAAATAAAACGTAATGGGAAAAAACATGAGTTTATGTTTCTAAATACAAAGTATACAGTCACCAAAAGCACATTTGGCTACCCTTGTTCCATGGGCATTATGGGCAGTGTGCGTCACGGCTGGATAGGCTGCATTTCCGCTGGCAAAATTCATTCCATAACCAACTGCATTACTGGTAAAACCAGCTTTTGGTTGCTCTTAAATATCCCTATCAGCGCTACCTGAAATTAGCACTTTGGATCATGTTTTTAAGGACACTCAGATATTTACACCCATATTTACACCCCTCCCATCAGAGCTGATATAAGACAGGAAAATAGCCGAACCTGGCATTAGGTCTGGAAAATGCCAGTATGCTAGTTTTTAAATGATGAAATTGCAAACTAACGTGCCTTTGACACTAGCACCGGCCTTAATGCCAGCTGAAAATAAGCCCTCAGAGTTACTTGGGACAAGGTCAAAATAAGCATTTCATCAGATGAATAATTTTCATAACATATTACTGTTTATCTCAGAGCCAATTTACCATCCAAACGTATCTTCTTCGCTCTAATTCACTCAAGTAATTATATCAAATGTACTAGTACTTTATTTAGTTAAGTTAATTGAGGTAGGTAACTGATTATGTTTGAAACCCTGTCTGTCTCACCTGTCTCTTAGTCTTGAGCGACTCTATCTGCTCAACAAACTTAGCTGACATCTCTTTGATGTCCTCGTTGTAGTTCATGTCCTTCAGACGGAGCTGGTACTCATTCTCCATCTTCAGCTCCTCCACACGGGTCTTCAGCTCCAGCATAACCTGGTTCTGTTATGGAGGAAAGGAGGGAGGGAGGGTGAGGGAGAGAAGGAGAGACGGTAGAGAGAGAGGGAGAGAAGAAGAGGAGAGTATCTTAAGTGAAGAGAGTGGGAGAAGAGAGAAAGGGAGGCATGAAAGGAGGTGAGAAGGGGAAGGAAGAGGAAAGGACAGGAGGAGAGGGAGAATGTAAATAATCAGGTTATAGTACGAGCAACTGCATGGTCCTTGCAAACCTACCACAGGATGCTGCTGAGGGGAACGGCTCATAATAATGTCCGGAAAGGTGAAAATGGAATGGCATCAAACACCTGGAAACCATGTTTGATGTATTTGATACCATTCCACTGATTCCGCTCCAGTCATTGCCAAGAGCCCGTTCTCCCCAATTAAGATGCCGCCAACCTCCTGTGCAACCTACAATTAGGTAACTCCCCACCCCCACCCCATGTATCATGTCAGTGTAACACTACAACAGTCCCCATGGGTGTCCTACAGATGTTCATTTGATCACCCTGTTGCAGGAGAACTTAACGGCAATGCAGGACATCTCTGTACCTTCTCCTCCAGGTCTGACTTGGTGATGAGGATCTCCTCAGCGTAGGTGATGTCCTTGTCTCTCTTCAGGCCACGGCCCTCCTTGTCTATGATCTTCCAGATGAGCAGACAGCCGTCCTCAGACACCGTCAGCAGGTACTGGTCGTCAAACGTGATCACCATCTGAACACAGAGAGGACACACACTTTACGCACCTCTGTTCACGATATGTCCACTTAAATCAATGGCCCTCGAACTGACTACCATCAATCTTGAATTCAGCGCTTCATAAAAATAGGTTGTGTGTGAGGGGTGGATGCTGATGTGTTGCTTTATGTTGTGGTTCATTAAGCTGCAATGGCTCAAACTTTGCAATGCACAGTATGTTACTGTTTAGTGGAGGCATCGCATTATCGTACTTTGGTGACAGTTGAAGAGTGGGCCTGATACTCGATCCAGTCCTTCTGGATAGACAGGGGGTACTTGATGGCCCTGATGGTTCCGATAGAGGTCCCGGTGAAGAGCGTGCGTCCGGACCGGGACATGGTGATGGTGGTGTAGGCCACGTCTTCAGCAGGCACCTCACGCAGGATCTGACAAAGAGAGCGAGAGAGAGCGAGAGAGAGAGAGCGAGAGAGAGAGAGAGAGAGAGAGAGAGAGAGAGAGAGAGGAGAGAGAGAGAGAGAGAGGGGGGGGGGGGGGGGGGGGGACAGCCAGGGGTGGGGACAAAATGGATGTGAATATAAAGGCAAATGTTGTTGTCATTCATGCATAACATTAAAGTTATTGTGCCATTCTCATCCAGGAGTGTACATGTAATGTTTAAGCATAGCTAAGTTAGCCCCAGGGATATTACAGATGTAGAATCTTAATTTGATCACTCTTTTGTTGCTGAGAATTTTCTAGTGAATATTCCAGGAAATGCAGATAAGCTTTGTGATTTACATAAATTCACTGAAAACCCGCACTAACACACAGTTATATTAACAGTATTCCACTTTTCATGTAGCCTCATTTTGACCAGCTAATAGCCTAACCCCCGATCAATGTTCAAATCCTGTTGCTGTAGGATTATTTTGCTGAGACAATACTGGCCAAATTAAAATAATACATCTGTGTGTCAGTGAAAGTTTTGTTTATTTCACCACCATTTGAATTGCAAATAACCTGCTGGGGAAGGACTAGATGGCATCCAACAAACCACTGATCTATTCAGAAAGACCGCCTAAAATTCCTCAACATTGAGATGTTTATGATTGTTAGGGTTTCTTTCGAAGCTCCAGCAGCTGACAATAACTCAAATGGCCTTTATCCTCTCTTCTGACTGGTTTCATAGACTGTCAGAAAGATGGCCGTCACTCAGGATGAGGAGAACTGACAGCAGAGTGGGAATTTAATGGGCTCTCTTCTCTGCTCCGGTCATTATGACGGAGATGGGAAACTCTATTTACACTGAACAAAAATATAAACGCAACATGTAAAGTGTTGGTCTCATGTTTCATGAGCTGAATTAAAACATCCCAGAAATTAACAAATGAGGAGAGCCAGAACCAACCACCAATTAGGTTATACTTGCAAAAAATCTTTATTGTGCTTATTAATAAGGGAGCCGTCACAACATGCACACAGAGTGGATATAGTGAGAGCTCACTGAGTGGAGTGAGCCTCTGGGTTATATACTATCCCAGGATAGGTCAGGATAGGTGCAACCTCAGAGATAACATACAATGGTTCCAGACACTAACCCCACACTTCCTGTGCCAGACCTTAGCCCCAAATACAAAGAACTCATTGTTTTGTTCAGTACTAAGAATTTAGAAGCACATTTGTTGTTACTTAATTTCCACTTTGCTAGAAAGGGAACCTGGGGAGAGAACAATCTCCCAAGGCCAAAGGAGGGGGTGAATGACACACAGACATTGTGGAGACAAGTGATTTGTTCCCATTCCTCATGCCATCCCTTCACATAGTTTGCAATAGGTAAAGACACATACTCACATATGGAAACAATGTGTCCTTCAGACCTCCTTTGCCCTATTCTCTTTCTCATATTCTGCATAGCAACAGGGACATGTGATAGACAAGCCTGACTTCTCCCCTCTCTGGGCCCCAGGTGACTGAGGCCCATATGAGGGAGGAAGTGCAGCTGCCCACACCAGAGTCCGAAAGGAGACATTCTAATAACAAGAGTTCAACAGTTCAATCATATAAGCATATTCTGCAGATAAGACATCTTAATTTTCTATGTTACCTAGCTAATTCTGATTTCTCCACCACCATCCACCTGACAGGTCTGGCATATCAAGAAGCTGATTAAACAGCATGATCATTACACAGGCGCACTTTGTGCTGGGGACAATAAAAGGCCACTCTAAAATGTGCAGTTTTGTCACACAACACAATGCCACAGATGTCTCAAGTTTTGAAGGAGCGTTCAATTGGTATGCTGACTGCAGTAATGTCCACCAGAGCTGTTGCCAGATAATTGAATGTTCATTTCTCTACCCTAAGCCGCCTCCAACGTCATGTTACAGAATTTGGCAGTATGTCCAACTGGCCTCACAACCATAGACCACATGTAACCACCCCAGTCCAGGACCTCCACATCCGTCTTCTTCACCTGCAGGATCGTCTGACAGCAGCCACCCAGACAGCTGATGAAACTGTGGGTTTGCACAACTGAAGAATTTCTGCACAAACTGTCAGAAACCTTCTCAGGGAAGCTCATCTACGTGCTCGTCGTCCTCACCAGGGTCTTGACCTGACTACAATTCGGCGTTGTAACTGACTTCAGTGGGAAAATGCTCACCTTCGATGGCCACTGGCACGCTGGAAAAGTGTGTTCTTCACGGATGAATCCCAGTTTCAACTGTACCGGGCAGATGGCAGACAACGTGTATGGCGTTGTGTGGGCAAGCAGTTTACTGATGTTAACGTTGTGAACAGAGTGCCCCATGGTGGCGGTGGGGTTATGGTATGGGCAGGCATTAGCTCCGGACAACGAACACAATTGCATTTTATCGATGACAATTTCAATGCACAGAGATACCGTGACGAGATCCTGAGGCCCATTGTCGTGCCATTCATCCACCGCCATCACCTCATGTTTCAGCATGATAATGCACAGCCCCATGTCGCACACAATTTCTGGAAGCTGAAAATGTCCCACTTCTTCCATGGCCTGCATATACAGTGGCTTGCGAAAGTATTCACCCCCCTTGGCATTTTTCCAATTTTGTTGCCTTACAACCTGGAATTAAAATGGATTTTTGGGGGGTTTGTATTATTTGATTTACTCAACATGCCAACCACTTTGAAGATGCAAAATATTTTTTATTGTGAAACAAACAACAAATAAGACAAAAAAACTGAAAACTTGAACGTGCATAACTATTCACCCCCCCAAAGTCAATACTTTGTAGAGCCACCTTTTGCAGCAATTACAGCTGCAAGTCTCTTGGGGTATGTCTCTATAAGCTTGGCACATCTAGCCACTGGGATTTTTGCCCATTCTTCAAGGCAAAACTGCTCCAGCTCCTTCAAGTTGGATGGGTTCCGCAGGTGTACAGCAATCTTTAAGTCATACCACAGATTCTCAATTGGATTGAGGTCTGGGCTTTGACTAGGCAATTCCAAGAAATGTAAATGTTTCCCCTTAAACCACTCGAGTGTTGCTTTAGCAGTATGCTTAGGGTCATTGTCCTGCTGAAAGGTGAACCTCCGTCCCAGTCTCAAATCTCTGGAAGACTGAAACAGGTTTCCCTCAAGGATTTCCCTGTATTTAGCGCCATCCATCATACCCTCAATTCTGACCAGTTTCCCAGTCCCTGCCGATGAAAAACATCCCCACAGCATGATGCTGCCACCACCATGCTTCACTGTAGGGATGGTGTTCTCGGGGTGATGAAAGGTGTTGGGTTTGCGCCAGACATAGCGTTTTCCTTTTTTATTTTTTACTTTAGTCTCATCTGACCAGAGTACCTTCTTCCCTATGTTTGGGGAGTCTCCCACATGCCTTTTGGCGAACACCAAACGTGTTTGCTTATTTGTTTCTTTAAGCAATGGCTTTTTTCTGCCCACTCTTCCGTAAAGACCAGGGGCCTCATGTACAAAGACTTGCGTTGAATTCATACTAAAACATTGCGTACGGACAAAGCCATAAATGTGCGTACGCACCAAAAAAATCTGATGTATGAATCTCTGCGTACGCAGCATTCCACATACATTCTCTTTGTACATCCCAATCAACGCGAAATTGAGCGCACATGCACGAGCACCACACCACACCCTGTCTCCTCCCTCAATTAAATCAATTTAAATATGGTAATTAGTCCAATTTGTCAAAAGAAACCTGCAAGAACATGGCTAAAGCAAGCAAGAAACGAAATTTCACTGAAAACGAATTAGAGGTGCTACTATCAGAGGTAGAAACAAGAAAAAATATTTTATTTGGAAATCTGTCCTCTGGAATTAATAACAAAATAAAGAAAAAAGAGTGGGCGAGTTTGTCTGATGCCGTCAACGCGGTGGGATCTGAGAGTCGCACCGTAAATGAACTGAAGAAGAAATGGTCAGACATAAAGGTGGAAGTTAAGCGGAGAACTGCTGCGCACCGACAAAGTGTGGGCAGAACAGGCGGTGGTACAGGGACCGATGAACTTGCACCCTTTGATCAGAGAGTTGCCTCTATTGTAGGAGACACGTTAATCTCTGGAATCGTATCCGCTGATGTAGGAGACTCGGATATACTACAGGACTGCCAGCAAGGTGACTCAGATTTATTTCCTTAACTTTGATATACATAGCCAGCCACCGTTTAATTTTAAAATGCATGCAATATAGCAAAAGGTACACCAGAGATTTCACGTATCCACTGCTTTTATTGCAAATGCGTGTACCCATTAATAAGGAACAGACTCAAATTACTGTTAAGATGTGCCTGTGTTTAATTGGACTTAGGAACCGCAGGAACGTCCACTGGCACGCACTCAGAGTCCGCACCACCTGAGCAGCCAGAGCCCATTCAGTCCAGCGTCTCCCGTGTCTCTAATGTTCCCCCCAGTGCTGAAGCCCGTCCATCTGGCCGTGTCTTGACGCATGCTGTTCTGGAGTCACAACAACAAATTGTTAGGGCCATTGAAGAAATGAACAGTCACCTTAAAAATGTCACTGACGCACTCACAGAAATAAGCCATTCATTAAAAGAATTGGTCAAAAAATGAACTTTGTGTCTGAGTACCATTTATATTGTCGCAATTACACGTTGACGGGCCTGAATGGCTTGTTGATTGTGCTGCACATATACTGGTCCTGGGTCAGGGTCATCTGGCGGTGCCCCCACCTCACCAAGGGGTATGCCATGCCTGTGCGCGACATTGTGCAGCACTCCACAGGCCAGTATGATGCGGCAAACCTTGTCAGGGCGGTATAACAGCATCCCCCGGTCCTGTCAAGGCAGCGCCACCGACATTTCAGCTGCCCAATCGCCCGCTCCACAACTGACCGAGTGCGGGAATGGGCATCATTGTATCTGCGCTCTCGGTCAGTTTGTGGGTTGGTGAGGGGGGTTAACAGCCACGTCTTTAGTGGATAACCACTGTCTCCTGATGGGCAGTAATAATAATTACAGACACAAACATTTTACTTTTAGATAGAACCATACATTTAAATGCATAACTTACCAAGTAGCCACCCATCGCGCACCCTGCCAGCTTGGAGTCTCATCCCAACCATGCTGTTTGTAAGGATATATGAATCATGGGTTGACCCAGGCCACCTTGCCACAATATTTGTTAGGCGCATTTGTGCATCACATATAATCTGCACATTTATTGAATGGAAATGTTTCCGATTCACATATGCAAATTCGTCTTCAGATGGCGCCTTTATAGCAATATGTGTGCAGTCGATCGCTCCGATTACATTAGGAAAACCGGCTATCGCTGCAAATTGCGCTTTGATGTTTGGCTGGTCACCTGCATCGTATGGGAACGTTATATACCTGGTAGACAAGCGGATGATGCCGTCCCATACAGGTGGCATTGCACGGCTCAAACACGACTGGCTTATTCCTGAGCGGTCTGCCAGTTCTCTTTGGAAAGAACCGGTTGCTAGGAAACCAAGTGTAGTAAGCACCTGTAAAGGAACGGGTAATGCGTGGCTCCTCACTGTCTCTCTTTCCAAATTCGGACCCAACTCAGCGCAGAGCTCCAAGAGTATAGCCCTTGGAAATCTGAAACGGCTGATGAGCCAGTCATCGTCGTGGGCCAGAAAATCACCGTGGTCCCTAAAAACTCGTTCTCTCCGGATTTGTCCATTGAAAATGTCTTCTAATAAAGCCAAAGCTGCCATTGCTAGACGGGTTGTATCAATTTTCACATCCTTTATATATGTTCTTACTTAATTGCATAATTCATAGAATATTCTAATAAGACTCGTGTGACAATAATATGGCAAATCATTTATCAATTACAAATTATAAGCAATATCTGGCAGGTGCGATAGAACAGTTCGTAGTGTAATGTTTGCCACTTCACTTTATTGCCTCTATGAGTCGCCAACGGACAAACATCACAAAAATGTACGTACGCCAGGCCTGAAGTTTACGTGGAAGAACGCACATTCTTACGTTAATTTCACTGTTAGTACATCTGACCGTGAACGTGAAAGCTGGCGTACGCCGTGTTTTCGTGCGTACGCAAGATTGATACATGAGGCCCCAGCTCTGTGGAGTGTACGGCTTAAAGTGGTCCTATGGACAGATACTTCAATCTCCGCTGTGGAGCTTTGCAGCTCCTTCAGGGTTATCTTTGGTCTCTTTGTTGCCTCTCTAATTAATGCCCTCCTTGCCTGGTCCGTGAGTTTTGGTGGGCGGCCCTCTCTTGGCAGGTTTGTTGTGGTGCCATATTCTTGCCTTTTTTTTTATGGTGCTCTGTTCAAAGTTTCTGATCTTTTTTTATAACCCAACCCTGATCTGTGCTTCTCCACATCTTTGTCCCTGACCTGTTTGGAGAGCTCCTTGGTCTTCATGGTGCCGCTTGCTTGGTGGTGCCCCTTGCTTAGTGGTGTTGCAGACTCTGGGACCTTTCAGAACAGGTGTATATATACTGAGATCATGTGACAGATCATGTGACACTTAGATTGCACACAGGTGGACTTTATTTAACTAATTATGTGACTTCTGAAGGTAATTGGTTGCACCAGATCTTATTTAGGGGCTTCATAGCAAAGGGGGTGAATACATATGCACGCACCACTTTTCAGTTATTTATTTTTTAGAATTTTTTGAAACAAGTTATTTTTTTCATTTCACTTCACCAATTTCGACTATTTTGTGTATATCCATTACATGAAATCCAAATAAAAATCCATTTAAATGACAGGTTGTAATGCAACAAAATAGGAAAAATGCCAAGGGGGATGAATACTTTTGCAAGGCACAGTCCTCACCAGAGATGTCACCCATTGAACATGTTTGGGATGCTCTTGATCGACGTGTACGACAGCGTGTTCCAGTTCCCGCCAATATCCAGCAACTTCGCACAGCCATTGACGAGAAGTTGGACAAATTCCACAGGCCACAATGAGAATGAGATGTGTCCTGCTGCATGAGGCAAATTGTGGTCACACCAGATACTGACTGGTTTTCTAATCCATGCCTCTACTTTTTTTTAAAGGTATCTGTGACCAACAGATGCATATCTGTATTCTCAGTCATGTGATATTCCATAGATTAGGGCCTAATTAATTTATTGTAATTGACTGATTTCCTTATATGAACTGTAACTCAGTAAAATCTGTGAAATTGTTGCATGTTGCGTTTATATTTTTGTTCAGTGTATTTTCCCTTTCAGAACTTCATATAACACAGCTGGAAACTGACACCAGCAAAAAATATGAAATGAAGATTTTTTAAATAAAATATTCCCTCAAAACAGTCAGCACCACTTTCAAGGAAAACGTATGCCTAGTGAGAATAAGGAAAACGTATGCCTAGTGAGAATAAGGAAAACGTATGCCTAGTGAGAATAAGGAAAACGTATGCCTAGTGAGAATAAGGAAAACGTATGCCTAGTGAGAATAAGGAAAACGTATGCCTAGTGAGAATAAGGAAAACGTATGCCTAGTGAGAATAAGGAAAACGTATGCCTAGTGAGAATAAGGAAAACGTATGCCTAGTGAGAATAAGGAAAACGTATGCCTAGTGAGAATAAGGAAAACGTATGCCTAGTGAGAATAAGGAAAACGTATGCCTAGTGAGAATAAGGAAAACGTATGCCTAGTGAGAATAAGGAAAACGTATGCCTAGTGAGAATAAGGAAAACGTATGCCTAGTGAGAATAAGGAAAACGTATGCCTAGTGAGAATAAGGAAAACTGGCTAATAAGATCTAACTGCTCCCCTCAATTATTAAGACTACATTATCGCTATGATGAAAAAAGTCCTCATAGAAGTTTATACCATCATTTATAACTGACTATATTTCAAAACTAATACACATTTGTCAGAGCATGTGACATTTCAAACAAATGTCAATCTTTTTTTTCTTTTTTTTCCATCAGCAGTTGACCCCAAAGAGCAAGCAGAAACAGAAGCACAGTGGCCAGGAACAACTTTCTAGAAGGAAGAAACATTTCATATGCTACTGTTTTCAGGTCTCACTTGACAGTCCTGGATCTCTTTCAGGGTACAGTCGGTCCCCACGGCGAAGATAGTCTTGGCGTCGGGGGAGACGGTGACGCCGGTGTAGCTGCAGGACTTTAGTATGCTCTCCGACTCCCGCTTGCTGGTCAGGGTGTTCCACTCGTACACAGCTCCCTCCATCCCGCACGACACCAGCCTGCTGTCGTCACCGCTCCAGACTATGGAGTGCACCTGAAGATGGAGACACATAAAGTAGGACATAAAATACCACCCCCGCAGTCACCTCTGTTATCTCTGCCACCCTGGGTTTTTCGAGATAGGTGAATTAACAAGGGAATTAACATGGGAAAACTCAAAGCTATAACTATGGCCAAAGTTTTTCCTGGTCAGCTCACATGGCCTAGAACTGTTGGCCTGAGGCGAGGCTTACTGGAACTGTTGGCAGTCAGTATGAATAGCCTGACACTCTGATGATAAATCATGCAGTAAACCGTCAGTGACCTCATCCAGTGCCCCTCACCTTCCCATTGTGTCCCTTGAGGTTGAGGACGCTCTCGAAGGTGGTGCTGGAGTAGATGTGAATGACGTTTCCATTCACTGCAGCAAACAGGTGTCCTCCGTGACTGAAGGCACACTAAAAGGCAAAAGCATGCTGTACACTGTGAGAGCTGGAATAGCTAGAAATCAATGTTTGAGTACCAGTGATGTTCAGCTGTCTACAATGAGTAACTGTTGGCATTGAGAACTCTTAATTCACACCTCTCTACAGCCTCGGATGTTGAACTCCTTGAAGGTCCTGATGTCGTCTATGAGGAGATTCATGAGCCTCAGCTTGTCAGAGAAGCCCACCAGGACAAACAGGCCAGAGGGGTGCAGGGCGATGCTGAACGCCTCCTCCTGGAACTCCTTATACAGTTCCAGGGTGCTGGGGGGAAGGGAGAGGGAGACGGACCTGAATAAGGGCTAAGAGTCTAGAAATAAACTAGAAGCCAGCCATGAAACAAACGTCCTCAGATATAACTACCAGTGAGAATAGAAAACAAGCTGATATCTGAGACGATCCCACAGGTTTGACATCAAGTCCAGATTTTCTTAAAGGGATAGTGAGGCCAGTGAGGCCAGTGAGACTAACTCTTACTTGGTCTCGAAGTTCCAGATGCGTACAGACTGGTCCAGGGAACAGGTAGCGATGAAGGGCTTACGGATGCAGATGGACAGACCAGTGATAGACCCGGAGTGGAAGGAATAGGACAGAAACTCAAACTGAGCCTGCTCCCCCTTTCTCATCTCAGCAGAGGACAGGGTGATAATGTAGAGCTGACCACGGTCTGTACTGGTCACCATAGTCTCCTCTGACGGACTGATGACCAGAGAGACAATCTGCTGTTGCTCTGCCTGGCTGGGCTCGTGGCTGCACTGGTCTGGGGGGATCTGGATGGGACAAATGAAGAGTTTATTTCCAAAATGCTATATTTACATTTACAGCAGACGCTCGTATCCAGAGCGACTTACAGGAGCAATTAGGGTTAAGTGCCTTGCTCAAGGGCACATCAACAGATTTTTCACCTAGTCGGCTCAGGGATTAGAACCAGCGACCTTTCGGTTACTGGCACTACGCTCTTAACCACTAAGCTACCTGCCGCCCCAGTTTTTCCCATTTGTGTTTCTTCATCAGAAATAATTGCTTATGGGTAACTTCATGTGTGTGTAAAGTATTACTGTTGTCAGATTTTTTAGTCATAGATTTTAGATGTGTATGAAAATGTCTTTTTTTGGCAAAACGCTGTACATCCATTGTTTAGCTGGAATGGAATGTTCGTATCCTGTATATTTGACTGTGATATGTGGTTGTCTCACCTAGCTATCTTAAGATGAATGCATTTACTGTAAGGCGCTCTGGATAAGAGCATCTGCTAAATGACAAAAATGTCAAATGTAAATGTTTTACATACAGATCTCATATTACTGTATTGAATTTTATTTTGTATAATTTTTTAAATATTGAAGTCACAAATGTATCATTTGTACATTTCTTTATTAAAAATGTCGTTATTTGTTACATTTGACTGTGTAGAACCTAGCAGTAGTACTTATTTCTCTGCGAGTGAGGCGGTTATTTAGCATTTTCCAAAAAACATGATTATTTGCCTCTCTAAAGTGAAACCATACATAGATAGATTTAAACAAATACATGTCTGTCATTGAACAACCCCATGCCATGATTAGATAGTGAAAAAACACACCAATCTCTTTCATAATTTCTTTAAAACAACAAAAGCTAATTTACCAACAGTTCTGAAAATGGATGTAAAGCGTTTTGGAATAAAACTCTTAAAATATACGCACACACACACACACACACAAATAATGAGCTTAGTTGTATACAACATATTGCTGGAAAGAGTGATGAAATGAAGTATGGTGAAAGCTTTGTTACCCTTATCTCCCTGGTTTTCCTGTAGTTGTCCTTATCGTCGGTTCTCTCAAACAGACACACCGTCCCAGGACCGGCCGAGCAGGCAAAGCCTTTGGAGTACGCTGTAATGACTGTAACCCGGGGCAACTGAGGAAGGGACTCTTCATCATTTCCCTTTGCGCTGCAAAAAGTCAAAAATTGTGAAAACTGTAAAACATGGTCACTCTCACAATGTGTGAGTAACATCTGTTTGGAGATCTTTCAGTGCCAGCTTGTCTTTTACCTCCCTATGCCTACCTCTCTGGGTCCTGTGAAACGGTGGTCTTGGGGGACACACTCATATCCCATCGCAGGTCTCCAGACTCAAACACCATCAGCCTGCCTGCCTCTGTCCCAGCTATCACCCTCTCCTCAGACACCCAGGCATGGGACAACAAATGATGCGTCTCTAGCTTCTGGAAGGTGGACTGCTTCAGAGCCCCCTCTGCATAGCGGAACAGCTTGAAGACCCCATTCCCACTCACACAGATCTGGGTGTTGTCATATGGGTTCAAGCTGACCTGGAAACATATAGTGTGAGACAGTGCCATCGAGATATAGCTTGTGTAAGTAAATAGGTATGCCTGTGATCAGCTACAGAGTTAATACTACAACAGAGTAAGGAGCAAGGACTAGTAAGGTTGTTTAATGCCTTATCTATGGAAAAATAACACTGCTATTTTGAATGAACATGCTGATCATTCCCCACCACCATTTCCTTGCCAAGGACTCTTCCATGGCCCCACTAACAAGAGAGCAGTCCGACCTCACCTGGGTGACTGGGTTAGCGGCCACAGTGGTCTTCACCATGGCCATGATCTTCTGCTTCTCCCACATCCAGTAGAAGAGGGTGTAGTCCGGCGCCCCTGACTGGCTGATGAAGTACTTGGAGTCGGTGGAGAACGCCATGGAGACAAACTCATGGACAGGGATGTCCCCTCCGCTCAGCACCTTCCTCTTCCGGCTCTGCTCGTGCTGCAGGTCGTACACGGTGATGGTGGCCCTCTCGCCACGCTCCGACACCGCCAGGTAGCGGCGGTTTGAGCTGATGGCCAGGGCGTACATCCCCTGACTCCTCTCCAAACCTGAGGAGCAAAATCGAGGATGAATCACAAAGAAAACATAACTGGAAGTTGGATACATTTAACAGGTTGTTAACAGCTAATTTTGTTTTGAATACCAGGTTTATATTTGTCTATGAAAATATTTCAGAGTGAGTGCTAGTGTCAGAGACACTAAACATCTATAAAACACCCTGACCCAAGCCATATTGTTGTAATCCTGAGAAGTGAACGTGGCAAATACCTGGGATGAACCTCTGCCATTTCTGATCGATGTTGTAACGAACACAGTTGTTCCCAGATGGGAAGATGACAGTCTGCTCATCAAAGTAGCACAGGTTATTTGCCACGCATGTCCGCAGACCAAAGCTGTAGTGACACTGGGCCACCACTGCAGACATCACAGTCCTGTCACGTCAAAGCTGCAGACTAAAATCTGCCAGTAAAAGGAAAGAAGAAGAAAAATAATTGAGAAGGGTTTTTGATCTTTATGTGGCAGGCAAAAGTCTCAAGGATACTAATTCAATTCTGTATGACCATATTGATCCTTTTCACTTTGATCTGAAATTGCCTCCTGGCCCTGTAACCTTTCATCTACAACTCCTGATCTACAATACTTTTTATAGAGTTATCTGGAACCATAAGGTCAACTTTGAAAAGTAATGATCGTCTTATCTTACTAGGCTAGCTACTTACCTTTATTGAAAATACAAATAAATAAATAATTGTGCTGATTCCTCAAAACTCCTTATTAATGATTTAATTTGACGACAGTGAGACTTCCAGAGATTGACATGCTATTTTTGCTGAAGCGTGGAAAATAATATGAGTAGAATGTTATCGTTAAATTCTATCACTATGGAGAAGCTTTCATACAATGCATAATTACATAATAAATAATGATTATAACTAATTAAAGCATACACCTATATCATTATAAATCGAATATATGGCGGAAATTCACACGAAGAAGGTTTATTGTCCTCTGGTGCTTTTTTCACGATTTATTAACGAGAGCAGAAAAAACTACACAAAAAACGTCGGATAGGAACCTTTGATTATTTCGGGGCTGGTGTTTCACGGGAAGACATTTTCGGAGGACCCTTAACAGCCGCTAATTCCTTCTCACGTGAACAGCTCCATGTGAGCGCGGAGTTGACAGTATTTGGTCCACAAAATAACTGTTTGCATCCAATCATTATCGTTAAGAATAACATGGATATTATTGAAGATGACGAGCAGTTAGGTGAGACGTCTGAGGAGAACAGCGAATTATCTGACGGAGAGGTAACTGGTTATTTTATAGCGTGCTAGCTAACATTAGCCAGGTTAGCTAGCTACTGTAGTTAGCTAACAATGTCTCCACTAACGTTATGTAGGTGATCTACAACGCGTAACTTTGCTGTGTTTTTCGTTTTCATTAGCTTCAAGATGCATTCGCAAAGGGGTTGTTAAAGCCTGGGTTGAACTTTACAACACAAGAACCGAAGAAGATTGTCAACAATGTGGTGAGTGTTGACATGCGCAGATGAACATGTGTCTGCGACCAGAAAGCCACCATTGTCTATCGCTCTCTAATTCATGCTTTATTCGACTCATAAATCACAAATTAGTTAATTTTCTAATACGACCCGTATTTTCTTCATGGTTGTGGGCAGGAGGGTTTGAAACAATGCCTCGCCGACTTTCGTAAAAACACACTACCCTGGGTAGAGAGGCTGGACATGGTCAATCTCCCAGCTGATGACATCGTTGCCAAGTCCGAGGGCAGACTCGACAACAAGGCCAGCGGAGACATCAACCCAGATGACGACTTCCAGAGAGAGATGTTCTTGTGAGTGTCTAATGTCCATACACGTTTATATCAGTGGACAGAGACTTTGTTGTAATGTCATGATGTAGTCCTAGTAATAGCAATTGTAAAACATATCCTCTCTTTCATTGGTGTCTTCCAGTTACCGCCAAGCCCAAGCAGCTGTTCTGGAGGCGATGCCCCGGCTACTGAAGCTGAAGATAGCCACCAAGAGACCTGAGGACTACTTTGCAGAGATGGCCAAGTCAGACCAGCAAATGCAAAAGGTAGGATGTCCTGACCTTACTCTCAGAGATCTTGCCATCTGTCATTATATGTATGTGACTGAATTGCGTCAGGTATGGATTGATCTCTCTGACACAAAAACTGTTGAAACGGTATGTGTTGTCCAGCTTTTCCTTTAGCCAGTAATTGCAGGCTTTTGGTAGATAAATGCATGAAAGCAAATAAACATTGAAGTATCCTGATGAAAATAAATATCCTCTATAAATCACATTGGCTATGCATTGAGGTTGGTTCAGGATGTCTTCTAATTGCATAATCTCTCTACTCTGTCTTGAGCTAGTGCTCTCAATATGGAACTTGCAACATTGTATCATGGTAGCGGTGTTGTGATACTGGTGGTTTCTCGGAACAGGGATTTTAACGTTGTGGCTAGATGGAGTACAGCTGTAGCATTTTAGCTAAGCCTAACCCTTTTCCTAACATTGACCTAATTCTTCTAACCTGCTACGTTATGTCTCCTAACCTGCTACGTAAAGTCACTACTATTCCTGTAGTTGTACTTCGTAGCCACAACCGTAGAAGCCATCTGTCCCGAGGACCATAAGTATCACCACAACGGTGAGACACAACTGTATGCACACGGGAGAAGTGTTCTGGTATTTTATGACGTTTTGCTAGATTATTCTCCCTAAAATAGAATTTACAAAATTGTCATACCTAGTCCACCAAGGAGGAGTATTTAGATGAAGTAATTGCGCTTCCCTCTTCCACTAATCTAATGTCTGGTCGAGTAGTTGGCTAAAAACAGTGCAACACTAGCTCGATAGCTAACTAGCTACTTTACCAAGGACGGAGGCACAGACAAGTGGAAAAATAAATACACTCTGCAGCAGAGGATATTGACAAGCTAGATGGACGGAGGTAGACACGCTTTGTGCATGGAGCCAATGTGGTAGGCTATCATTCCTTGCATTATTATTGCAGTCATTTCCATGGTGGTGTCAATGAGTAGGCAGTGGGCACTCCTAAAAGCATTAAGCGTTTATCATAGTCCAAAAGGGTGAATGCATACGCACAGCAGTGTTGTAGAATATTGGACCGTTGGCTTTCATACTTCTCACATTCTCAGAGCAGTTCAAGCAATTTGTCCAACTGTCAATGCATTCAAATGAATAGAGGATGCGTACCAGAGACTGGTTGGTTTGGAATTGTAGGGAGGTACGCGTTCGGGCTGTTCGTCCCCCGCGGATGTTGGTCTCAGAGCTGTGTAGCTATGTATGTCACAATGGGACGCCGGACTATCGCGTCCTAGCATCTGTGGACTATGATTTACACTTTACACTACACGTGGCTGGCATCCAAATGGGATTCTGTTTGATATGCACATTTGTCCAGCAAATTCAAATCTGGTTGGACATTTGACCGTCACGGAAATACTGGTGTGGTCATGAATAATGCTTTGTCTTTTCCTACAGATCAGGAAGAAACTCATCACGAAGCAGATCATGATGGAGAAGTCGGAAAAGGCCAAGAAACTAAGAGAACAAAGGAAGTACGGCAAGAAGGTGAGTCTCCATTCCTCTCACTGGAATTGTACTCTTTATTATGTCGTCTTGGTGCATTGTGATCTTATGAAATGGGTGTTGTAGGTGCAAGTAGAGGTTATTCAGAAGAGACAGAAGGAGAAGAAGGCCATGATGTCTGCTGTGAAGAGGTATCAAAAAGGTGGGTCCTCTGTTTCTACATGTTTTGTTTATCACCCAAGTCACCCAACTTGTTCGCACTATTTTGGTTAAGTTGCTTTGGGTGACATCATCTGCTAAATGGGATTCATAACGTTAAACACCTTCCTCTCTCGTAGGCATGACTGACAAACTGGACTTCCTGGAAGGAGATCAGAAGACCGCTAGAGGAGCTCCAGCTAAAGGAGGAGCTCCAGCTAAAGGGGGTGCAGGGAAAGGGTCAGGAGGCCAAACACCTGATAAAAAGGCCATGAACAAGAAAGGGTAAGACGCCACAGAGATGGGAATGTTGTGCTCAATGCTTCTTCTCCACCTACCTACCTATATTAATTGTATTCAGTGCTTTTATACCAAATCTATATGTACTGTACTTGGACTAAAACTGAAACCTCTGACTTGACAGGCCCAATGCTAAGAGGAAGTATAAAGACCAGAGGTTTGGCTTTGGCGGGAAGAAGAGTGGAACCAAGTGGAACACCAAGGACAGCCACAACGATGTGTCAGGGTTCCGAGCCAAGGTGGCTCATGGGAAAGGAGGAAAGAGAGGGAAAGGAGGCAATGCGGGACCAGGAGGAAGGGGCCCCACCAAAGGAGGGACTGTAAGTCACTGACAGACATGATTGGGTCATACAATATCACATTTTGAATTAAAATAGTGTATTGTTTATAGTGTTGGTACATTTTGTTTCAGTTATTATTTGAAAAATCGTAGTTCTTTTGTAATTTTGAATTTTTGATTCTTCAGAAACGACCTGGCAAGAATGCGCGCAAGAAGATGAAGGGTCGCTCCTAAAGTGGTGGGTGCTAAAGGTCCTGCAGTCTGATTGGTTCTTCGGTCTATGGCATCAGGCCAGGTTTGAACGTCGTCATCGGTCTTGGGTTACCCACACTGCATCCCAACTTCTGGAAGGAAATAATATTAGAGAGAAGTGCTCTCTTTCTATACTTAATCGCACACACACCACCCTTCATGGAGCCCTTGGGGCAGTGGAATGATATGGATGCCTTTGATGATGCCCCAAGATGTCCGCATGCATCCTGTCACTCAGAATGATCCTTCCTGGAGTATCACCAAGGAGGCTACAAGATGTGGACATGGCTGCATGTGAGCTTTAGAATGTCTCCATATGAAAACCGGACAGAGTGGGACCAAACATGCCAAATTCTACGTTTTTTATGGTTTAAACCCCTAACATTAATTTGGACATCAAGATACAATGACATTTTATTACAGTCAGTAAAATAAAAGAAATCCATGTTTCTTTTAAAGGAGATCTTTATACATTGTTGTAATGCGTGTAAGTTTGTGAAACTATTTGCTGAAAGTGATAACAATGATGAAGCCACTTCAATAAATGTATAATGTCATCGAGTTTGAGTGAATACTTGATCGGTTTTTGCAAATTGCACACTTTGCGAGTCCACTCATTGACCCTCTGATTCACTACCCTTAGTGACATGTCATTTTATAATATTGAACAGCTGTCATGTTGGGCCTTTTCCTTGTATCAATATTATTAATATGTGGTGGGCCAATGTTTCTTCTGCAAATAGTTTTTCTTCATTTGTCGCCGGTATGGCAATAGTTGGCACATTTTGGGCAAGAATAACTCATTCTCTAGCCTGAGTGCCAGTCTGTTTGTGCTATTATACCTACGCCGTGTTATGTTTTGCTTGACAATGACTGCAATGGAGATGGCAAGAGCACAAACAGATCTGGGACCAGGCTACACCTGCATCTGTTTTCCTTTAAATAATTAGTGTGCTGCTTCATGTTTATTTATTTTATGGTGTATATTGTTTATAAACTGGGTGGTTCAAGACCAGAATTCTGATTGGCTGACAGCTGTGGTATATCATATAAGTTGGTAACCAGTTTATAATAGCATTAAGGCACCTCAGCTAAGGGTTGGTGGTATATTGGCCATATACCACACCCCATCGGGCTTTATTGCTTAATTATACAGTAGGTCGATCTGCAAGTCTGCAACCAGTTACATTGTTTCCTTCAGACAGTAAAGCAATATTCTTCATAGCCATGCTTCCACTACATTTTTATCCAGTAAAGAGACCAATGAACCAGGTTATCCTAAGTAAGTCTTGTAGGCAGCTTGTAGGCTGTAGATCTAACCCAGGTCCTGTGTCTGTTCTTTCAGACGCCATGCTGCATCCATGTACTTGGTGATCTCAGAGTTCTGCCGTGACCAGTTCAGTCTTCTATCGCTGCGATCTGAAACAATCTGACAGGGCAGAAAAGCAATTTGAGGGCTGAGATTGTATTTGTAACAGTGCCACAACAGGCTTAGAACACTCAGACAGTGGACATGACAACTTGTTACAACGAATACCCGGAAGTAAAGGGGACACATCTTGTCAAACCATTTTGAAAAGTAGCTATTTTGCTGATCATCACCACAAAGAGGGAGTTCTTACCAGAGGTCTGGATATCCAGCCAATCTCCTGGCTCTCAGTTTGGGGGTGAGTGTATTTCTTAGTTGGCTCCAAACAAGCCCCGTGGATGGCCTTTAGGAAAGCAGCTGGGGATAAAACATAATCTAAGATAGGGTATCCCAAACTCGGTGCACGTTTTGGTTTTTGCCCTAGCACTACACAGCTGATTCAAATAATCAAAGCTTGATGAGTTGGCTATTATCAGCTGTGTAGTCCTTTGGTAAAAACCCAAACGTGAAGCAGGGGGGACACAGGAACGAGTTTAGGAAACACTGATCTAAGAGACTGGCCAACACCTCAGATAACATTGAATAGCTAGTAGGCATACTTACGGTCCTCCTCCACTTTGTCGTGGGTCTTGTTGCCGGCCATAGGCTTGTCAGTCAAAATGTGCACTGAGAAGTGAAAGATTACAAAAAGTGTTTGTTCATCATGAAATTACTCATCGTTCACATTAATCCACATACCTTTCAACAGAGGTGGTATGTGCTTACGTCTTTTGTACGGGTTGATGCTAAATAGCGTGTACACTTTTTGGCTCCTATTCTCTTTCTTTATGGTCTCGATGTGAATTGCGTTCTGATTAACAATATCCGCAGGATCCTTTTCTTTTGACTGCTTAACCGCTGCCATCCTGGTTTGTGTAAATTAGGATACAAGACAGGAAAAACACGAGAGACGATACGTAGTGTGCAGATTTATACTAGCAAGCCAAAAAACATGATTTATGTCTCGTTGCCTAGCAACCATAAACAGAACCCCAGATAGAATGTACAGGTACTTAGTGGCCACACGAGGGCGCACAGTACTCATTTTATTTCAGTCACAGCTATGGATGAAATTAATTTGCCTTTATATATTACATAAAATAAAATAAATACATTTTTAGTCATTTAGCAGACGCTCGTATCCAGAGCGACTTACAGGAGCAATTAGGGTTAAGTGCCTTGCTCAAGGGCACACCGACAGATTTTTCACCTAGTTGGCTCGGGGATTAGGACCAGCGACCTTTCGGTTACTGGCACAACGCTCTTAACCACTAAGCTACCTGTGCAGAGCTACAGGGGCATTAGTACTGTGCTCTTGCCCTATTAGCGGAGAGAGTACATTCTGTCTTGTAGGCAGTGGGGTACTGCTATTTGTTTTAGGTGCGGGACCGCAAAAAAAAAGAGTACATTACGTAATTTCTCAATCAAAGTTTGTACCGACAGATGTAACCTATTTAATATTATTATAGAATATGAATAAAATGCATCCTCCAATTGCAACGTCTGCCTATTCCCACACATATTGTCTCAAGAAAATGTTATATTTTGAATTCCCTCAAACACCAAGATAGGCAAACCTCATTTCAAAATAGGCCATCATCACTGTCAATCGGGAATGATAATTATTCACGTTTTACCGGTGAAATGTCCAAACTGCGTCTGTATGCCAATAATTTGATCTCAATCAGTTTCATGTGAATATGCATTTATATCTTCTTGAATTACTGTTTCGTAAGCGAATCAAAGCAGATGGTGTTAATAAACTATTAGCCTTTCTTGTATTTTGTTTAAATCAAAGCATACACTGAGTGTACAAAACATATAAGGACACCAGCTTTTTCCATGACATAGACTGACCAGGTGAATACAGGTGAAAGCTATGATCCCTTATTGATGTCGCTTGTTAAATCCACTTCAATCAGTGTAGAGGAAGGGGAGGAGACCGGTTAAAGTTGGATTTTTAAGCCTTGAAACGATTGAGACATGGATTGTGTGTGTGTGCCATTCAGTTGGTGAATGGGCAAGACAAAATATTTAAGTGCGCTGGCACGGGGGTAGTCCGTGCCAGCGCACAGTTTGTGTCAAGAACTGCAACGCTGCTGGGTTTTTCACGCTCAACAGTTTCCCGTGTGTATCAAGAATGGTCCACCACTCAAAGGACATCCAGCCAACTTGATACAACTGTGGGAAGCATTGGAGGCAACATGGTCCAGCATCCCTGTGGAACGCTTTCGACACCTTGTTGCAAATCAATATTAGGAAGGTGTTCTTAATATTTTGTACACTCAGTGTATATCCTGCCTGGTGGCGCGCGCTGTTGAGTTGTAGCCGCATGAGAAAAGAAATGCGACAATTCAGCTTCAGCTAACCATCCTAAAATATCACTAGAAATGAAGTGTTTTTGGTGTAACATTAATGTTATAGGCCTATTATGCTATTACATTTGGTTCTGTAAAATACTAATTCATCATTATGTGATCTTGCGGGACATACCACCTCCTTGTATTCTTAAATTAAAAAAAGTAAGGTGCTCCCTCGCAACTCCCGTGTGCTCACTTGGTAGAGCATGGTACTTGCAATGCCAGGGTTATGGGTTCGATTTCCCACGGCGGACCAGTGTGAAAATGTATGCACTCACTACTGTAAGTCGCTCTGGATAAGAGCGTCTGCTAAATGACTAAAATGCTAATTGTACTCCAGCAGCACTAAATTACTGCTTTGTAGGTCTCCATTAAACCAATTTACTTCAACGTTGGCAATTGAAAAACATCATAGAATATGTAAACCAAGCATGCTTATTTGATATCTAGCTAGAGGTACGATATAAAACGCTAGGGGGCTTTACATCTTTACATGATCTGCTCCGTTGATTAGGCCTACGTGGGCTTTAATGGTTGAGCCTGGCTGCATGAGAAATAGTAGAATGTGGTGACAAAGTCATATATTAGCATGGTGATCCACAGTCTCCATATAACCCTGCCAGGTGTCCAGCCCCAATACATGTCCTTTCATTTGTTGTCCTCTGCCAGCCGCCTCTCTAATGGTCTATTTATATCTGATAGGCTGTATGAATATATATATATATATATATATATATATATATATATATATATATATATATATATATATATATATAGTGCTATGAAAAAGTATTTGCCCCCTTTCAAATTTTCTCTACTTTTGCATATTTGTGATACTGAATGTTATCAGATCTTCAACCAAAACCCAAAACCTAATATTAGATAAAGGGAACATAAGTGAACAAATAACACAACAATTACATATTTATTTCATAAACAAAGTTATGCAACACCCAATTCCCCTGTGTGAAAAAGTAATTGCCCCCTTACACTCAATAACTGGTTGTGCCACCTTTAGCTGCAATGACTCCAACCAAATACTTCCTGTAGTTGTTGATCAGTCTCTCATGTCGCTGTGGAGGAATTTTTGCCCACTCTTCCATGCAGAACTGCTTTAACTCAGTGACGTGTGGGTTTTCAAGCATGAGCTGCTCGTTTCAAGTCCTGCCACAACATCTCAATTGGGATTAGGTCTGGACTTTGACTAGGCCATTCCAAAACTTCCAATTTGTTGCTTTTGAGCAATTTTCATGTAGACTTGATTGTGTGTTTTGGATCATTGTCTTGCTGCATGACCCAGCTGCGCAATTACTTTTTCACACAGGGGAATTGGGTGTTGCATAACTTTGTTTATGAAATAAATATGTAATTGTTGTGTTATTTGTTCACTTATGTTCCCTTTATCTAATATTAGGTTTTGGTTGAAGATCTGATAACATTCAGTATCACAAATATGCAAAAGTAGAGAAAATTAGAAAGGGGGCAAATACTTTTTCATAGCACTGTATATATACACACATATACACAGTACCAGTCAAAAGTTTGGACACACCTACTCATTCAAAGGTTTTTCTTTATTTTTACTATTTTCTACATTGTGAAGACATCAAAACTATGAAATAACACATGGAATCATGTAGTAACCAAAAAAGTGTTAAACAAATCAAAATATATTTTAGATTCTTCAAAGTAGCCACCCTTTGCCTTGTTGACAGCTTTGCACACTCTTGGCATTGTCTCAACCAGCTTCATGAGGTAGTCACCTGGAATGCATTTCAATTAACAGTTAAAAGTTAATTTGTGGAATTTATTTCCTTCTTAATGCATTTGAGCCAATCATTTGTGTTGTGACAAGGTAGGGGGGGTATACAGAAGATAGCCCTATTTGGTAAAATACCAAGTCCATATTATGGCAAGAACAAAGAGAAACAACAGTCCATCAAGGTCAGTCAATACAGAACATTTCAAGAATTCCTGCATAGAAACCACTACTAAAGGACACCAATAAGAAGAAGAGACTTGCTTGGTCCAAGAAACACGAGCAATGGACATTAGACCGGTGGAAATTTGTCCTTTGGTCTGGAGTCCTAATTGGACATTTTTGGTGTTATGGTGTGGGGGGGGGGGCTTTGCTGGTGACACTGTCTGTGATTTATTTAGAATTCAAGGCACACTTAACCAGTATGGCTACCACAGCATTCTGCAGCGATACGCCATCCCATCTGGTTTGAGCTTTTTCAACAGGACAATGACCCAACACACCTCCAGGCTGTGTACGGGCTATTTGACCAAGAAGGAGAGTGATGGAGTGCTGCATCAGATGACCTGGCCTCCGAAATCCCGACCTCAACCCAATTGAGATGGTTTGGGATGAGTCGGAACGCAGAGTGAAGGAAAAGCAGCCAGTGCTCAGCATATGTGGGAACTCCTTCAAGACTGTTGGAAAAGCGTTCCAGGTGAAGCTGGTTGAGAGAATGCCAAGTGTGCAAAGCTGTCATCAAGGCAAAGGGTGGATATTTGAAGAATCTCAAATATAAAATATATTTTGATTTGTTTAACACTTTGTTGGTTACTACATGATTCCATATGTGTTATTTCATAGTGTTGATGTCTTCACTATTATTCTACAATGTAGAAAATAGTAAAAATATTGAAAAACCCTGCAATGAGTAGGTGTATCCAAATCTTTGATATAAATATAGCCAACCTAGACTCAGGGGTAAATGTAACATAGTATGATATATTACATTTCGAATGGTATGTATTCATTTATGGATGTCCATCATCCATTTTGTAAGATGTGTTACGAATTACGATTCGTATGATATGTTACGATTTGTAATTCGTACAATAGTTGACGAATTGCAATTCCTACAATATGTTATGAATTTGCAAATCGTATGATATGTTACAAATTCTAATTTGTTGTGGCTAAGCTGGCTAGGTGGCTAAAGCTAACATTAGCTAGGTGGCTAACGTTAGCTAGGCTAGGGGTTAGGGTTATGAATTAGGTTAAAGGGTTAAGGTTAGGGTTTGGGGAAGGGCTAGCTAACATGCTAAGCAGTTGCAAAGTAGCTCAAAATTAGTAAGTAGTTGTAAAGTTGCTAATTAGCTAAATGCTAAAGTTGTCCGTGATTAGATTCAAAGGCAACCTTTGGATTACTAGACGTTTGCGTTATACTCCCACCCATCAACCCTAACCAACCACCCTACTTTAATTTTTGCCTTAAGTAACCTTCTGTCTTATGTAACCGTACCAATCGTAACGTATCATACTAATTTGAATGTTCCGGATTTACATTTACTATTTTACGTCTAGTCTATGAGACCAGGCTGTAATAGCCTGATGTTTTTGCTTGGTCAATAATTATTTGTCTCAGTGTTTTTTCTTTCTTTTTGGGGCTGCTGTTGATTTAATTCTGAGGCTGTTGTAGTGTTCGATATTGATTCAGCGTTTTCATAGGGAGCAATTTGTCTTGTCTTGGGTTTGTGTTGTAGACCTACTAGGTTTTGAGGGTGGTTATCAATCTTTCTTTTTATTTTCTTCATAGCATGTGTTTTTTTTGCCACAATCTCACCAATCAGAATGTTCTTAGGTTTGTTAGGCAGGCAGATGATACTTGGAGCACTGG